AGATTTCAGGCTAATTACTGAAATCTATTCCAATGATCGTTTTGATTAAGATAATAATTTGTCCTTATTTGCTTGAGGGTTTTTTGCATAACCAACTTCCGTTTCAATATTTACTCATATCCGAAATGATCTCTCTCTCTCTCTCTCTCTCTCTCTCTCTCTCTCTCTCTCTCTCTCTCTCTCTCTCTCCAATATTCCAACCACCCACATGACCAGCATTCCCACCACTGTCTTCATCTTATTCATCTTCATCACTTTATCATTATTGTTGTGACATTGCTCTTAATTACTTTGTGAGATTTGATTTGCCTTCGTCTATTTGTCTCATTCACTTCAAGATTTTCCCTTCTTCCTCTCTAGCATCTCCATCCTCATCTCTCTCTCTCTCTCTCTCTCTCTCTCTCTCTCTCTCTCTCCTCCACTTCCACCCTCTTCTTTCATCTTAATGTTGACTCAATTTATCTTGATTACTTGTTCATATATCAAAAGGCCTTCACCCAAACTCAGTTTGACTCTGTTATTATTATTTTCATCTTACCCATGGAATTGAGTGTCACAATAAAATCAACCAGAAAAACTCATCTAATTAAATTTCTCGTTAGCAAACTAACTATTACTCATTATTATTAGATGGCAGATAGAGTGAGTAGGTGAGAGAGAGAGAGAGAGAGAGAGAGAGAGAGAGAGAGAGAAGAGGTAAAAACATTCTTGGCGAGTTGAGGATAAAAACAAAAACAACATGATGATCATGATGGTGAACAATAAACTCTGATGAACACGAATGATGATATTAAAAATAAAACACATTGCGAGTGTTGAGCTAATACCCTGAAGCATTTCTCTGTCAATCATCACAATTTCATCTCCATCTTCATCAACAAATTCCAATGTGTATTCATCATCTTAATAATCACTTTTTACTCTGTCAAAATGTGTAAATACTTTTCAACTATGTTCACATCTGATTAATTAAAGCCTTTGATTGGATCTTATTATTAATAATTAAACTCAACCATTCAAACGGTTAGAACATTAATTTTTTCCAACTTTTTTTTCACACTTTTCTTTTCGTTCTCTACTCTTTAAATTGGATATTTTTTTAGAATAATTGAAATTAAATTTAATCTGATTGCGTTAATGATAATTCCTATTCAACAACGAAACAATTAGATGTTAAAACCTTTTTCAATTAAATGTTATTATAAACATTTCTTAATGCAACATTGATTATTGTTGAGGAAACAATTGTAATTACATCAATGGGAGTGGATTTTGGTTCAAAGTTACCTGAAAATTTGAGATAAAATTATTATCAACACCATGGTTACCATTAAATTGTAATTTGAATTGCAAACAACTTGCAAAGATTCAATTCGTAATAATAATAATCGTAAGGAAAGCAAATAAAAACCTCGTATCAAAGGAGATGCAATGGATTCGGAAGACGATGATTATGATGGAAAAGTTTCCATCATCATTACCATTATCATCGAATTCAGAATTTCCTGTTTCAATTTCGAAAAAAAAGTTTTTTTCTCTTCTGATAGTTTTTTTCTTCTCTCTCTCTCTCTCTCTCTCTCTCTCTCTCTCTCTCTCTCTCTCTCTCTCTCTCTGCTTCACCGTCATGATCATCATCCGATTCAAAAAGATGATGATGAATCTACGGTAATGAAAAAGTATCAGAATCTGATAGAAAGTGAGTGAAAACTTATTTAGAAAAACTCATCTTCCATTTCAACTGAACATTTTTATCCTCTCATGATGAAAATATAATATTTTCTTTCCCCACCAACACCCAAAGTCTAAATTTACCATCATGTTATCATGAAGTTCATTGGGTGAGGGAGATGATGAACAAATTCTGGACTTGAGAAAAAGAAAGAGAAAATTTTAACCTAAAAAAGTTTTCTCAAAATATATTATTATCATCATTTTCTGTTCATGTCCATTAACTGGTCATTTCATTGTTATTTTATTTTGATTTTCTCCCTTTTCTTCATCTTCTGTTGTTTGTTTGACCATTGAGAGTAAAATATAATTTATATTGTGGTCTAATGATCAAGAACAAGAGTCATCATCAACAGTTAACATTGAATTCTAACATTAACTGATGATCAAAATGATACTAATGATGATGAAGGCGAAAATGTTATTCTGCCAGTGGTCAGTTGTGGTGGTCAATTTTTGAAGAAAACTTTCCAATGTCCATGGAAACTTGAAAATCCTCCCTAATCAATAGATTGTAATGGTATTAACAGTTGACAAGAACAACAATTAGTTGATTCGGTTAACTTTTCTTGTCCAAGGTGAAGTTAATTTAATCTAATTTAAAGAGGTTCATCATCGCCATTCATCAATAAAGAAACTGATAGTTAATCAATTAACTGTTTGATCAACAAACAAAATGATAACAAATTGAAATCAAATTCAATTTAAAGGTAGATATTTTATCCGATGTACTTGACGACCGATAATCAAGATTAGGATTGAAATAAATGTAATAAGATTAATTGATTAACGTAAAGAAAGTTAATCACAATGTTACTTAAATAATAAATCTTACTCTTAATCAATGAACATAAAGTAATCATCTTAAAGGCCATCAAGAGGATTTTAACCAACAATTTATTTGATCAAAGTTGAACCTTGATTGTTGATTGTCAGTTTTTCACTCAATTGTAATTATTTATGATTATCATACAACAACAATACTGATCATTTGAACAGTTATCTTGAAGTTAATGTTTGTAATTAACTATCATTTGTTTTCATTAGTTGATAATATTTGACAATCAGTGAGAATCCATTTAACCATTGAAATTAATTTAAATCACAATGTGAACAGAAATGAAATAATTAACTACTTAATTCAGTTTCATTTTCACTTATTAATTGTCACATCATTCAACTGGTTATTCAATCATTGTAACAATAAGAAGGGGGAAAACAATAACGACAATTTAATAAGTTGATTAGTTTGGTTTCTATGAAATTAGTAATCATCATGATTGACAAACAATTAATCAACTTTGTTGTTTGTCTATCAAATTACATTGGACCGTCATTGTCGTGGCTCTTGTTTATTACAATTAACTAATTGTGATCATGATTATGGTGATGCTGATGGTTACTGTTAGTCTGATTATTATCCTAATGTTGTTGATCATCAATCAACTAATCATCATCTTAATCATGATAAACTATTAATCCACTAAACTTGATATCAACATTTAATATGGGAAACATTTACTTTGCTTTATCAAAGTAAATTGATCACGTAACATGTTTTAATTTGTCTTCTATTTAATCATAACAGTTACACAATTTAGTTTTTCCATAACAATCAGACTAATCAAGATAATCAAAATAATAACAATGATGATTATGATGATTGAAGAAAGAGGAAGATTAAATTGCAAAAGAATGAGCAGAAATAATAGAAGATACTTGAAGTTAATAAGGAAAATGATTAAGGATCAGAATTATTATCGATGCTCAGTCTTTGTCTTCGATTATCATGATTATTGTTGAGATTAATTGATTAACGTAAAGAAAGTTAATCACAATGTTACTTAAATAATAAATCTTACTCTTAATCAATGAACATAAAGTAATCATCTTAAAGGCCATCAAGAGGATTTTAACCAACAATTTATTTGATCAAAGTTGAACCTTGATTGTTGATTGTCAGTTTTTCACTCAATTGTAATTATTTATGATTATCATATAACAACAATACTGATCATTTGAACAGTTATCTTGAAGTTAATGTTTGTAATTAACTATCATTTGTTTTCATTAGTTGATAATATTTGACAATCAGTGAGAATCCATTTAACCATTGAAATTAATTTAAATCACAATGTGAACAGAAATGAAATAATTAACTACTTAATTCAGTTTCATTTTCACTTATTAATTGTCACATCATTCAACTGGTTATTCAATCATTGTAACAATAAGAAGGGGTAAAACAATAACGACAATTTAATAAGTTGATTAGTTTGGTTTCTATGAAATTAGTAATCATCATGATTGACAAACAATTAATCAACTTTGTTGTTTGTCTATCAAATTACATTGGACCGTCATTGTCGTGGCTCTTGTTTATTACAATTAACTAATTGTGATCATGATTATGGTGATGCTGATGGTTACTGTTAGTCTGATTATTATCCTAATGTTGTTGATCATCAATCAACTAATCATCATCTTAATCATGATAAACTATTAATCCACTAAACTTGATATCAACATTTAATATGGGAAACATTTACTTTGCTTTATCAAAGTAAATTGATCACGTAACATGTTTTAATTTGTCTTCTATTTAATCATAACAGTTACACAATTTAGTTTTTCCATAACAATCAGACTAATCAAGATAATCAAAATAATAACAATGATGATTATGATGATTGAAGAAAGAGGAAGATTAAATTGCAAAAGAATGAGCAGAAATAATAGAAGATACTTGAAGTTAATAAGGAAAATGATTAAGGATCAGAATTATTATCGATGCTCAGTCTTTGTCTTCGATTATCATGATTATTGTTATTGTTGAGATATTATTGTGATATTATTATCATGATTAGAATTATTATCAAAAGCAATTCTCACGCAATTCCACGAGAGACTCAAGATGGAGAGATATAAATGTTAATGATTATCTCAATTTCGTTTGGAAATTGTTCTCATTCAGTTGAGATTCATTCTGATTAAGTTGATTCAATTTTCATTTCTTTTTGCTTCTTCTTATTTCATCGTGATGATAATCGTGATGACGATGATGATGTCACAAATTTATCTTCATTTTTATTTCATCTCTAATCATGATTTTTGTCTCTTTTTCCTTCATATTGACTTAGGATTCAACTTGACATTCATATTCTGGACTCACAAATCTCTCTCTCTCTCTCTCTCTCTCTCTCTCTCTCTCTCTCTCTCTCTCTCTCTCTCGCTGTTTATTTGATCATTATTCATAAAACACAAGAGTCATGAAGAAAAACAATTTTATAACTGGAAAAGACGATGATTATGGTGATGAGAAATCATAGAATCAGGAATAAGAGATGAGAACATGGTAAAAAAGAAAAAGAATAAGAATAAGCAAAAGAATAAGAGAAAATTCTTGGTTAAGGTGAATTCCCTGGATTCCAAAGATATTCCGTGATCTTTAAGAATATTTTCCTCTCAATTTCAGTGTAATACTCGTATTTCTATGTGAGTATTCCGATAGATCAGGGAAAATGAAAGTTGAGATTATTTGGTGAACTTTTAACTTTGTTATTTGTTTTCTCTTCCCTTAGATTTCAATTATAAATTAATACAATCAGAACTGAATCATATTCTGATCATGGAACTAATTTTTAAATATTTGATTGTTCACTAATCTTGATTGTATTCTTACAATTTCGTTTGTTGTGTTCCTTTTTGGTTTCTACAAATGGCAAAAAAAGTTGATTAATTGATTAATTGGGATTTGAAGGTTAATCTGACACTGATTTTGAGATCCAGTTGATTAATTGGCTCGTATAAATTGTTAATAATTAAATAGCAGTTGGATGAGAAAATGGTATTGATTACAAAATATTTTCTGTCGTTGCAACATCATCTCAATGGTAATCAGGAAATTGAAGTTGATTTGTTCATTGGCTTTGATTGGTTTCGTCTGGATTTCATTGGTTGATTGTTAATTATCTTGTTTGATAAATTGTATCCAAATTGATTCAACAATATCCATGGAACAGAAAAAAAATTATTAATAATTGAAAAATATGGAATAAAAATCATTGAACATTTGATAAATTGTCGATTGTGAAAAAATTCTCGCAGAATTTTATCCGTTAATAATAATCATGCGTTTTCATCTCGAAAAATTTTACGTCTTATTGGGTCAATTTACTTGATTGTTAATTCACATTTGACACAATGGATTCCTTGTTCTTTTTGTTGTTGGCTTTTTGTATGGGGAAAACCTTTGATTGTCCTAGAAAATTTAGCTTCTGATTAAGACTTTGATTATAATGGAGATGATCGGTTTGTGTATAAGTGGAAAGTAAACCAAATCAACTTTTATATTGTTTGATTTGATTGTGGAAATAAATAAAAGATTAAATAACACAAAGAGATAAAAAGTAATAAGTTTTGTGTGAGTAGATATAAATTTGGAAAGTGTTTGTTTCCATTGTGATCACAATTGAGGGAATTACATTTATTGAGATGGATGCGTGTTTAATCCAGATCATCGTCATCCTTGTTCTTTTTATTGGGTGTACCTTCAATCACTATTTCGTCATGATCTGGAGCTCGTGGGAGAAACTCTTCGTCTGGTAAGAGAGTATCGAAGATTGATTTAGCTTCTTCAATCACGGAATCATAATCAAGCTCATTAACTGGAGGTGAAGTTACATAGAGATTCTGATATTTATCTGTAATATGAGTACAATCAGCTGTAGCTTGATTGTAATAACATGACCAAAGAAGCTTTGGTTTAACATTATTTTCGTCACCACTTTCAAAGTTAAACAATTTACGAGCAATTGGAAGTAAATCTTCTTTCGCGTTTCCTGTATATGAATCACACCACGCGTAAATAACGAATAGTCCTTTTGGAGCTATGAAACTGGCCCATGAAGCTTCAACAACCAAAATTGGAAAAGGTCCAGGGAATCGAAGTAAAGATTCGGCACTTTGAGAATACTTTAACGAGCCAGCAGAGATGAAAATAGCACGAGAAACGCTGTTTACTTGGTGAGGAACAAGAAGACTTTTGGGAACGTTTGACAGACTACAGACTAGATTTTGGCATTTAATTTGCTGAGAGCCGATAATTATACTGCTAATGACATCGTCCTTAGCAACAACTCCGTCAATTGACTTCTTAAGACAGTATGTCCCACCGAATACAGCACAAAGTCTAGAGAGAAGAAAAGGAAACGATTAAATCGACATTTAAATTGAGAATTGATTTAAATCTCTGATGACATTGATTTGGAATTTACTAACCGACAAAATGCTTGTGGGATCTCTCCACATCCATAGAACGGGAAAAGAAAAGGAGTGCTACCAAATCTTCCAGATGAACTGACAAATTTTTTCAAATGTTCCATAGCTTCTTGAGTTGGTGTTGATGGATCAACCATGGCCACTGAATTAAGAACAAGATGTTGAAGAAGAGGAGTGAAGCCTTTTGATCGAAGATAATCAATGAAAGGTTGTTCTTCAAAACCTTCGTATCCTTCAATTAGATCTGGTCGACGTTCCAATTCCAAGCAAAGGGTAATGAATCTCATGAGAACTCTTTTCTCAATCAATGAGGTATAACTATCATTGAAAATATCTTGCCGAGTACATGGGACATCCATTAACTCATCAGTTCCAGGTAAACATGAAAGAATCCGCTCAATAGAGCGAAATGAAAGATATCTACAAATGTTTGACGAAACAAGAAGATTAACCATAGATCCACGAGAATAAAGTAACCTTGGGACCAAATCAATACCCCAATTCCTTTCAGATGATAACCTTGACCAAGTCCATAATTCGGTTTCATCATCTTCTTCGTCATCTTCGCCCATTTCTTCAGGTGATTTCTCTTGAGGAGCTGGTTCTTCATTCAACACATATGAATTAACCTCCATATTAGAAATTAACTTTGTTCCTTCTTCCCATGGATAAATCATCTCACCAGCTGTTAGATTAACTCTACTTAAACTAAGACGAAGATTAGAGTTATGATTGTTGGATCTACGAGTGTTTAGATTAATTTGATCAGTAGGTTCTTGAGAAAATTCTTGTTGTAACTGTTGTTCTTGTTGTGGATCACCATTTCCAAGAGTATTTACAACTCCAATTGGTTTAGCCTGCTGATGACTCTGAGCCCATTCAGCTAATTGTGACAAAGTAAAACTAGTCCATTGATCTCCATAGTAATCGTTTGGATCAAGATGGAGAACTTTTTTCCCAATCCTTGAACAAGCAGTGGCCACAATAGATTCACACAGACCCGTTCCAATTACAACTAAATCATATTCGTCCTCAAATCTTGCTTCCATTTTATCAACAATTTAATCCACGAATTCACAAAAGGTAAAAAAATAACAAACACTTGACAAAAAATAATCAAAGATTTAATTGTAATCACAGGTGACACCACATGAGAATAGAAACAAAACAATTTAGCCAAAGTGGCGACATCAGGTGATCGATAAAACAAAATTCGAATTCTGTTTCCATAGCAACCGAACGGAAATGGAAACTTAATTTTTTCTTTTCTTTTTCTATTTAAACTCAATGATTTCTTGATGACAATTTAATTAATTTTCTAAGTTGAACTTTGTCACAATTTATCTGATCTTGTCTATGGGAGATGATCGTTAAATATGTAAATTAGTTTTAGTTGTTGTCTTGTCAACATTTCCATCCTTCTCTTTTACATGAAAATGTGATCTCAATGTGGTTTCAAGATGGAAAATCTTGATTGTTATGTTTTGGTCTTGATGATCGGCAATAAGGGTAAGATAATTATTCATTTTTCTGTGTTCACATTTTCATCTGTTTGTTGATAATTTTGTTTTAAATTGTTCCACTTTGTCTCTTTTCTAGTTTGATGAAGGTTCCAAGACTCTTTCGGCCTTCAAATGGTTCAATGAATCGTTGCGATGGTTTCAATCTCTATCAGGGTAATTACTCAAATTTTCAATCATTTAAATTCTTCCAGACAACATGATGAAAACCCCGACTATCGACTGTATTCTATGATGATACGAAACGGATCCGCTTTCCTGAATCATTCCCAATCCTTTAAGAAATTAGATTATTTTACTCTCTTACTAATACTATGATTTTTCATCTAAATAGCTCCAATTACCATTGATGCTGATTGATCTATGATTCAACATTTATTCAATTTCACTTTAAGGTTAGTAAATTATCTTAGTTTTGATTACTTTTGATTACTTTCTATTATGATGATTATCACCTAGGCACCTCTTGTCTGATCGAAATGATCGTATTTAGGATTTATTTCTGAATAATTGAAATCTACTCACTTTAGTTATTTAATTTGAAGATTTTAACCATTTTTCTCATTTTTATTTCAGATCCAATTCAAACTCCTACAAACGATTATCCTCTGAGTGTCTGCTGATTCATTGTTGATAATTTGATTAAATTACTCTTATTGTTTTTGAAAATACACTTTGTACCATGTCTGTTTTAATTGATATGCAATGAGAAATACACTTTGATCAATTGAATCTCTAAATTTAATAAAAGTGATTATATTGTCAAACTTTTAGACGGTATCAGTTTTCATCATTTCCCTTAACATAACAGTTGCATAAGCTGAGGTGGGTAATGTAATTGATAATTTCAAAGCCTTTTTAGATCCTTGGGTTGGTTCTAATTGTTTTTCCCTTAAAATATCGAGATCCGATGCGAAAAGTGGTTTAGTATTGTCTTCATAAGAAACTATTTCCATTTCCATATCCGTTGGTCTACACAAGAGTTTACGATAAGTTCCAGAGAGATGAAGATCTTTCTGTTTGATATTAAAAGTTTCCACGGTGATTCCATCGGCCTCCAAAAGTTCATTCAGTTTGGTGGTGACCTCGTTTTCGGGTAAAATGGACGAGACTCCAAGAATGGGCAACACAACGTCTTCGATTGATGCGGTGGTGACATCATTTTCCGTGGCAACTCGAGGTTTAATTTGTTTATCCGTTTGGTCGAGTTTATCTTTCTCACTGATTAGCAAGTCTCCGGCCACAACCTTTAAACCATAACGTTGAATCCTAAATGAGGCCATTTGATTGAAAAGTAAACTTTGATAAGCATGAAGGTACAACATCCTTTGATTGCGAGTAATTTGACAAAATCCGGCGAAATAGTTATTATTTGATCCACTTTTAATGATCCCTTTCATGATTCGTGCCTCTCGACTGTTACGATAATTCAATTCCTTTAGGACTAGTTCGGGATTTCTCGTTTCTTTCCAAATTTTCATCGACTGATTGAAACTTGCCAATTGTCCACTTCTACTCGATTCAATGTCCACTTTTTTCTCACATAGAATTAAATCTAAAACAGTTAACCAATCTTCCTTGAGAACAGCTAATCCAATGGAATGTGAAGGTGAACTGTTCATACCGAATCTTTGGGTTCCAAAGTAGTTTATGAATCCTTTTTCTCGAACATTTTGAAATGCATGGTGAATATCATCTTCTTGGTTATAAATTAGATCTCTCATGACAAGATCGAATCTATTACCAGTCGCTTGACCCAATCGAATTGGTTCTCGTTCAAAAGTAATATTTCCAATCATGATGGCTGATATGTTTTTACCCAAGATATTATTTAGATCAAATAGTTTATCCAAATTCTGTCGATACGATGAAATCTTTTGCGTTGATATACTTCGCTTGTCTTTTGTACCGGCGTAAGTGAAAGCTTTAGGTGGTCTTCCTGTGAATCGAGAAATCTTTTCAATTGCTTCTAAAGTCCCATGGTTTTCTTGATAAAGCACAAAATGGACAAAATTAGGTTTGCCAACAGGCCAATCAACGGAACGTTGTCTAGCATTCTGTCCTTTCCTCATGACCAAAATTACCTTAACACCATCTTTATCGGCGTAATTAGATTCTAAACCAGTGTATTTTTCTTTGATGTATTTGTGGATTTGAGTTCTTTCATCTTTCTGTAATCCATCAACCGAAATCTCAACCTTATCGGCATTTTTATCGATAGATAATTCTGATAGTTTATGTTGAAGCTCAGGGGTTATTATGGACATCGTGGGGCCAGTTGCGGTTTCAACAGGTTTGTTGTCATCTATTGGTTGCTTGGTGTCGGTTAATTTCACAATTTGACCTGATTGGTCAATCTCATGGACAATAAAATCAGAGTAACGTTGTTTTATCTCTCCAGTAAAACCTCGATGGTCACCAAGATATTCACTGATAAAGGCTTCTTTTTCCGATACCTTGTATGTTTTATACAAATGATCTGATCGCATTTCCGATTTTAAATCATCGCGTTCAACACTACTCTCATCAATTCCAATTTCTTCTTCATCTTCACCAAATTCAGGGTCATAATCATCAATCTCTTGATGGTCATCGTCCAATTTCATCCTTTTGGCAGCATATTCATGGTCACTTGGTACTGATGAATATCCAACAGTTGAGGTAGATTCATATGGCTTGTAAACACCTTTGGTCGGTGAAGAACCAGAGCTCATGGTAACACGAGTTAACGAATTAAACACTGGATTAATCAACAATCTTGACGTAAACAATTTAACTAAAGGATGAAATCTCATCCAAAGAATCAACTAATCAATAAACTGGAAAAAAAAGAAAAAAATTAACAAAAAAATTGATCAAAACAATTAGCAAAAGTGAATAAGAGTAACAAGCATTTACTCATCATGGGTCATCCTTACCTCTTAATGGAGATGAAAATAGAAATGTTCATGTCATTTAAAATGTAGATTAAAGAAATAAATCGGTGCGAGTGGTGATCGATTAAAATTGAATAAAACAATTAATAAAATGAGAACAAAAAATAAGAGGAAATTAATTGTTAACAATTAAGAAAGAGAAAGAAAAGCAAAGCAAAAAATGAAAACAAAATCTTTTCTAACAAAGTGGTTGTCATGAAATTCAAAAAGCGAAAGGCGCCAAACAAGATTCTCTTTTCGATTAATTTAAATTTCTTTTAGCAATTGGATCGCTTTTTATATTCTTTTAATGTAATTTCATCAATTGTACTGTCTTTTTGGATTCCCTTTTAATTATTTACAATTATTTATATTTCAAGTTGATTTGCTTATTTGATTAACTTAAACGATCTGAATGTTATAACAATGGTGATTAAAGTTGGCTTCAAATGATTTATATGAATACATTTTTGTGGGAAAAAAATTATTTCGGTGATTTAAATTTAAAAGAAAATGTTAATTTGATTTATCCACCTCGTTGTGTGGACATTTGATCAAATTTAATTCCACATGGATTCTGTTGGAACGATAATTTGAATCCTCGGCCGACATTTCGAGAGTCACTTACAAAACGAGCGATAAAAGGTCCAGCTCCAGTGTCTATTTGTAATATAACGAAATTAATATGATAAAGTTAATTAGTTGAAGTTAGTTACTCACCGATTACTGGTGCATCTTGATTTGGACTTTGATCGACACCTCGGATATTGAGGCGACTTCCACAAAATCGGACTCCATTTAGTTGGATATAATCGTAAGCACATCGGGTCAGTCCAGCTCCAGCAACCGATTGGTCAAATGTTGGTGAATTGTCTGGACATTTGAAAGGGTAAAGATGAAATTATTTGTTCTTATCAATGGTCAAGATATCAGATCTTTGATTCTTCACTTACTTGGACCGAAATTGACGATTTCGAAAGGAGTGAAGGTACTGTTAACGCTATACGATTGAGTACAAAATCCGTTTTCTTTTCTAAAGCAAATGGCATAATCCATTCCATTCAAATATGTCGCATCGAGAAATAATTGACCAGATTGGCCTGATTGAGGATTAGTACTGGAGAAATCTTGAAACTGTGAAGTTTCGTAATTGAAACTCGAAAACATCCCTGACGGTCCAGTATAATATTGTAAACAGTTGGACGGAGCCTTCGATGGATTAGTACATTCGATCTGAGTAATTTGTATATTCCACCTTCGATATCCAGGTCCATTTGTAATCACTCTGAATGTGAACGGACCTTGAGCCCCATCAACATCCATGTAAACTGAAATTAATCAAATTCGATTAATCAACGACAGTGAAAACATTAAATCGACCGAAAATATAATAGAATCGATACTAACCATGAGTCCCTGAATTACGTCCACAAATTGGGGGAACAAGTGAATTTGAATTTTGTCCTGAGACCATAAACTTATCAACATCGCAATTACCACCAATTGGACGATTAATTTCAAAATCGACAAAATCTAATCTCAATTGACAAATTTTGTACAATGAAGCCGCTCGATTCATGGTCAAGGTACAAATTGTTGATCCATTGTAAGGTGATGGATAAGCAGGATTAGTGAAATAGGTACTGTTCATTGAAGAAACGGCATCACAAGTTCGTGGAACTGTAAATCCGAAATTAATAGAAGGATGAATTGACCTGATACTAAATGAATCTGATTAATTTACTTACACACACAACAAACATTGGAAACGCCACATTTACCAATCGCGACTCCGCCAAGAGAGCGACATGAAATTGATGAATAACAAGTGCCCATCATTGAAGAAGTTGTCGCACTCGGAGTACCAGGAATCAGCGAAGTGACCGTACATGCTGGTCCAGCGAATCCAATGAAACACAACGAGTAATCTAATTGTTGGAAAGGGAAAACAATTAAACCAATAAGACACAATTGATCAGGAAACGAATTGATTGTAAAAAAAAGTTAACCATACCAGTTTTGAGTAACAAGTAAAGGAGAGTGTAAATATTGAGTCCAATTAACTGTGAATTGGTCATAATTTAGCAAGTTGATTATTGATTAGCAGCAATGAACAGAATCAAAACAATTGATCAAAATCCAATCGTAAAGTTTAACTAAAGTAGTTGGTTTAAAGTTACAAGGCCTTAATCATGTTGTTACTTATCGGCCTAAACCAATTGCGGATATGAAGGTGATGAGGATGAAGATTAGGATGATGTGAATGGTGATGAATGAATTGGTTGTGATCTATGAATAGTGTTAAGGTGCCGAGACCTGTTACAATTTAGATTGTCAAAGTGCTTTGAGGTGATAAAGAAAAGGATTAGGACATAAAAGGCCAAAAGTTAATCATCACTTTATTGTTGATAATGATTAGATTGTTATTGTTAATCGTGTTGATGATGAGGTAAGGATGAGGAAGATATTATTGGTATGACAATTTCCAACGTTGATTTTCAATTGTAACTGTCAGATGAAAAGAGTGGAAGATTTAATTGTAATCAGAAATATTATCTTCATTATTATCATGATTAAACAATGAGCTGATTAACAAAAGGTGATGATATGATTTAAATAAGCATAGAGGGTTATTTTTATTACTGATTTGGTTTGATGAACTAGGCTCACGTAATTGTTACCGTTACAATTAGTGTATTAACTTACCCGAGACTAATTGTGAATCTTTTTGCTGGAAAATTAATTGTAACAATCTAATAATTAACCTAGTTACTTATTTAGTTTAATTCTCGCTTCGGATTAATTTTGTTTCCTTCTTTGACCATAAATGACCACTAATTGTTATTTTTTTTGTCCATTAAAAGTACAATTAACACATTCTATTGATATTATTAACACAATTAAATATATAATCTATGTTAACATGATTAATTAAATTATTTATTTCTGATTAATGATGATAAACAATTAGGCCAAACAAAAGTATCGAGTTGATAAATGTTCAAATCTGATTCAAATGAAATTAGAGGGAAAAACAAATGATCAATTTATTGTATACAGTTAACTTGATTGGAAAAAATTATTTCGAATCAAACTTAACTTAATTAAATCGAAGCTGAAAACAAAACAATCAACGAAAAATAAACAATAAATTTATAATTGTTAATTAACTCTACTTCTAACTAAGAAGCAGAGTGGCGCAGCGGAAGCGTGCTGGGCCCATAACCCAGAGGTCCGTGGATCGAAACCACGCTCTGCTAACTTAACCTTTTTGCTTAAATTTCTTTGTAATTCTTTTATTAATTAGAATTTTTTCTTTCCAATTAATTTTTATCGATGAGAAAATACTCTAATCAACACTCAAATGAACAAATTGCTTTCAATTATCTGCTATATTCTATTATTGTTGTTTGCAACTTTTCATCAAAATGTATTGATGAATGTTAACAACGAAATTCGTGAAAAATATTGTGGTCAAGGTTCGAGATATTAAATGTTAAGGTCATTGAATTCTTGGGAATCACTGATTAAATGATATTTCCATCCCTTAACAATTAAAACTCGGTTGATCTTAATTGCCCATTCGGTTCAATAGTAATTCCAACTTGGTCGCTATAGAGATGAAGCTGAGACATGAAAGTGAATCTGTTGATCACTTTTGCTTTGTTATTGTTCAGTTAATTTTTTATTCTATTTCATTTCAATTCTCATATTAATTTTATCTTAATTTTTTATTATTCTGTTCAATTTTTATCATAGTTTTAATAGTTTACCATCTTAATTATTGTTCCATTATTCTGGATTCTCCAATTCTTGTTTTTCTTCAGGATCAATTTCCAGTTTCTATTCAAAAGCCTCAATCATATGGTAAATGTTTGTTTACCTTTTTTTTACTCTTCTCATTTAATTAATTTGTATTTTTTTATTATTCCAGGTTTCTAATTACTAATTAACATCATCTTTACCATAATTTATTGTAATCAACGAGTCATCTGGATCAATAATTAAGTAAAATTCCAAGTGAACATGATGTTTGGAAAAATTTGAAGTCCTCATCTGTTTACTTCAATTCTCATTATCTGTTATTTTAATTACCTTTTTTATACTCATTGGTCACTAATTGGTCACCTTTCATCTACTAAATGTTTAACAAGTGTCCCGGTATTTACTGTGGTCGAGTAATATTTGACAATGAGACAATCTCTCAGTGTATGGTAAGCAATCAATTGATTTCTTTTATTATTTTTATTGTCACAGTTTTCATTTTTCCATTTTCCATTTCATCTCAATAGTCTTGTCCAAGTGGAACTCGAAGCTCAACATCTTACCCTTTCACACCATCGACCGAGATTAAAGTACCATCACAATGTATCGAATGCTCAGAAACTCTCGGAGCCCATGATTGGTTTTATCTCGGATTCATGGCTCTCATTCTGTTAATCATGGAATGGTACATAATCGATTACTCAATTAGACGCCGTCATCTTCCCTTCGAGGTTTTAATCGTTCATCTAAGTGCTCTTGTCGAGATCAGTCTTGCTGCTTTATTAACTCTTCTCTCATTCTCAACTCCCGTCGGCTCATTAAATCTAAAATGCTGTGGGGCTTATCGAATAGCCGATTGGTACACCCTCTTCTTCAATCCGAGTGTTAATTTCAAAGACACAATTCGATGTGCTCAGGAAGCTGTTTATCCACTTTACTCGATGATTTTTCTTTTCTATTTTCTTTGTCTAGCCCATTTAATTACAATTCGACCTTGGGTAATTCGCTGGGTCTCCGATTCTAGAGCACCAAACACAATTTACTTAACTCTCTACGTTATACCAGCTTTAACCGTTTCTCATGCTCTTTTTTCTGGTCTCATTTGTAAGTCAATTCAAAATTTTATCTCTAATCAACTTACTAATTATTACTCTTTTTTTTTTCATTATATCTTTCAGATTATTCGTTTCCATTTCTGACACTTGTTAGCTCAACCATTTCCATCGCTGCTCATTTCGCTTATCGATTAGATCAAAGTATGGAAGCCTTGTTTCTAAAATCATTTGAAAATATTCGCAGCATGATTATCCTCTTTGGCCATTGGTTGTTACATGCATATGGAATCGTTTCATTGACTAAATTTAAAAATCCCGTTATGGATTCACTCATTTTACTTCTTGTTCCCTTTCCTTCAGCTTTTTACATTTTGACTTCCAAATTTAGTGATCCAAGTAAACTTCATCTTCATTGAATTGACACTTTGTATTTCAAATAAACAATTGTTCATAGGTAAACACAAGACAAACATCTCATCACTCTAATTTACTACCAAATTTCAACCGGAAAATCTTAATTAGTAAATGATACAGATTGGGGTTAGTTACATTCACTTTCATTTAACTGCCCCACATTTAAAGAGTAGTAATTTAAAATTACTAATTTTACTTTCTAACTCTTTGCCCAATTGGTGATTAAAAACACACTTTAAACAGAGAATTGACTAATTGAAGTAAACTTTAAGGTGAAGATGTTTAGATGACCTTCACTAGATTAGATGAAAGTCAGAGAGTAAAAAGTTTTTACTCTTTGATGAAAGTAGACTTTGAAAGTATTACTTTCACCAATTAAGATGAATCAATTTAATCATGAGGTTCCAATGATTAAACTAACATCCAATAGAAAACAAGTTGATTTTTATTGGAAAAGAAAAAATTGAAGTTAGAATTCAATGTAATAGATGGAGACAGAGTCGAACTCTTTTTGATTCGCTGAGATTTGCTAAGGAAAATCATTGGGGAATCAAACAAAGGCGAAATCAGTTTAATTGTGTTGCTTTAATTATCGAATATCTTTTGTGGTATCTTTTCTTCCATTTAATTAATAATCTTGTAATATCTATTCGTTTATCAAGAAAATGCTTTCAGATCCCGAATCAACTGCCAAGTCATCTGAAGCAATTGAACCCAAAGAGGGAGAATCAAGTGAACAAGTAAAATCCGGAGAAGCCGCTGAAGGTTCTAGTGAAACAATTTCTACCACTTCTGCTTCTGGTGCTTCATCGTCTAATCCAAGTAATCCTAGTGAATCTGAAGCTCAACCAATGGAAGCTGAACCAACTGTATCTGACAAAGTTACTCAAGAAGAATCCGTTAAACCAATGGACTCAAATGTTGTAGTGAAAACTGAAGTAATGGAAGCTTCTAGTGATGTTCCGGAAGTTGCTGCTGCTGAATCTGATTCAAGCAAAGAAAAAATGGATTCTACCGGTTCAACATCTGTAACATCTGAAATTGTTCCTCCCGGTGGAGCTGAAAAGGTTAGTGCTGACTCTGTTGGATCCTCTGTCGATGAAAGCAAAAAACCTGAGGAAGTAGTTAAAGAAATAGATACCAGTGAGAAGATGGACGCCACACCAATCAATGAAGCTGAGACATCAACTGTTTCATCTGATGCCACTCCGGTTTCAAATGAAGCTGAAGCTCAGAACAACATTACAAATGGCTCCGATCAATCCATGGAGGTGAGAGGACCCGTTGAAGAAATCGAAAAGGAAGTTCCAGCCGCTGCTGTCTCATCTTCCGTTCAACCATCAATCGCAGTCTCTGCTGGTTCTGGTCCAACTACTCCAGGAAAAGTTGTCCAAGCATCGTCACCCACCCCTGCAGCTAATGGAGGCAGCAAGAAACCTAAAGTTGATTATTCAACCCTACCAACTCGTCAATACCTAGATCAAACTGTAGTTCCCATCTTACTTCAGGGCTTGTCATCACTCGCCAAGGCGAGGCCTGAAGATCCTACTAGATACTTAGCCAATTACTTGATTGAACATGGCAAGGATTTTGAAGATCGTCAAAATTGAAGGCTCTGTCTGATGAGCTATATTTAATTTCCGTCAATAACCTTCCATACTTCAAAACGTAAAACATTTAAAATTTTCACCGATTCATACCAAATCAATTTTGGGGAAAAGTCATTCCTTTATTCAAATTTCAACTCAGGTTTCAGCGATTTTCTCACCATCACTTTATAAAGATGCGGAACTCTGAGCAACTCAGTCTGGTTTCTTATTCCCTATTTCTTGCTCCTTATCACCGGTGTATCCTTTTCTCTCTACAAAGGCTGATCAATGTCCTCTTATAAGTGTTTGAGTGTGAAACCAAATAATCCACCATTATCCATATATCTACTTTACAATGAACTCTTTTCCCTTTTTCTTTTATCTCCCCTTTTCACTTCATCTTCTCATTCACTTACTCACTCACCTTTTATCATTTTTTTCTAACTAATGATTTGATCCATGTCTTTTGCGAGTTTCAAAATGATTTGAAAACAAATAAACCGAGACTTTTTTCATCCCAAAAATACAAATCTTTTCAATCGAAGTTAATCCTTGGTTAATTGTAACTTCGATTATTTCTCATCAGTTTCTGAGTTCTAAACACAAATGAAAAGAATAATTTGTTCTAATGGAATAGAATCGATTTCAATTGTTTGAACTTTTTCTTTAATTGTTATTTATTAGGTTTTTCGTTGCATCACAAAAGATCATTTATTAGCATAATCAAAAGATTGATCGATTAATTTAAAACGATTTCTTGACTCGAGATCCAAGGAAATTGTCTTTACAATAGTTGAAAAATGAATAGAGTCCATATTTTTTGGTTTTCCGTGAAAAATAGTGAGAAACTACATCAGAATCATCTGAATTTCAAAGAGAAAAACGCGAAATTAGTCAAAGAGTTTTAAATCAATGACATTAAAGCCATTAAAAGAACTGACCTGAAACCAGAGGCCGAGTTTCGGCAAGAGTCGGTAAAATGTTGTCATTTGCTGAAAGTGAGATGAAAAAGGCGAATGGAACAATCCAAAGGCAGAGAGTGAAAAATCCTAAGACCTGAAGGACAAATGAATCGATTAATAATCAATTAAATTTCTTTAATTCTTTTTGACATTTATTACCTGTGATAATGGATAAATCCCATCGGCAAAGAAAGTAAATGCTAAATAGTGATTAACAAATAGTAAAACTGTAAAGAGAAAAAAAAGAAAATTTGTTCAATTTGGATAATCAGATTTTCATTTAAAATAGAGAATCATTTTTATCCATGATTATTGTGTCAATTTTATCGTAATTGTTTCAATTCTTGTCGTTAATTATCAAAATTAACTGAAATAATTTAAAAAATTTGAGAACCTCAACTTGAGATTGTCTGTTATTAGTATGTGGTCCCTTCTGAAATTGTAAACAATTTGGTTGTTTTTGTCTATTAAATTATTTCTTCTAATTGATTTTAATTGTGTTTTCATGTGAATTGAATAGTTGTTTTTGAAATGAGTTCTAAATCATTAATACGTCCAGTTGACCATAAAGAATATCTTCGGATTAAATATGGTGATGGTGATCATATAAGTGGAAAGGTGAAGAAAAAGAAAAAAAAAGGAATCGATGAAATTAGCAAAGGAACTAATTTAAGAATCTATGATGATGATATTGAGATGCAAAAGGTGAAAAGTAAAAAGGTAACTGATGATTTGGACATCTACTTTGGTGTTGATGAAGACAAACCCGTAATTCAAGATATAATTGACGATAGACCGACAGCTGCTAAGAATCGAGACAAACAAGGGTCGAAATGGAGACCAGTGGGATCTGTTGATGATGAAGAGACAACGGATAAAAATAGACTCACTAAGGATTCGAGATCATCTAAATCTACTAAAAAGGATAAGAAGAAAGATAAAGTCAAACATGGAATAACATCAGCTGCTGAAATGAGAGAAGAGAGAAAAAAATTGAAAGAGCAAGAAGCTCAAATGTTCAGATCTATGGACCCGAAAATTTCTGGTAAAGGAGCTAAATCTGTTTATCGTGATAAGAAAACTGGAAGAATACGAGATTTAGAGAAAGAAGAAGCCGATGCTAAAGCAAGAAAGGAAGAATTGGAAGCCAAGACCGCAAAAGAGAGGCAAAAGTTCAAAGAAATGACCGTTGGTATAAAGCAAGTGGAAGAAGAGAAAAAGAGAATAGAAGAAGAAGAAAAAGTTATGGCAAAACCATTGGCTCGATATGAAGACGATGCTGATTTCGATGAATATTGTGCTCAACAAGGTGTTGCTGGTGATCCAATGTTAGCTTATTTGAATGAAAAAGAGAAAGAGAAAGCAAAAGAGAAAGAAAGTGAAACTGACGATAAGAAAAAGGCGAAAATACCATGGAGAGGATCCGTTCAAGCTCCACCAAATAGATTCAATATTCTGCCAGGACACCGTTGGGATGGTGTCGATCGTAGTAATGGTTACGAACAAAAATATTTCGCTCGTTTAGCGGAAAAAGAAGCAACAAAAGAAGAGGCCTATCGGTGGTCAACCGAAGATATGTAAAAATTGACCTTTTAAATTGTAAAAAAATCATCGTAAATATAACATCTTTTGTCACAAGTCTCATCGGCAGTTCTTATTTTGTTTTGAAGTATTTTGAGCCCTGAAAACAATAATAGAATCAGTATCAACTCTGTACAATAATTTTCTATTTCATCATAAAATATCGAAAAAATTCTAACGAATATTCAAATGCAGTTGATTGATTTTCATCCCATTCATTTGTAGTAATTTAGCTTTACAATTGCAGATATTAAACGATTAGGGTTTTAAACTTTGATTGTAGCGCAATTTTTTCAAAGGTGAAAATATTTTCCCATGAACATATGATGAACTTGATATTGACATTGTATTTAAATTTGGCAAACAGCCAATTCGATTATTATTGAAGATTAGAAAGAATTAAATTACTTACTAATTCCAGAGATGAAAGGAACTGATGTAAAGGTGAAGAAAGGAAAATTTTTGAGTATACAAAGATGAACTAGTTGGCTGATGATCCCCGATAAAAGTAAACCCAAAGGTAAGTTTTCAAATATAATAAGGCACAAATAAATAGCTATAGTAATCTAAAGACAGAAAAGATAAAAAGATTAATTAGATTATTCTATGGACAAATCAATCAAACATTTCTAAATCAACAATAAAAGACTGAGTTGTCATTACTTACAAATATTATAACACGTATCACCTTTGAGGCTATCACAGTATATTCCTCAACCAGTTCAGTTAAATAGTAAAGACCAGCGGCTAAGAGAGTGACATAATTAGAATAAAAAGATAATTAAACGATGAGCAAGTGACAATTGGTAACAATCAACACACACGATGACAATTATAATGTTGATAAAAAATAAAACTTCCAACTCACCTAAAGACATGATGATGAAAGAGACTTGGACAATTATGGCGAGCCAACTGAGAATGGCCATGAACCACATTTCTAATTATGGTTAAGATTTTCCTACAACTAATTAGATATCATTGAAAAGAAAATGATAACAGTAAATTACTGTCAGTAATCTCTAGACTAAAGCATAACTTGATTAACGCAACAAATTGTGGGTCAAATCCAAAGAGTAAGAAGCTTTTACTCTTCGCAGTTAATTCACGTTAGGTGGCGTTAGAATAGAAAAAATGTTGAGCCAAATTCATTTGTGCGCCTAAGTGCCGATGATTGAACATTAAACCGCATAGGAGAGGGCACTTTGAGAGATTTTCATGACAAGATTATCTAGAAGTTTTCACCTTCTAAACTGTTGTAATTATTTTTTAGTTTGAATTAGGGAATGGAAATCACAATAAGTTTCGATTAAAAATAATTAGGTGAAGATCAAAGAGTAAAAATTTACAAATTAGATTAATTGACTGATGGTTAGTTTGATTATCCAAAGGCAGAAAAAATTAACGCCATAAAAATTAACGAGCAATGAGAGTATACCGATTAGCCCGATTGTCGCATCGTGAAGGTTAAACATTTTAAATATTTGAGGAGCGATTACAGTTAACACGGCGGGCATGGCGTTCAGGAAGGTCGACAGCTTTGTGTACTTAGATGCTGACCATCCATATACCTGTTGGGTGAATTGAAAGGCTATTGTGTCATCGCCGGCCAATGTTATCCAAATAATTACTCCAGAGATTACGAGGAAAATTAATTTGAGCCTGTTTTTACCTGTTCTTTTAACGACTAATGGCTGAGCCAATTCTTTGAATCGCGAAATTGAACATTAACTGCGATTTAACATTTTCTATGAATTAGTCAAGAGATTACTAACATATAAGATCATCGAGACGAATCTGGGAACAAAATCGAGAATCAAAACCCAAGCAAAAACAAAAACGAAATCTCATTTTAATCAATTTAAATGTTTACAATTTACATCACTTTCCATCTTACCTTTTTTTCCTTCGTGTTCCATGCAAATCCAGTGAAAATCGAGAAAATTCAATTTAATCTCCACCACGAAATCATTTCGTCCATTGACCAGTAGAATTTGAATTTACAAATGAGACGCCTTTTCGCTTGAAATGTTCCCATTGGCTTGTGCTCTTTATGCTTTTCTCGTTCGCCTCAAGTACAAAAGCATAAAGCGGGTAAATGAAGGTAAACAAAAATCTGCTTCTTCACAATTGTTGTTGTTTTTGTTTGTGATCGAATTGTGTTATTTTCTAATAATTATGACTAATGACTCGAATCAAAGTGATCTTCATGTGAAAAGAAGTCGAGTTGAGTATCAGGATCTATGTGATATTTTCAGAGTTAAAGTGAAACAGTTTTCGTCTCAATATTTCCCATTCTATTTGGCCCGATTGAGGACGATTAGACCTTTGGTTCTCAAGTCTATTGAATCAACTTGGGGCGATGGGGTTAAGGTCGTTAAAATGAGCGAGTTGGTCGATCACGTTGATCAGAAGGTGATCATAACTGGAGTCTTATTCAAGAATATGGCAAAGCAACCAACTATTTTGAAGGAAATCGCGTCTGAGGAAAACCAAGACGCTTTACCTTTGACCCAACAAGATAATTATATCGACGATGCTGATTACCTGATGCTTCAGGACGAAAATGAATGTGTTAAACTACATGGAAAATTATCCGTTGATTCTCATGTAACTGGTGTTGTAATTGGACTAATGGGATTCGCAAGCGATGAAGGCAACGAATTCTCTGTCGAAGATTATTGTTACCCTATGTTACCAGATCCTTGGTCGAAATGTCCCAATTCCAACGAGGATAAATACGTTCTTCTTGTTTCTGGGCTTGGTTTCAGTCGTAATTTGTCTTCCAAATTGAAATCTTCTCTTGATTTATTGTCCGATTATTTGGTTGGTCTATTGGATCCTGAAGAAGATGATAGAAAGCCCGCTAGAATAATTCGTCTTATTATTGTTGGTAATTTGATTGGAGAAAATGTTCGTGCTGAGGAAGAGGCCAAAGATGAGACATTGAAAAAGCCTTGGTTGAGAAAATCGAAACCATTTACTGTGGAAATCATGTCAACAATTGATGATTATCTTGTAGAATTAGGGAAAAGCATTGAAATTGAAATCATGCCTGGTTACACTGATGTTACCAATTCATCTCTCCCCCAACAGCCAATTCATCCTTCCATTTTGCCCCGAAGCAGTGTTCTTTCAGCAATAAGGTCAGTTACCAATCCTTATGTTGGTTCATTTGACTCTCGTCTCTTTATTGGAAATTCTGGCCAACCAATTGACAATATTCGCCAATTCAGTGATTTAAAAGACTCAGTTGACATCATGGAGAAAACTATTCATTGGTCTCACATGGCGCCGACAGCTCCAGATACACTTCATGGTTATTCGGACCCGAATTATGATCCATTCGTATTAACTCATTTACCTGATGTTTACTTCACTGGAAATCAAGAGAAATTTTCTACTAAAGTCAAAAAGATCAACGAAAATCACCCAATTCGCTTTATTTCTGTTCCTAAATTTGAAAAATCATTTTCTGCCGTTCAATTGAATCTCAAAAATCTCTCCTGTCAACTAATCACTTTTACTTGAAACAAAATTCTCTAATCAAAGATCTCAAATTTGTTACTTTTAACTTGAAAATTTTAAATTCTTATTCTCAATGAATATAAACATTCAATTTATCAAATAAATTCATCGGCATTAATCATCTTTCCTTTGGTCATTGGTCATCTTTTCTTGGCTAAGATCAATTGTAAACAATTAAATTCGTAAACAAATTGAATCACAAGTGAAAAAAGTACAAAACTGACCTTCGTTGGACCTTTGAAGACTAAAAATTATCTGCTGAATGAAACAATCAACATAATTGCTCTCACCTATAAAACATCAACAAACAACTAATTAGTCAACAATTTAGCCCAAAGCGAGCTTATAATTACAATAACTTTGTTAAACTTCAAAATCATCATGAACGTTAATAGTTGTGGTCATTTCCGTTTACTGACCAGACCCTCCGGGAACATGATAACCATGGACAGAGAAAACAAGTCAAGAAAAAATGGAAGATATTTTTATCTTCCGAAAGCATAAACGAAATAACAATTTAACCAAATAGTTAATCACGCAATTAGATGACAAGGATTACTATTAATAATAACGAATAACAGAAACTTCTGATCTACTTTAAATCTTTTTCTCTCTCATTTATCATCTTCTATTCTCCCTTGGAAGATAAAGAAACAGTGGCGCTGGTATCTCTCCATGAGACTGGATGGATGATGAGGATGATGGAGAGCAAAATGTAAGATGAAAGAGGAGGAGGTGAAAGAGAGAGAGAGAGAGAGAGAGAGAGAGAGAGAGAGAGAGAGAATTCATCATGAGAGAGAAAACTGAAAATTCTGAAGTTCTAAGCTCATTTTTCATGCATTTCTCTCATTAGTCCAGCAGAGTTTTTCTTTTCTTTTCTTCGTTCAAATACAAGGTAAAGTTAATCAGATCTTGATTATTTCTTAATCATCTTTCGCTTCCTATTTATATCATGTTTCTTCATCTCTTTCTTTTATCACAATGACATTGATCGAGCATCAACTTTAATTGTCTCATTAAATTTCTTCATTTGTGACGTTTATTTACAATTCCATTGAAAGAAACCATCAAAACAACAACAATTAACTTCATCTTCAAGCAATTGATTATTCAATAGTTAATTTCAATAAGTTGATTTGCTATTTTGTTTGTTCGTCATCTTTAATTGCAAACAATTAAATTTTACGGTGAAAGCGAGAGTGACAACATGGAAATTAGGTGATAGAATAATTAATCTGATTACTTCATCATCATCGTTTAAATGTGCAACACAATTAACTAATTGTGGTTACTTCTGGGTAATAATCATTTTAATTTGATAGCAATTTATCATAACAAAAAATGAATTGAAACGCTTGGTTTGTAAATCTAAATAGTTATTAATTGTTAACAATCATTGAACCAGTAACATTATCGTCCCTGATTATCAAAGGAATTATAAACAATTTAACTTTACTCACAATCAGAAAAAGTTTTTTCCTCGAAAAAAGTAAACATCCTCATCAATATCATTAACTAATCATTACTTCATCAGTTTTGTAATCATCGTAATTAAATCAATTTCACCGTAATCAAATCAACTAATCAACTCGTCTATTATTATGTCTTATCAAAGGACAACTTTGATCATAACTTTGCTCATCTGTTTAGTTTCAGGTCAAAATCAACAACCCAATTGTGGATACGAAGTAAGTTAATCAGTTAATTGTTACTGACGACTCGTATTACCCTTAACCCTTTTACAGTCTGTTCAACGACTGATTGTTTATGATTAGCTCTATCTGATTGCTGAATCAGTAAAAAAACTGATTGATATAACTTTTTGATTGCATTTGCAATTTCTGATTCGAGATCCAAACAATTAATTCAATTGGTAAGCTTCGTGGTTTCCTGATCAGTTTTAAATCATTTAGGTTTCTTAATTGTACCTTAATGAATTGAATACTTTCCAGTGATGTTTATGGCGTTAATTTAGTTGTAATAGTAAAAGTTTAATCACAATTTGATTGAAAAGGAAAGTATTGTTATAACAATTAAATCAAAGCTTCTGCGTTCACAGTAAATTGCTGTCTCTTTACTGATTGTAATTCTGTTGTTCAACAATCAATTGTAACTGTGACAATTAAAAAGACTTGAAGCTTTTCCTTATTTCTTTACCATATGTGTATTTTCAATACATAGGAAGTTAAATTCAATCATTTGAAAAATGATCTTTAATTGTTAACAATTTAATAGAGAAAATAAATAAACTCAAACTTCCCCATTGAAGTTCAATCTAGTTTGCAAATTACATTGTCTGTTAATCGGTTCACTTACAATTAAGTTTTCTTCAAATTACATTGTATTAATTTACAATGAAAATTTAAACAATTAACTAATAATAATTTCCATTCTTCCATTAATCAGTCATGTCCACCAATTAAAGATGGAGCAATTAACGTTCATATTGTCTGTCATAGTCATATGGACACTGGATGGGTAATCACTTTCGATGAATATTATCATAAATGTAAGTTCAACAATCAACTAATTGTTTAGATTTTCCCAATAATTACTCCTGGTAAACGAAATAATCAATTGCGATTTTTAAATCAATCAAATAAACTAAAAGGTTAAGTCAATATAAGGTAATCAAACTGATAAGTTTCAATACAATTGGACGAAACTATTAATAGCATTGCAATGGTTTCTAATCATAATTAAATCGTTGATGATTAGAAGAGAATCAAAAACGTATAGATTATTAAAGGTTTCTCATCTGATAGCAACAATTAATCTTATAGTAAATTACCTTGACTTTGAAGTGGTAAAAAAGTGATTATAATTAGATGGAATTAAATATTCAATTGTTAACCAGCAACACTTACAATTTCAATTAAGGAAAAAGGAAATTGACACAATTAGTGATAATAATATAAAGAAAGCTACAATTAATCACTGTATAAGTCTAACAATCAGTGCTCATTGTCACTAATGTATCATGATTAACATGGTGATAATGAATCTCGGAGATTTAACAATTAAACATGAGGCTGGAAAACCACATATGTGATCAATGCACATGGAAGTGATTTAAATGAGGTAGACCATTGAAACCATTTGATAGTTTGACTCAATTAATGAACAATTATTTTCGTTGATTGTGTGTCAATTAAATGAACGATTAAAGTGATTAAAGCCTCTTTAGCCTTGCTCTAGTTATGATTATGTTCAAAGGATAATGATAGTGATGTACAATCAATGAATTAATGTTAGTTGATATTAAGGGAATACTTAAAAGATTCAATTTCATCCCGAGAATCCTTGATTCTTATTTAATCAAGATAATTTAATGATCATTTATAATCAAGGTTTGTCTCTTCTTCCTGGTTAATCATGTTTACAATCAAGATCAGCCTTGTCTCAAGTAAGATGAACATTAAATACCAAAATAAATCAACTGATTATGGTAATATTGTCAATCTCTAGAAGCTGAAATTGAGTCGATTCTTAATTGTGACGATAATCATGAGGCGGGAAAGTAAATTGAATAACTTACCTTTTCCTATTTTCTTCCCATCTTCAATTTAATCAACTGAATCATATGACTAAATCAAGGAAATAATTTAATTTGAATGATTAAACCTTTTCCCTTAATTATTATTGATAAATCATCGTTGGCACTTATTTACCGTTGTAATAAGGTTTACACAATCAAATCAAATGACTCTTTTTGATTGCTAAGTTTACCAAGTTTATCAATTTAAATTGTTCAACTTGGAGTAACTTTTTAATGTTGACAATAATGTCCAAAATCAACGTGAATAAACAATTAACAAGCTACAATCATTTAATCACGAATTCATCTTAAGAATAAGTTGTAATAATTTTAAGGCTCGACATGAAATCAAACAACGTTGATTGTCACAATTAACACTAAAACCATAAGAGGAATTAAGTTAAACAATTTACATTAGTCACGCTAATTGTGATTGTTTGCCAAACTCTTTAATCGTGAATATCAAGAATCTTCCCATTATTTGTACGATTAACCTTGACCAACTGACCTTTATCATTAGTCAATTTAATTGAGATAATTTAAATTTATTCTAATTCTAGATGTTCGTGAGATTTATAATTCCGTGTTGAGTGAACTTCGTAAGGCACGAGATCGGAAATTCATCGCAGTAGAAACGTCGTTTTTTTCCCGTTGGTATAATGAACTTGGTCCATCGACTAAATTAGATGTCAGAAAGCTCGTTGATTCCGGTAATTAACTGATTGTTTTAATAGTGATTCCATTTTACTGTTATTTGCTTCTTTCAACCTTAATTTGTTTAATTTCAGTTGTTTACTAATATGATTTAACTATTTTTTTAGGACAATTGGAGTTTATTAGTGGCGGATGGTCAATGAATGATGAAGCGTGTCCTCTTTACTCAGGGATAATCAATCAAATGACCTTAGGTCATAAATGGTTAAACGAAACTTTGGTGAATGTGGTATACCTAAAATCGGTTGGCAAATTGACCCGTTTGGACATTCAAGAGAGTTTTCGTCAATCTTATCACAAATGGGCTTCGATGGACTGTTTTTGGGCCGAGTTGATTATCAAGATAAAGACGTTCGAACTTCTCATCGGAACCTTGAATTCATTTGGAAATCAAGTCCATCGCTTGGTAAAAAGTCTGACCTTTTCACAGGAATATTACCTAATGTCTATTGGCCTCCGAAAAACTTTTGCTTCGATTATAATTGTTACGATGAACCAGTGACGAAATACAATGCAATGAGACGAGCTCGTGAATTCATTGATAAGGTTGTCAAACCTTATGCCAAAATGTACGCAACAAACAATACGATCATAACGATGGGAATGGACTTTTATTTCCGTGATGCTTATAATTGGTACTCAAACCTCGACCAACTTATCGAAGCAGTAAATACCCTTGGAGTTCGTGAGGGAGTAAATATGTTCTATTCGACTCCTTCTTGTTACCTTAAATCTCTTTACGATGCTCAGGTTACTTGGCCCGTTAAAGCCGATGATTTCTTCCCTTATGCTGATGCTTACAACACCTACTGGACGGGTTACTACAGTTCGAGGCCAACGCTAAAACAATTTATTCGCTATGCAGAGTCATTGTTGGTCACGGCGAAGCAACTCAATGTCCTCGCACTTTTGGGACCCGAACAGAGTAAACTACACACACCATTGGAAAAAGTTCTTGGAATTCTGCACCACCATGATGCTATTACAGGAACTTGTAAACAAAAGGTTGCCGATGATTATGCTAAGCAATTACATGAAGGAATTCAGCACGTTGAAGAATCAATTGTGGCCTCAATGAACCGAATTCTCTTCCCTCGAGGTCCTCTCCATTCAGAGGCTATTCATTTCTGCCATTTACTTAATCATTCACATTGCGAGGTCGTTCAAAGGATGTCCAGTGTTTCAGCTAATAATGTTTTAGTCCACGTTTTCAACCCGTTGGCCAGTCCCGTTAAACATTATATCAAATTACCTGTTGATCAAGGAGCGTATGAGGTTTTCACAAGCGATCGCACTAATGTTGACTATCAGGTAAAACAATCAACTGACTAGAAGTTTAAATTGCGTTTGAATTAACCAACAGATTATTACACATTTACAGTTACTTCATTTACCTGAAGCCGTAAGAGCTTTGCCTTTACGGTCTATCGATACACCGTACGAATTAATCTTCAGGGCTTCATTACCCGCTCTTGGATATACAACTTTTCTGGTTCGCAAAATAAATGGACCTGGTAAATTGATTATTGATAAATTGTTACGTTTATTTTGAATCGATTTGATTTATGTTTATATTTCTCTTCCTGGTTTAGATCTTGCTCCTCCAAGACGTTTATCTGGACCCAGTGAGAATCCTGGTGAAGTTACAATTGAAAACAATAAAATGGCCTTAAAGTTCAATCAGGCAACAGGATTATTGAAGGAAATTATTCTTGCTGATGGTCGTCGACTTGATTTCAAGCAGAATTTTCATCTTTATCGAGGTTCAACGGGAAGTTATAGTGAAAAAGCTTCCGGGGCTTATGCTTTCAACCCAACACCAGAAGGCTCCAGCCCAGCAGCAAGTCAGGTCACTTATCATGTAACTAAAGGAGATTTAGTTCAAGAAGTTCATCAAATTTTCAATGAATATATTAGTCAAACTATTCGGCTTCATCAACATAGCGATTCAATTGAATTTGACTGGATAATTGGACCCATACCAAAGGGCAATTGGTATTCTGACCTCGGGAAGGAGATTGTTACTCGATATGAAACTGACTTCCTCTCAAACGGTACTTGGTGGACTGATTCTAATGGCCGTGAAGCCATAAGAAGAACACGCGATCATCGACCAACATGGAATCTGGTCACAAGCGAAAATGTAGCGGCCAATTATTATCCGATTTCTGCGTGGACTTTCATTCGTGATTATGAGCGTAATCTGCAATTAACTGTATTACCTGATCGACCACAAGGTGGATCGAGTTTGATTGATGGTTCACTCGAGCTGATGCTTCATCGGAGGCTATTTTATGATGATGGATTCGGAATGGAAGAGGCTCTCGATGAAGCTGGAAGTGATTCTCGAGGCTTGATTGTCAAGGGTCGACATCATGTTATATTATCTGATATTCGTCCGAGCGTTCAGAAAATGCGAACAATGTCCAAGCAACTTGCTCTTCCTCCACTGACCATGTTCAGAGCTCTCACAGATCCAGGAATAAACCATTTAGATCGACCTGAACGATTCGACTTCAGTGGACTTCACCGAAAACTTCCAGTCAACATTCACTTATTGAGTTTTGAGAGATGGGACGATAATAAGCTACTCATTAGGTTAGAACACTTTTTCGAAGTTAATGAAGATATGAAATACTCTCGACCCCGTCGAGTCTCACTGAGAGATCTTTTTGAACCTTTACGAATAACATCGGCCCAAGAGGTCGCACTTAACGTTGTCCAAGATCGACGAGCGACAGAAAAACGTAGACTACGATTCGTATCGCGATTTGACCCTTACTTTAATTACACCAATTTGCTCAGTCAAATTGATCCCAACGGTAAGTTTATTGTATCAATTTGTCAAACATTTTTCTAATTATCTTTCCTAATTTTAAATTCTAATCACAGATCAAAGTAATCACGGTGATGGACAAGAATCGTTGATGGTGATTCTTTATCCAATGGATATAAAAAGTTATTTAGTTACTTTTGAAGCGAAAAGAATTTGTTTTGGTTCAACTTATTCGAACAGAGCGAGAAATTATCCTTTTAATTGTTAATCTCTCTCAGTGTAAATTGTCTTAATCTCTTGATCGATTGGAGTAAATTTATTTAATTTTATACCTTCCACATAAAAGAGATGAAAGATCAATCCAATTAATTATTTTAATCAACTATGGGACTTTAATTAATCGCCAATGATCATTTCGTATTCAACTCAATGTACAAAATTCAATCAATTCATCAACCATCACAATCATTTATCTTTGTTCTTGTTTCAAGACTTTTATTTACCATTGATAATAAAATACAATCAAGTTACAATTAAATCAACAGTTATTTTAAACAAAGTCATTTAATTTAATTGTCAATGAAAATCAAAATACGAGTATAAAATTGAGATTAAGTAAAAAAGCTGTTAAAAATTGACGAAAAATTGTTAAATAAATATGATCACAGATGAAGATGAGTGTCACTCAGCCGATGATGATTTGCCTATTCGAATGCAAATAATTCATAGGCTTGGAGTTTAATACATTCGAAGCCAATAGAAAGGAAATTTGGCCTCAAGTATCGAGCGTATAATTCAATTCCTCGTAGTTGAGTGAATCTGTCATCGTAAAGCGGTTGCCGATTGATTATTAATCTTTCGGGTTCTTCGAGATAATTATTTTGAGATTGTTGTAACCATGGAAAATCAAATCCGATCGGTGGTTTGTGTGAGTGAATTGCACTTGGCTTTGAGACGAAAACACCATCGAGGGGCTTTTCGGCTCCATTGGGTGAAGCGATCAGTAGATATTCACGACCACCACGAACTTTACTGCTCTCCCAAGAATTTGTGATCTTATGCCAGAGAAGACAAGCTTCGAGTTTCATTTCTATTATGGGCAAAAGTTGTTCGAGACATAATGATTTTTGCTTCTCCGTTGTCCATAAAACTATGCGAATGTCCAGTTGATGGCGATTTATTAACAGCGAACAGATTTTGTTAAGAAGTTGAAAGGTTTGAATTATTTCCGTCGATCCTGCAGTTTCATAGTTTCGCCTCCTTTTGACTGATTTGTTTTCCCAGGGAGGATCGATTATGATTAAAAATTTCTCTTCGTCCGTGATAATCCCTTTGATGTTGATAAGATTTTTAAGAAACAGGCTGAGAGCAGCATTAACGTCACAAATGGCGAAACAACTTTGTCTTGGGATTAGATAATCTTGGAAGGCGATGTTCACGAGTATTGGATTATTTGCCAGATTACAGAGAATCTTTTCTTCGGCTAAATTATTTATTCCAGACGATCGAAGATGAATTTTCTTGGCTTTGTTTTTCGCTAACGAGTTGTCTTCTTTGGTTTCGATTATTAGAGGATTGATTTGATTTCTGATCCAAGCGAAAAGATTTCTCTCCTTGAGCGATAGATTGGCAACGTAACTCTGACGACTTGAAATCGACAGGTCGTTATCTTTATCATGTGATTTCCACCATTGTTCTGATTCCATATAAAAAGGTAAATTGATTTGAAACAGAACCGGATCAAGTTTGAGGCCTGAGTCTTTCCAATATTCTGTCCGATGATCCAAGAAGACAGCGAGTCCCGTTCCAGTTTCATTGATTCCAATTGAACGCCAATCAACAGTCCAAACAATCATTTTGTCTGCGAGATTTTTCTAAAAACAAATCAACCCAAAGATAATTTAAAAAGTTACAATTAATTAAAAGCATAGAAAACGAGAAATCAATTGACCCATAAACAAGAAACACAAAATTGTCTTGACATATTTCATAGAAACATTTCAATTAGTTGACCAACAGATATTTAAATTACTTAATAACTTCATCTCTTTTAATGGTCATTTAACTCAAACGAATAAAATTAAATTAAAAGTCAACAATTAAGTTTCTTTGTTGGCAAACATTTGAAGAAGCAGCTGATTGAAGATGTAAACAAAAATTAGTAAAACAATTTGGCGGAAAATTCAATTCCATCAATACAATAATTGGAAAAAATAATTTTTATGAATAATTCAAATTGTTATCGCAAATAATCATGACAATACCAAATTAATATAAATCTAATCAGATTTTAGACAAAAAATTAATTACCAATCCTTTTGATTGTCTAACTATTGAACATTAGAAACTTTAAAATCATTTCCATCTTAAGGTAAAAAGTACATGATGATTGACACGTTTGATCATAACAATTAAGTTGATCAATATGCCAACTTAAGAAGGTAAAAAAAGTTACGATTGTGAATTTAATTGTTTTTACAATCAAACTGAACCTGTGACAGTTTTTTACAACTTTATCCCATCAAGATGAAGGCAAAGTTGCGCTTTGAAAAGGTAAACTTATGCTCGTCGATGATATTTGAAGATTTTACCTTCACTTTTAATCAAGATTGTTCAGTCAATCGGAAAGATGAACTGAAAAATGTGACTATTGAAGAGATGGGTCAAATTTCTGGTTCAAGTTACCTGAGAAGGTGACAAAGTATATGAATGTGCCAAAGAGTCGCAATGACAACAACAATCGTTGTGAATTCATTTGCCAGATCACTGGTTTTGGATTAGGTTAATAATCTTACATGTCGAGTGTTTTTTCCCAATTTTTGCGAGTCAATTGCTTCAACAACAACAACAACAATTTACATGAGGTAATAATCAACAAGTGATCGATGGTAATGGTTATGAGTTTTTCTAAATGCGTAAGTGTAAGTTATCAGTTTAGATTTTGTCTCTTCATCATTAGTAAGAAAATGAGAAGAGTGAAAATATTTTGAAACTTTTTTCTTGTGATAAACTTGAGATGAAATTTCATCAGAATCGATTGGATCAATTCTAGAAAATTTGGTATCAATTGAAAACGAAATGAACATTTGATGATAACCAGATAATCAACTAGATATTCACATGATGATAATGATTTAGATTCTGGTAGAGGGATAAACGATTGATGATAAATTTGGAGGTCATCAACATCTTCATGTTTATTTTAGAAAAGCACTTCGATGTAACCATCATGTGTCAACCTGTTTAGACCGAGATGAATCTTCAAATTGGTGGAAAGAGAAGAGAATTTATTTGACCTTGAAAATCTTGTTTTCTAAAGGGCATTTGCTGTAGGAGAGAAGATGAAGAAGAGCCTCTCATCTTTGATCGAACGGAAAAAGAGAGAAAGAAGATAAAAAAGAACTTCTTCCCAAGAAGATGAGAAGAAAAAGAAGAGAGAGAGAGATGATGATGATGATCAAAATGGCAAGTTAGAGCCAAGAGATGAATTTGGTAACTTGCTGGCGAATCGGACTCTCGGTCGATGACCGGTAAAGCGATTTTGCATAACCTGTACTCATGGAGGGAAACGTTAGCAGGGGTTTCCCGAAACTAGATGACGATTGGATGTTTATTGTGAAGAAAAGGGAAGAGAGGAAGTGGAGAGACTGGCGAAAGAAGATAAAACGTTTGAAGAAGATGATAAGAGAAGAAAATAAAACGAAAAGAAGATTATTCTCTTTCTCTTTTGATTCGGTCATTTTTTGGAAGGTAACAAGTTGTTGACCCACCGACAGTAAAGATCATAAATTGTGGTGATAAATGTATTCCAATCTCCAAAGGAGATTCGCCATTCAAACCTTAACCCTGACAATCTTTTTAAAGATAACCTGATTTTCGGATCAATTCAAGAATGAATTATTGGTAGATTAATAGATTAATAGATTAATCTTGAAGACCAACGAAAATCAGATTAGATGAGATGATGACAGTGAACATTAAGAAGACGAATCGTTGGTCGAATATTTTTCTTTTAAATTGCAAATGGAATCATGGAAATGAATTTTCATCATTCTTTTGATCATCAAATGAATTAAATTGACTCTAAACTCATGATGAGTCACGTGATTTCGTATTTGATTCTAATCTGCCGATGGTGAAACTCAGTTGAACTCTTTTCAGGGCGATTCCTTTTTTCTCATCATTTCAATTCGTTTTCTCTCTCAAACTAAAACTTGATCTTTTCTCATTCTTGGTCAGATTAATGGACGGTGACAAGTTCACGGTGATTCTTGTTGTTCTTGCAAAGGGATTCACTTGAAATACTTTCGTCTCAAGAGAAGAAGATGAATAAAGAGAAGGTGGAGAAAGAGAGAAGTAAAGAAAGAGAGAGAGAGAGAGAGAAAGTATGAAGATAAAGAGAAGAGGATGGAAGATAAAAAGAGAGACTGAAAATCATTGTGATGAAACCGAATCGGTGGTGTCATCAACCTTCCCTTTGATCAGAACCAGTTCTACAACATTTTGTTAGAACCTTTATAACAATGGATAAGTTTTTTCTTCTTTGGTTCTTTTTTCTCTTTGCACGAATATGAGGATGATGACGATTGAAAGAAGTTGAGTAAGAAGATGAGTGAGTGAGAGAGAGAGAGAGAGAGAGAGAACAAGTTGAAAGGGAACATGAAACAAGATAAACGAAGAAGATGAACAACGAAGTAGAAAAAAGCAAATAGAAGAATAAAAAATTTCTTCTTTCGGATTCTAAGACATGAAAGTCTAACAATTAAGTTAAATTGTTGTTAACGCCACTCACAGAACTTTATCTTTTACTGGCCATCAATTTATCGTTAGATTTTCTTGATGGGAATCAAGATGATGGAAAGATAATCAACAGATCAATCGTTTGCCTGTTTAATTGGTTCCATTCAAAGATTGTCTTTGTTTGTGTTACTTTGAATATCGAAGAGAAATTTATGCTTCTTTTCTTGCGAAATTTATTTCCAATAATTGATGAATATTCATGTCATCGCTTAGATCGTTTCATCTTCTAATCAACGTCCAAATACAAAGAAATTAATTCATTTTCTTTTCTCACAAATTATCTTCATGAATGAAGCTTCTTTCATCATTGAGCTTCTCTCTCGGTGATAAATGTTTTTCCAATTCTGGTTAATAAATTGGTGGGTGTTCATGTCCAAAGAGAGAGGGTGGTGGTTGTTACAGATAAGCGAACATGAAAACACACCTTGAGCTGATTAGAGAAAAAGATTAACCAGAATACAGATTAAGAGAAAAGAGCAATTAAAGTCTAAATCTGCCATCTAACTAATTGCTCTCGCAAACTGTTATTTAACAAGTTGCCGAAAGTCTTAAAAAGTATCAACAACAATTTAATTCTAAAATGAGCAAATCGCATTAGATTTATTTTCTCATCACAATTAATTAATAATCGAATCCTTGTTAATTAATAGATGTTAGTCATCTTCCTCCATTCGCCCTTCTCTCTGTCTCTAATCAACATCATCTTTTAATCATTCAAATGATAAGCTTGTCGAACTATTGTTGAAAGAGGAATGATGATGATGATGATGATGATGATGATGGAAACGATTACTCCCAGGAAGCTTGGCCAAGTCTAAAGGGTGACCCGAGTAACAACAGTAAACACCAATAATCATCATCATCATCACTCCATCAGGTCGCTTGGTTACACCGGAAACGTCCTTCAATAAAACAAATATTAGAAGGACAATTTATCAGTTTCCTGGACATTGGAAAGGGCGTTTTCCAAAGTAAATATTAGGAGAAAAGAGAAGTTCAATTGAAAGATGATGATGATGATGAGGCCTTAGAATAAGAAGAGAAGTGAGAAAAGGGCGATTATCATCATCATCATAATCACTTTACCGGTTCAACATCTTAGCTGAGTCTTGATCCTATTCCCTTCCTTGATTGTCAACAATTTACGTTGTTTACGTTAATTACTTGTAATCAACAAATTTATTAATAGGTAACATTGAGACTTGTTAAACTTCATCATCATCACACTTAATCAATTGTCATTGTTTTTGTCACTGTTTAAGCTTTGGCTAAATTGTTATGTTACAATCAAATAAATCACAATCTACAATTTATCAGCTTGGATTTAATTTGATTAGCAGTCACTTTGCTTCATCTAAATAGTAAATCATAATTTATATTTGCTAATCATTAATTCACCTCAGGCTCAGATCAATCTAAATTGTTAGGGTATTAAGTTTACAATCAATGCTTTTGACTTAATTTATTCATGATTAACATAATCATCAACCGGATTCACATTAAGTTTTTGTTGTTTTTGGTCAAAAATCAATTTAATCTGAATTATAAATTAAGATTACACAATTAGCCTGGTAAATAAATATTGAATTGTAACTACGATTCTGATATCGATATCAAAGTAATCATGTTGAGATTAAAAAAATACTCTTGAACGTAGTTGAATCAATATGCAATGACTAATGATAAATATGATTAACTAGTGATTAAGATTACAACTATCAAGCAATTAAAACGATTTCACTTGATTAATTAGTTTCAAGTAACGAGGAGAAAAATTCCAATTAAATTCATGTGATCTTCAAGATATTGTAAACGATTACTTTGATTGGATCATTTGAATTGGAATATTTTTTGTACAGTTTTTAGAATTGCGATAAATATTATGATGGAGTTTTGTTTGATTAAAAATCGATGATTGGATTGGACTTAGTACCATTCGTCGAGAAATATTGGTCTAACTACACTCGCTGCTTTCCAGGCCAAAGCGTTGGTCGCCGATGTATCCCACCCGTCGGAAGGCGGAGGTGGAGAGGCTGGTCTTCCCCATCCAATGGATGTTGGGGGCATTGGAATCGCAATGGTCATTGGTTTTGGTGATCCCCATGAAGGAGCTGATGGAGGTGCTGGTGGATTCCAACCCGCTTCGATTACAACTGAAGAAGGTGGTGAAGGTGTTTGTACCCATCCCATCATTGGAGTTGGAGATGATATTTGTGTCCAACTGGAAGTCATTGGTGCTGGTGAGGGGGCAGGAGACCAGCTGGTTGTCATCATTATTGGAGGTGAAGCAGGAGCTGATGGCCATCCCATTTGTGGTGGTGGTGGTGCAGGGGCGGGAGGAGGTGGAGGTGGAGGGGCAGGAGGAGGGGACCAGCTTGACATTGGAGCTGGCGGAGAGGGTGAACTCCAACCTGAAACCATGGGTTTTGGCGCAGGAGCTGGAGCCGGTGCTGGGGCTGGAGCTGGAGCTGGAGCTGACCAGCTTTTGGGTTCTGGGCCAGGCCATGAACTCGGTGGGAGCATTGGCATGGGAATTGGCATCGGCATTGGCATTGGTTGGGGAACTGGAATAGGATGAGGAGCGGGCATTGGCTGAGGGGAGGGAATCGGAATGGGCATCGGGACAGGAACGGGTGAAGGATGAGGAACATGAATGGGCGTTGGACTGCAGAAGTAAATAATTGAAATCAGAATCAATTAAGAAAATAACCATAGCTAATTACTCAACTTACCTTGGAACTCTGGTAGAAAAAGAAAAGAAAATCTAATTAGTCAATTGAAATAACGAACAAAAATTAGTAAAACTTACGGAAGAATCATAACTTGAACTTGTGGGGGCGATGCTGGAGGTGATTGCATCATCATCATCTTTGGTGCTTTCTTCCGATAAACTTGCATAACTGGACAACACTTTTTTTGGCCTCCCTGTTTTTGTTTGGGCTCCTCATCAGGTACCATGTAGGGAACCGGAACTGGAATAAAAGTTGGCTTGGGTGGCATCATCATCCCACATCCTGTTGTCCCAGACAAGGTACAAAATCAAACAATTAAAACTAATCATATCATAAATGTTTACTTCGTCGAAATAATAACAATTGGAAAGTTACAGAGTGTGAAAGTTAAATAAAAGTTTGTATGATTTAAGATTCTAGACAATTAAGCTAAACGATCAGACTAATCACTATTTCCGATTTAATTGTTAAATCAAATATCAGGTCAATAATAATCTTGTCGCTTATCAGTATTAGGTTAATGATCAAAACATAAGAAAAGAGCCCATTGTTGCAGAGCAAACATTGTGACAATTTAATTATGATCAGTAGACTTTAATTAATTAACTAAACAATTGTCAATAATCAATTAACTGGATTAATAACTCACCTCCTCCACAAGGTGGTGGACCCCAACCACCACCACCTCCAGACGGTGGGTGACCCCATCCGCCTCCACCACCTTCACCTTTGCCACCACCACCGCCACCACCTGAGAAATAGAAACGATTTAATTAAGATTCTCCTGACAATTAAGCTAATTGCTTACCAATCATGATGATTGTTGGTTTACCACCTTTGCTTTTCTTAGCATCCAAAGGGTTAAATACAATTGGGAAAAAAGCAAAAAGAAATATAAAAATTGGAGAAACAATCATTTCAAATCATTCAGAAGTAATTAAATTAACACAATTTAACATGATGAACATAAAACAATTAAAAGAAATTAGCAGATTTAACACAAATCTGATGATTAGATGTTGATAGTTGATCACAATTAACACAAATTAAACTGATAAAATCGAAACCATTAGATTGTTAATCCATCGAAAGCCTGATCAAAATTAATCTTAAACTTGGACTGAACTTTCTGCCAACGATTGAACGGAAACATGATGACAATGATGATAAATCAGGAAAAGTATAAGTTGACACAATTTCGTTAAACTAATTTGATTGTTTAATCAGTTTCTATAATCTATTGAAATCAAGTTATTATATTAATAATTATGATTAATAAGAAAGGACGATAAGAGGAAGCATCTTTTACATGGATGATCCTAAATCTTGCGATGTTGTTGGTCTGATGATCGTCAACAATTAACTTTAATTTTACCATTTTATGCAGATTGATTTCTCTTATATTTTACCTTAACCACTTCCTTAGCCAGCAATTTGCCCTTAATTGTAATTAAATCGTTGCATCGCAAGTATTAAAAGAGTAAAAGTTAATTAGAACAGAAAAAAAGATCTTCATTAATTGCAACCTTTTCGAACCAACAATTTGACATTGAACCAAATTAATTTGAACATTTGACGAAAAGAACGAAATTAAATTAATCAAACCAATATTACGATTAATATTCAAGTCTCAATCAATTGAGTTTCCACATGATTCAATTGATTGTACTGAATTAGAGTTGATAAAACTTTAAATTCCCAATTAGTTCAGTCAATGTGATTTACTGAAAAGAATTGGAAAAATTTTAGTAAACAATAAACACTAATTAACAAATACATTACAATGCAAAGGTATCGATAAATTTGTTGTGCAATTGGAAATTAATTGATTGGTGATGAACAATTTACAATGAAATTTAGTCCATAATTGAAATTGTGTAAAATTGTATTAAATTGTTAATTGTTTTCGTTGAAAAGTGAAACGGGTTAATGTTGAGCAATCTAATTTTTCCTTTCTTTTTCTCTTTCATGATCAACATGATGATGATTATTCTTTGCACTGAGTCTATTCACTGAATTGAAGGTTCTAATTAAAATGATTGAAACTATTGAATCAAGTGAGAGCGATACTAATAATCAATTTCATTAGAAATCATCACTTTCATTCATTGGAATCAACGATTCGATTGAGAAAAGTTTTTCTTTCGTTCATTGTTTTCTTCAATTCAATTCGTTCTTTATGTTAATATTTCACAACAAAAGTTAATCCAAATCCATTTTTCTGCATCAACTTTAATCATTTCTCTCTAATGATTCACAAATCATGTTAATCAATTCAAATGGTTATCTTATAATCTGCACGATAATAAACCTGATTAACTTAATCTCACCAGAGGAAATCATCTCTTCAGTTTCAGAGGATTGGTCATTCGATCAGTTGATCCCTAAGAATTACAAACGCATGAGACCCCCGAAAATCAATGGTAAGTATCGTAATCAAATTGTTCCACCACAACAGCAATTAAAACCTAATTGTGACAATCTATCAATTGAACATCAGGTGAACCCGCTAAAGTTAATCTCACATTGGTGCTAAAGCAGCTGATCGCTGCCAATGAAGCCGAACAGGTAAACATTGAATATGATTTCATCAAGGTTGGTTAAAAATGAGTCCAATTGATTGTGATTTACTCTCAATTAAATTATGCTTATTTTCACAGCTTAATTTTTGCTGCTCATCAACAATCGTAATGTTAATTACTCTGTTTACAATTAATGTCAACAATCATTTGCATAATTGCATTTCAATTTTAAACTTTGCATTTTTCAGAAACTTTAATTCCCTTTTTTTTGTATATTGATCATTAATTCTTGTACTGTTTATTTTTTCCCTCTCATATTCATTTGATTAATATGATTAACTAATTGTGCCCCAATTGTGTCAGTCGATTACGATGGATTTATTTTTCTATCAACGTTGGATTGATCAACGAATTAAACTTCCAAACGATTTTGATTCAATTACATTGGACTCATCATGGAAAAACAAATTGTGGATTCCGAATCTTCATTTTGTTAATTCACTTTCAAATACACCCGTTGATTTGATTACTAATCCTTTATTCATTGAACTATCAAACGGCAGCCATTTTTCAATGGCCACTCGAGTTATCGTCAAGTTAACATGTCACATGGATCTATTTAATTTCCCTCAGGATACACAAATTTGCAATGTCGATTTAGCTTGTGGTAAGATTAAATTGTTTACTTGATTAGTTAAATTGTGTGTGATGATGTGTAACTAAAATTGATGATTAACCGTTAACAAGGTTTATGCAGAAATCGTTTTAATTGTTTTTAATCATCATCATTTCAGATGATTCAAGGATATTATTACAATTGCTGAGTAAATTAAATTTGATTCTAGTTAGCACGTCAATTGAAAGGGTCACCTAAATTCATCGTGTCCATGACTTGAAAACCTTTTCCGAAATCAAAGTTGATTAATACAAGACAATTAACTTTTCCATATTCTCATTACTCATTTGCTACATAATCAGCAAATTATCGTTACGATTAACACCCATTCTAAATCATCATTCGTTCTAGATTATTTTAATCAAGGTTAACTTGATGATTGATTGTAATTTTAGTACCGGAAATGGAATATGCAAAATATCAGAATTAATTTGAATTGTTCGAGCTTTTGAATTCTATATACATCCCGCGCTTTCGTTTCGATCTCGATATTAATTATGGTCACTTTTTGAACTTTAGTTGATTGGTCCAATCGAAGTGTCAACTTTTTCCTCAATAAATTTACCATGGACGACATGGATGATTTTCCAAAGTTCGAGATTACTGATCATTTCATTGAGAAATGTTCATTTTATCGAGGACCTGAATTCCCATGTTTACGAGTTCGACTTGAACTTTTCAGGCGAATCTCTTATTATATATTACGAATCTATGGGCCAAGTTTCCTCTTGACCTTAACTTCGTTCGTTGGATTTTGGATTCCAGCGGTCGGATATCCTGCTAGGGTTCGTATTCTCTGATCAAACTAATAGAGCTCGAAATGACCTTTGCTTATGTCTCACAATTAAGGTCGCAATCAGTGTAACTCCACTTTTGGCCTTGGTCACTCAGCAAATGCAAATAAACGCGGAGATCAATGTATCTTACGTCGTCGCTCTTCACATTTGGATGATGATACAAATATTTTTCGTCTTCATGTCACTAATCGAATACGTTTTCGCGATTGTCTATGTCCACTTGGTGGAAGAAAAAAAGGAGGTAAGTAGATCAATAATCGATCGATTTCTTTTATCAACCAATATTCTAAGAGGTGACATAACTTAATTTCATCAAAGTTTTCTTCATCTGTCAATCAGTACCTTCGATCAGCCACTTATCGTCTTCAATGTACTTCCGATTCGAATAAGATGAGCCACGCAATTAAACTTGTTCTCAATAAAGTCTATGGTAACGTGGATTGGAATAAGAATCCATTGGATCGTAATAAAGTCGATTACGCGGCTCGAATCATCTTCCCATTTGCATACGTACTTTTCCTCATTGTCTATGGATCAGTATTCGTGTTTCCTTGGATGTTTTCAAAGTATCTGTGATCATTTGTCTTCTTCTCTGTTCATAAACAATCGTCATCATCATTGTCATTCCAATGGAACTCAACCAATAGCAACAATTCAATTCATGTTCCCCATGCAAGTTCACAGATTCATTACTTTCATTGTAAAATTTTTCTTTCTTATTCTCACGTTTAGTTAAACTCACCATCATTCTGATGATTCATTTAAAATCAGTGGACATTTAGACAATTATGTGTTTCCAATTGATTGAAATTCAGGTAATGCCAATAAAACGATGAGACATTTAATCAATCACTAAATGTTAATTGTCTGTCGTTTATTTCATTGACAATTTCACAAGTCATCTTCAAAGTCGAGCAATTTAATGACAAAGAAAAGGGAGACCAATTGAAAATAGAATAACATTAAATTATGTTTAGTTGCTTTTTCGAATTTTAAATACAATTAGACCTTCAACTTTACAATTAACTGAATAGTCAATCAGAGATATTTATAATCAGATTAATCGGATAATCGAAATCAGAGAAGTGGAAAAAATGAACATTAAATCGAGGCTTAATTGCTACGAATCAGCTGAGTAAAGATTATGGATTATGAGTTAATGTGGAGAAGGAAAAAAAGTTGATATGAGTTCAATGACGTTTACATGATTAATTGTTAACAATTAGAAATCCCAATTCGATTTTAATTAAAGAAATCTACTCTTCCTATCAAGTTTCATAATCATCTCCGGATATAAACACTGAATCGCATGATGATTAAGCAAAATTCTGGTTTATTCAAGTCATTGGCATTAACAACAATTTACTTATCAAAAAAACGAGTAAATTATTAAACTAGTTAATTGTCAATCAACAATCAACGAATAATTTAAACGAGAAAAAGAGAGATGAAAGAAAAGATTATCCTTAATTGTGATCATTTACTTGATTTAAAGTTCAAGATGATCTCAAGATTAGCGATCAACTTGTTTATCTTTTCGTCTTGTTGGTGTTTCTTTCGGATAACAGATTAGATTAGCTTGTCACGATTAAAATGGATTAGTATTGTTCCTCTCTCGCTCTCTCTATGTTATTATGTCCAAGGCCAAAGGTGAAGCAACAACCTGAGCCACTTTTAGGGAGGTTCCATTGGGTTTCCATGAACCATAAGGTGGCCAAAGATGAAGAGCAAGTGAAACGTAACAAACGTAATGTTATTTTCTGGTAACTTTGGATTTTCTGGTTTTCGTTTTTCCAAATTAAGTGAATTTCTTTTCTTTTCATCATTTGAGCACCATAACTATTTCATTTAATTGAACTTCATTGGCCTTGATTAGATTAGAACATAATCTCTTTGTGAGAAAGTGGAAAGAGAAGAGAAAAGAGAAAAGCGAACAATCCAAAATGGCGACGACCTTTGAAAATGTCGTCGACCTTTTTTTCTCTCTCCAATTCTCTGCAATCGGATAAACTTGATTTCGACCAAAAATCTGGTTATTTCTTTGGTTCAAATTCTAAAATGTTTCTCATTTAATTTCTCCTTCTTTTTTTCCTCTTCTCTTGATGAACAAAAAAAAATAAATTTCTTCTTGACGATTTAATTAGTTGCTAGTTTTTCGTTGATTAACTGTGGCCAAAGTTAATTGTTTATTCAATTTGTAAGCTGAACATATAAAGGTAACAACGCGAGTAGAAGTTAATTGTTTAACTGAGGCAGAAACCGAATCACCAGAAAAGAGAGTCAAAGTAATTTTATATTTTGAACAAAGACTCAAATTCATTTGAACGTCATTATATTTACCTTTTTTGATAGAACAACAATCAAGTAGAAAACCTGATTTAGAGAAAGAGAAACAACATTTCCAAAGGTTTTCTCTTCTCTTTCGTCTCTCTTTCGACTTAAGCCCCGCTTTCCATTGAAAATCTCTTCTTCTTCTTCTCTCTTTCTTTCCAAGAGATGATTAGTCTCTCGGCTTCTCTTTCTCTTCTTTCTCTTTTTCTCTTTTCCCACCCCGATTTCTCTCTCTCTCTCTCTCTTACTTTTCTCTTCTCTCCTTATCTTCTCTCTCTCTCTTTCTCTCTTCTTCTTCTCTCGGTTACATTGCCCCTTAGTCACTGAGCCTCAGTAGTTATACAAGTGTAATTTTAGTTTCATTCGTGCGACCAATCACTTTACCCTTCTTTCTGCTTGTGTTTATATTTTTGCGACTCTTGCGATTTGATCTTCATAATCGCAATTCTTTTAATTCCAGCGAAATTTTCTTATTGCAAACTAATCACCAATCACGACATTTTCTTTCAATTGTTCTTGTGATTCATTTGCTTTTCTTTTCTAATTTTCTCTGTGTTGCTTTTTTTTTCCTATTCTCTCTCGTTCATCAAGCAACAAGTGTCCATTTTTCTTTTGCTTATTTTCTCTTTTTTTTCTCTCTGATACCCTCATCTTTACATTCACCATTTTTCTTCCAATTACATTGATTGTCAATCTTCCAGTTTTCTTTAATTAATTCAAATTCTATGTGATTCAAACATCTGGTTTATTCTTGGATCAATTTTCAAGTTCGTCGTCAGTCTGCAATTGCTTAATGTAAAAGCGTAAAAAACTCGCCTTTTCGGATTCCCAATTTTCTTCGTCTTTGGCCTTTTTCCTTTTCCACCAATTGATTGACCCTTAAAGACGATAATTTATACATCTACTAGATGTAAACTCATGTGTCCCGTTAAAATTAACTTTATTTTGTGCAACAACGTTGACCTTTTGAACTCTAATTTATGTTTATTTTTGTTACTGGTTTAGCTATTACATTACCATTTTCTCGTAATCTATTAGCACAATCTAATAGATACGCATAAGCTAATATACACAAACCACTATTGCTTTGTACACACTCACACACCTAGAAAAGGAATCCATTTATTTTGACAAGGTTGTGTTTAAACATAAACAAATAATGCCGACGATGACGAATAAAGGTTCGGACTTGGTTATGACGACTATAAAAACCGGAGAGGATGACCAGTGTAGATCACTGGTCTGCGATCCAAATGGTATAATTGTCGCTGAAATGGTTTATCGTTGTATGGTTTGTTTTTATATATCTGATACAATGATTGAGGCTCGACAACATTATACATTGAAACACATGGACGATGACGACGAGAGGGACGCAGATAGACCTGGAGAATCATTTGTGGAAACAGAAGATGCCAACAATAACACGACAAGTGGATTAAATCATAATCACAATCACATTAACCAGTACAGTTTAAATGGTAAAAACAGTCGACACAATCATCACAATTCATTGGTACCACAAGTTAACGGACCATATTACAAGAACTACTCGGGAGATGAAGGTTTGTCACCCGACGATGGAGATAATTATGATCCCTATTCACCATTGGTAACTATGACCGAAGGTCTTGAAGCTACCAATGGAGAGAGTTCACCCAACGGTGTCGGAGGAAAGAGTGGTTATGTTAATTGTGCTGTATGTGGTGTCACACGTTTCTATTCATGTGTCCAACGTCGATATGGTCAATTTACATGTGTTACATGTTATAGATATTTTAGAACATTTTTAGTTAACCCTAAAAAGTACTCTTGTCCATCTTTGGGTGAATGTCTTCTCAATGTAAGAACTCGATGTCGAGCTTGTTGGATTAAAGCCTGTATCGATGTTTTTTCTGTAGACTTGCGGAGACAACATTTGATTGAAGAGTTTCGACCAATCCGAGCTAAACCAGGAACCAAAGGAACTGGAACCAATGGGACCCTAACAGCCGAAGCTTTAGCTGACCTCAACTTGGGATCAGCTTCTACTGGACCAACACCCGAAGGATCCGCTGGATCATCCAGTGGAGAGATACCAACAATGTCAATCACGTACAACGCCAGTGTTGATGGATCATTGGATCTTTCCACCTCCATTTTAAACAGAAATGGAAACAACATAATGAACAATAACAATAACACCCCCACCACGACCACAACTAATGGACACCGAGGTCGTAAACCAGAAAAACAAATCTCACCCAAAGTTAAACTAACTACCGGTAAAAAGGTTTGGTCCTGTGGTAAATGTGCAACTTGTATGGCGGAAGATTGTGGTAAATGTATATACTGTTTGGATAGACCCAAATTTGGTGGGCCGTTCATAAAGAAACAGAGGTGCATTAAACGCCGGTGTTTAAACAAAGTGAAGAATAAAATTGCCAATGGTAATGCTGTTACATGTTAATTGCTGAATCATATTAATTAACATCAATAAACTGTGATTCTTATCCATGGATTGTATTAGAAATACCATCTGAATATAAGCATGAACATATTGAAAATCAACTATAATCATAAGCACAAAACATAAAAATCAATTTGTAATTAAGTTCACCTAAACTCGAGTCAATTGATGGATCGCGGCGGATTGAATGATCATCGCATGGAAATTGTCACAATAATATGAACCAATTAATTTAATATTACAAAAAAAACATATAATAATCAAGATACATGTAATGTTCATGATCTCTCCGGATTTACTCAATTAACTTTATTTCCAATGGTTGATTAGAGTTACTCTTTTTTTATACATAAATATTTAAACTAAACTATAAAAACACAATTGAAATGAGTAATTAACTCATGAAACAAAGACGACGAAGCAAAACCACCTTGAATCATCATCATCACAATTAAGAAGAAAAGAAATGCCTTAATTCCTGATTGGAGATCTCATACTAAACATTGTCACCATTTTCACTATTCAAACGAAAATTGAACTTTTTTCATCATTTCTTCATTTCTTCATTTCTTCATGTATGATATAAATTACATTTCATCACCAATTCGACCTTTTCTCATCATCATCATCATCATCATCATCATTATTATTATCCTCATCTTCATCAATTCTATTCTTTTTCCTTTTTTCCTCTCTCTCTCTCTCTCGCTCGCTCTCTCTTCCCTCTCTGCTCTTCTTCTCGACTTTATAATCAACGCTTATTCCTGATCATCTGCCTCATCATTTGCCTAATCATCCTCATTATCTTCACTACCACGTTGCTACTGCAGCTTCGAGTATTACAACAGCAGAAACAAAATATCGAGAGAAATATAATTTCCATCGCAATCGATTCATAATATCAACGAATCATAATCACAATGAGAGAAGGTAAAAGAAGGAGGTGGAAATTGATGAAACCAATTGAACGCTTGGAACAAATGTAATCAAATGGAAAAAAGAAAACAAAGAAAAAATAAAAAGAAAAAGGAGAAAAATGAAAAACAAAGCAAAGCAAAGAAACAAAGTGAAAACATCGAAAGCAATAATTGGCCTTAAAAGTGTCCTTACGAAAATGAACGAAGAAAAGCAAAGAAACGAAAAAGAATTGCCTTAAATCACCTCAATTCGCCTTATTAATTTGTCGCAACAATGGAAAAGAAATGATGGTTTCAATTGGCAAGGAATTAACGAGAAAATGAATCGATTACATTTACATTGTGTCTTGTCAATTGAATTAAAGCCCGTGAGAGTTTGGATATTTATTAATCTTGTGGATTAATCATCTGAACGTGTAAACCTTATTTTGATTATTTTTCTTACCTTTTTTAGTGTATTTAAGCAATAACTTGAATTAATTAATCTCTTGCTCTCCTCCTTTGGTGTTTGCTTTTTCTGGTCCAGTTTTTTATAAGCAAGAAACTAAAACAATTATGTAAATCAATTCTCTCTTTTTCTGTACTCCACATATTTCGGGATAATCCTCTTAGAAAACACTATCAAGTAAAATCACTAATCCAATACACTTATAAAATATAAAAAAATTGCAATAAATTCAATTTAATCAACAAAATTGGACGTTTATCAACAATTTGAGCCCAAAAAGTTGTCACATTAATTCAAACTCTCAATTAAAATGAGTCTCTTCCAAATGGACTAATTAAAACTAATTATCTCTTCTCAATCAACAATTGAAGTTAATTGTGTCGAACGAGAATTAAGTTAATAGAAAGAATGAAAATTTGAAAAGAAATTAACTAATAACTTCCTGATCATTTTTCGTAAAGTGCAATGAGAAATTCAAAGTTAATGTTTTTCCATCAAAAATCAATAATCAAATTGTAGTTGATCGGCAATTAATCATAATCATGATCAACATCGTAATCATAACGATCATCAATCAAATTGATTAAAACTACTAATCATACTGATTAAACAACAATCAACCACAAGCACCAGAAATAAATTGTTTCTTATTTTCAATATTTCTCCCAACAATTAACTAACCAACAATCTTGATGGTTCCTTATATATTTTTTCAATTATAATAATAGCAACTTGATAGTAGATTAATTGTCTTAATTAATCACAATTAAGTTGGAAGATGGAAATGGCAACGCGGTTTCGTTTGAAATTGATTGTTGTTGATTAATGTCAATTTTAATTTACAATTAAAACTTTTCCTTTCGTACTAATTGTTTACAAATTAATCCAATAGATCTTATTGATTATGTTTTGTATTATTTATCAATCTAATTTACTATTTAATTGACCTCAATTGTTGCAATTGATTGTTATTATAATCATCACAACAATTTATTTCCCGCTGATAGTTGATCTTAGTCAATGTTAATTGTGATCAAAGTGTAAGTGTTATTGATTATCATTAATAATCAAGAAGACTCTTAATCTTAATCAATTTGCAAAAATTAATTCAAACTTAATCCGGTTTCTAAATCAAGTAACAATACAGAATAGATAATAATATTTAAATTTTAATTCATTCACTACACAAACAACAATTAACATTACACAATCAGTTAATTCCTTTGTTGACTTAATCATTTATTATTATTATCAATTTAACTGCAACAATTACAATTAGAATAGTTGATTAGGTAAATATTATTAATGTTTAACCAGGCCCGAAAATATAACATTTGAACAATTTTTAATTCACTTTCATCGGGTTTAATTGTTAATCAACTATTTAACTTTCTACAACCAATTGAAACTTTTTTGGATCATTTGAAAAGTGATTCGTTGATTAAGACAATTGAGTTGATTGAATTTAAATCTAACATTAAATTAATCAACTAATTCATTGATTATAATCTCATTTTAAACAATCAACCAGATCAGTTTTAATTGTGTAGTTTAAGTTGCTTTTTCATAGAGATTGATTGTTAAATCATTAACTTTGACAATCATTACAATTAGAGATCAAAGTTTATTGAATTAATGTCAAATTGGTTAATCAGTTTGATCAGTTTCAATTTTCATCAACTTAATCAGATTAAATTGCAACAATTTAAGGCTTGATCCAAGTGAGAATCAGAGAGTTGGTCAACTAATTGTAATTGTGATTGTGATTTGGATTAAAATTTTACTTTCGATTCATTTTAATTAAAGTAATTTTCTTTAATTATCTTTCAATCTAAATCTGTTTCTCACAAAATTGTTTAACAATTAAATCATAATTAAAGTTAAGCCAAAATCTTATTGTGGAAGCAATTTGACAACAAAATAATTAATATTTCTCAATATCATTAACTTTAATCCAATTTGTTTGGATAGCTAACAATTGATTGATTGTTGCATCATTTTCATCGTGATAATGATCAGTAAATTAATCAAAATTATCAATGATAATGATTCAAATTGCACTAATTCGGATTCTAAAGTAAAGTCTCAATCATTTTGATCACTTCATAAGGTAATCAAATTATTTTAATCAATTGATTGTTGATCAAATAATTAATAGGCAAGTAAAAGGATAATAAAGATATTATTAATATTAATACATCACAATTAAAATATGATGAAAGATGATTAGATGATTGAGATTAACTCAAGTCATTGGATTGAAATAAAAACAATTAATGAGAAAATCAGTTAATTGTATTGATTAAATTGACACTATTAAAATGTTAAATGCAACATTGATATTGACAATCAATGACAAGGTCACAATTTAAATTACCGATTAACTTTCTGTCTTAATCAGTTAATCAATAAGATTAGGAGTTAAATTTGATGATAATGATGAAAAATGATTAATCAATTGTAAACATTTTGACTGTCAAATGAAACTAATCAACAACATCAATTGGTCAATCAATTGTAAGGATAAATAAATTGAATGATATTGTTGATTGTTACTTGATAATATCAATTGTTATGATAATCAATTTAAATTAATAAATTAAACATTAATATAAATCAATAATAATAAACAATTTGAATGAGCGGAAGTTTTTTCATCACAACAATAATAATAATCAACTCGCACTGGGATGTTGATTGTTATTAAATAATAGATTCACTGATTTTTAACTTTAATCATCATCATCGTGTTTAAATTAAATTAATACAATTGAAGTGATAAGCTGTTATTCAATTTGAACAAATCTAAGCATCGACGTGCCTCATTGAATTGGTCAGTTGATTGGTCAGTCCAAGAAGAAAGGAAACTTTATTTTTAAATGGAAACAACCAAATATATGGTTAAGGCAATTGAAGGTGGTCATTGTGGTGGTGGAGGCGGAGGAAAATGTTGTGGTGATGGTCAAGAGGTGGAAGGAGTTGATTGTAGGTTCATTTAATCACGAAATTTATGTTTCATTGGATTGCACGATTAACTTAATTATGTCCGAACTACGAAGTAATAATAAGACGAACTTTTTTTTCTTCCTCTTCCTTATCTGTCCATCTTAACTAATTCTCACTTTCTTTTCTTACTCTTTGTTTTTTTTTCTTTCTATTTTCTACCTTTCTTTTCCTACCTGTTGAAACTTTTCTTCATCATCATCATCATCACAAGTAACTCACTCGAATGATAGAAAGTCTCTCATCATCATCTTCATTATCATCTTGATCATTTGACGTTCTATTTCCATATTTTTCACTCAGAAACTCACGATCTATGGATAAACTGACCCTCCGGCAATACGATGTCCGAATTAACTGTTTTACTAATTGTTGTATAATATTTGCAACCTTAATTAGCATTACAATTAATATTAAACAATTTAACAGAAGGAAAAACACTTAAATAATAAATAGTAAATGATAATCAATTAATTTAAAAGTCACTTGTTAGTTTTCACTTGCATTAATCTGGTCACCTAATTAATTACAATTGTACAATTTCAGTACACTTTTAGGTTAATCATTAGTGTCTAATTACAAGTAAAATTTATTGTTAATTAATCTGCTAATACAAGTGATAAACTCTAATGTATTTTAATTACATAATAATCGCTAGATTAATCAGTGATCTTAATACTGATACTACTCTTAAATATGAATCCATCAGATCAAATAATTATGATTATTGGTTAATTAGTTAGCTGAGATGTTAATTATCTGATAGTTTTAATCATTTAAGTGCAAACATTAATAATAATTAAAAAGAAACGGAAAAAGATGATTAAGAAAAAGTTTGATTAAAAATCGTGTCCTAATTAACGATTCATCAAAACAAAAGATTTTAAATCGTTGATTTTATAATCAGTTTGGATAGAAAGTGATTAGTTAAAAAAGGATGAAGATGGAGATGAAGATGAAGATGATGATGGTGATGGTGATGATGAATGAAAGTGAAACTGAATGAAGATGATGAAGATATTGTGGCTTAATAACCAGTCTCAAAATAGGCCAGAGAGCGGGTGAAGATGAGGAGGTGGGAGGGGAAGTTTGGTGAGAAGATGGGCTTTAGAGTGAAAGTATCTTCTCTTTCTTTTTCTCTTACCTTCCTTTCTATTGCATAACTTTACCTGTTGGTCACTATGATTCAGTAGTGGTCACTCTTGAATCGATTCTTATCTTCCAGTGAGAGAGAAGCCTTGATATATAAAGATGACCATCGAGCGATAATTTCAACATAACAATTTATCCTTTCGTTGTGAGTGTCTTCATTTCTGCTCAATTCAATTGTTTACTCAATCGATTCACCGATTTACCATTGGAAACTTTTTGGACTATTCTTGTTTCGAGTGATTAACTTTGTGTCTCCGTCATCATGAGTCTTGCAAGTCGAGCTCAAACTTTGAGCTTATTCTTTCTCTCCTTAATTGTTATCCAAATGTGCTTAGTTACTTTCTATGGGTTAGAAGTTGACGCTGGAAAGAAAAAGAAATTAAAAAAATTAGCTGCTCTTCTCCTTCTTCTCAAATCGACGAAAAAACCTAAATTCGGAATACTTCCGATTCCATTGCCAATTCCAATTCCGTGAGTATTTGAAGTTCTTGTTTGTCTCGACGATGATCACCATGTTTTCTTAGTGAAGTGAAAGTTTATCTCTTTGTTTCCATCGTGAAATTTGATTAGTTAATTAACTCATGATTTCTTTTAATTGTTTACTTTTGTTAACAGTCTTGTGATTGATTTGATGAAAAAGGCTGGAGGAAAATCAATGATGAGTGGGATGATGAACTCGATGATGGGAATGATGGGTAAAGGTGGCGGAGGTGGTGGAGGCCACATGGGTGGTGGAATGGGAGGCGGAATGGGCGGTGGTATGTCCATGGGAGGAATGGGAGGTGGAATGAGCTCCGGCGGAGGTTGGGGAGGAAATAACATGAACGAGATGATGCAAATGATGTCGATGATGGATTCGTATGGCGACATGGGAATGATGATGGACGATGGTGACAGTTGGGGTGGAATGAGTGGAATGGGAGGAGGAATGGGTGGAGGTTCTTCCTATGGTGGTGGTGGAAACTCATATGGAGGTAATTCCGGTGGTTCAGGTGGAAACTACGGTGGAGCCTCAAACGGCGGTGGTTCCGGAGGCTATGGAGGTAATAACGGCGGTGGGTCAGGAGCCGGAGGTGGTTGGGGTGGATCAATGAACGGAGGAGGAATGGGTTCAGGTAAGAATCAAATGTCCACTTCGGTCAAATTAACTAATCACAATCTAATCTTTCTATCGACTCATTTAGGTGGATATGGTGGTGGAAGAGATTAATTGTAAAATTTAATCACAACGCTGGTTCGTTGATGATCAGTTAATCAATTTAACTTCATCTTTTTTTATGCTGCCATTTTTCAATCAATCTAAATTGTAATCAAATTTAATTACAATCTGATTGCCTTTCCACAATTGATCATCATTTTTTCATGTAAATTCTCAATCAACTAATTTTGTTTTCCCTTTTAATTGTTGTCATCCCTTAGTGTCTTTCGTCTTAATTGTTTCCCCTTAATAATTGTCATCATAATTTACAAATCAATTAACATCCATTCAGATACAAATTAAACCTGAAATCTCAAATTTCTGTTAATCACAATTAACTAATTGTAACGAAGCTCAAATCATCCCAATTAACTTTTTAATTGTTTAAGCTTCAGTAACAAATCATGTCTTTAAATAAAATCAATGTTTCTTAATTGCTACTTGGCTTCATTCATTGAAAATCGTGAACAATTAGTTAATTTTACAATTAAATGATAAAAACTTAATTCAATATGGGTGAATATGTTTACTAACTAATTAACTTAATCACCTGTAATATAAATTGAATACTTCCTGAACAATAATAATAATTAATCAGGATGTTAGTTGATTAATAGTGAGAATCAAATTAGTGAAAATTTAGTAAACCAATTTACTACAATCAAAAGTTTTCAATGATTATAATCAAGTGATGATTAACTGTCAAATTGTAAAGTAACAACAAAGTCACGATGTTAATTGATTGCAATCAAAATCAATCCAAACAATCAAGGTAAGGCCAAGGTTCAAGCCTTAAAATAGACGAAACAATTTAAACTAATCAACTGGCAACAATCAAATACAATGATTATTATTTAAATTGTTTTAATCGTTGTAAAAATATCATTGATCTAAGGCGATTAAGGGAAATGTTTATTTAATTGTATAATAAATCTTGAACTTAGTTGATTTTAATGAGTGTCAATTGTATTTTCGTTGATTAATATTAATTGGGATGATTAGTCTTGATTAGATTAATTATCCAATCGTAATGAGGGTTAATAGTGAACAATGAAAATTAAAAGGTCGACGACATTTAATGTCAATTGGAATCACAGTTGGAGAGGATCGATTAGCCCTCGGGACAAATTCTGACCAGTGAAAGCGAAAGAAAATATCGAATATTGACCAAAACAATTGCGAAAGAATCAAAACTTGATCCAAGAAGAAATAGAGAAGTGAAAACAGAGACGAATTGGAGAGAGAGAAAAATGTTCTATGATGTTTAGTCTTTGATTTTCTTTCTTTTTCTTCTTTCGTCTTTGTCGACATGATGGAAGAGAATTTGAAGTTTTACTTTTTTTTTTCTTCTTTTCCACCGAAAAACAAGTAAGAGAAAATTGCGAGAAAAACCACTCAACTTGTTTTACTTTTCCTCCTCTCGCTTTTCTCTCTCTTTCCCACCCACCCCACGAAGAGAAGCCGATGGGAGTTGTTCCTCTGTAATGGACTTTCAAGAGATCGTGTTGGTCTGTGAACTTGCGACTTCATTGGAAAATATTTTAGACAATTTTCGCTTTTTCTTTGTTTTCTAATCCAAAGTAAGTGTCCGATCCATTTGTTATTCTTCAAACAATTTACTCTCCACTTCCTCTTCCAATTGATATAATTAATTTCCATTGTGATTAAGTTATTAATTTATTGCAATTAATTTCTATTCTCTTCATCTCTCTCTCTCTCTCTCTTGCTCTCCCTTTTCTCTTCTCAGACCTTGGGAAAATCACACGTTGCTCTTGCTCTTTCTTTCTCTTTCTTTTCTTGTCTTTCTTTTTTTCGTGTTGCTTTTTCTCTTTTCCAATTTCCCTCTTCTTCTCCTCTCTTATTACAATCTCTCGCTTTCTGCCTTCTCTTCACATCCACTGTAATTTTCTCGACTAAAAGTCTAGTTAATTCTTCATTTTATTCTCTATTTGGATTCTCATTTTTTTCCTCTTAATTGTTGTTCTCGATTAACTTTCGATAACAATTAATACACTTGATCAACAACAGTATCTGTTCATCGACTGTTTACTCAGATTTTTCTTTGTCTTCTTTCTTGATTCTCTTATTTTTTTTTCCTTTTTTGTTTCATTTTCTCGTAGAATCTGCAACAAGTGTCCATTTCTTTTCTTTTTTGACCCTTACATTTAGTTGGATAATTTCATCATAAATCATCGGGTTTTTTTATTCTTCACTTTTCAATTACCTTGTGTCATCATTTGCATGTAATCAATTGAAATACTTTCTAATTAATCCTATTGGTTAACTACATATTAATAGTTCGTGCTACTGAGTTGCCTTCACGTGTTAATCCAATCGTCATCGGCCTAACTTGATTTCTCTCGTTCAATGTTATAAAGTTATCTCATTTTCTCAACATTAACTCATGTGCCTTTCCAAGTGCTTCTTATATCGTAAAATCACTTCGTCCTTTTGAACTTTTATTCATATTCTTTTTGGAAACCCCTATGTTAAAGTAATCACTTTTCGTTAATCTGCTTTTACGCCAACTAACATGAAACAATGAGGTTTTTTTATTCATCCATTTTAATACTTGTTATTTATTTGCTTTGAACAGATTGGTGATTTATAGATAAAGCTAAATTTCAAATGCCGACAATGACACCGAAAAGTGCTAAACAAGATATTAAATCTTCAAAGATAATGGAAGACGATCACTGTAGATCATTGGTATGCGATCCGAACGGAATAATTATTGCTGAGATGGTTTATCGATGTATGATTTGCTTTTATCTCACTGATACTATGGTCGAAGCTCGACAACATTATACTTTAGTTCACATGGATGACGACGAAAGAGACGCAGATAGACCTTGTGAATCGTTTATGGAAACAGAAGATGCCAACAATAACACGACAAGTGGATTAAATCATAATCACAATCACATTAACCAGTACAGTTTAAATGGTAAAAACAGTCGACACAACCATCACAATTCATTGGTACCACAAGTTAACGGACCATATTACAAGAACTACTCGGGAGATGAAGGTTTGTCACCCGACGATGGAGATAATTATGATCCCTATTCACCATTGGTAACTATGACCGAAGGTCTTGAAGCTACCAATGGAGAGAGTTCACCCAACGGTGTCGGAGGAAAGAGTGGTTATGTTAATTGTGCTGTATGTGGTGTCACACGTTTCTATTCATGTGTCCAGCGTCGATATGGCCAACTCACTTGTGTTACATGTTATAGATATTTTAGAGAATTTTCAGTTAAGCCTAAAAAGTACTCTTGTCCATCTTTGGGTGAATGTCCTCTCAATGTAAGAACCCGATGTCGAGCGTGTTGGATTAAAGCTTGTTTGGATGTTTTTTCTATAGACTTGCGGAAACAACTCACCATAAAAGAGTTTCGACCGTTTCGATGTAAACCAGGACCAAAAGAAACAGGAAATGGATCACATAGCCTCACAGCCGAAACGCTGGCTGATCTCGCTCTACAATCAGCGTCCACTGGACCAACGCCCGAAGGATCTGCCGATTCATCTAATGGAGACGCGCCAATGATAATTACTTACAACGCCCGTGGTAATGGGTCATTAGAATTATCTTCCTCCGTCTTGAATAAAGATCTTACCAATGATAATATTACGATGAAAAACAACATTATGAACCCGAATTCGTCCAGCAATGGTCACAAAGGTCGTAAACCAGAAAAACAAATTTCGCCGAAAGTTAAACTAACCGGTAAAAAGGTTTGGTCCTGTGGTAAATGTGCAACTTGTATGGCGGAAGATTGTGGTAAATGTATATACTGTTTGGATAGACCCAAATTTGGTGGGCCGTTCATAAAGAAACAGAGGTGCATTAAACGCCGTTGTTTAAACAAAATGAAGAATAAAATTGTCACCGGTCCTCCTCCATTATCTTGTTAATTTTAGCATCTGAAGCACATGTTGTGTCTCATCTCGAATTAGGGAAATAAGCACCATGGGTTTGCTACTACAGCTCGAGTCAATTGATGGATCGCGGCGGATTGAATGATCATCGCATGGAAATTGTCACAATAATATGAACCAATTAATTTAATATTACAAAAAAAACATATAATAATCAAGATACATGTAATGTTCATGATCTCTCCGGATTTACTCAATTAACTTTATTTCCAATGGTTGATTAGAGTTACTCTTTTTTATACATATTCATAAATATTTAAACTAAACTATAAAAACACAATTGAAATGAGTAATTAACTCATGAAACAAAGACGACGAAGCAAAACCACCTTGAATCATCATCATCACAATTAAGAAGAAAAGAAATGCCTTAATTCCTGATTGGAGATCTCATACTAAACATTGTCACCATTTTCACTATTCAAACGAAGATTGAACTTTTTTCATCATTTCTTCATTTCTTCATGTATGATATAAATTACATTTCATCACCAATTCGACCTTTTCTCTCATCATCATCACCAACATCATCATCATCATCATTATTATCCTCATCTTCATCAATTCTACTCTTTTTCCTTTTTCTCTCTCTCTCGCTCGCTCTTTTCTCTCTGCTCTTCTTCTCGACTTTATAATCAACGCTTATTCCTGATCATCTGCCTCATCATTTGCCTAATCATCCTCATTATCATCACTACCACGTTGCTACTGCAGCTTCGAGTATTACAACAGCAGAAACAAAATATCGAGAGAAATGTAATTTCCATCGCAATCGATTCATAATATCAACGAATCATAATCACAATGAGAGAAGGTAAAAGAAGGAGGTGGAAATTGATGAAACCAATTGAACGCTTGAAACAAATGTAATCAAATGGAAAAAAGAAAACAAAGAAAAAAAAGAAAAAGAAAAAGAAAAAGGAGAAAAATGAAAAGCAAAGCAAAGCAAAGAAACAAAGTGAAAACATCGAAAGCAATAATTGGCCTTAAAAGTGTCCTTACGAAAATGAACGAAGAAAAGCAAAGAAACGAAAAAGAATTGCCTTAAATCACCTCAATTCGCCTTATTAATTTGTCGCAACAATGGAAAAGAAATGATGGTTTCAATTGGCAAGGAATAAACGAGAAAATGAATCGATTACATTTACATTGTGTCTTGTCAATTGAATTAAAGCCCGTGAGAGTTTGGATATTTATTAATCTTGTGGATTAATCATCTGAACGTGTAAACCTTATTTTGATTATTTTTCTTACCTTTTTTAGTGTATTTAAGCAATAACTTGAATTAATTAATCTCTTGCTCTCCTCCTTTGGTGTTTGCTTTTTCTGGTCCAGTTTTTTATAAGCAAGAAACTAAAACAATTATGTAAATCAATTCTCTCTTTTTCTGTACTCCACATATTTCGGGATAATCCTCTTAGAAAACACTATCAAGTAAAATCACTAATCCAATACACTTATAAAATATAAAAAAATTGCAATAAATTCAATTCAATTTATTCAAAACAATCGGACGTTTATCAACAATCAATTGATAAAAATTATTTTGATTGTTGATTAAACAATCAATAGGCAAGTAAAGGACATCAAAGTTATCAAGATCATGATTAAAATATGATCGTCAAAATTGAGATGATTATAGCGATATAATCATTTCAATCCTAATTTATCAATTGAGATTGAGAATCTTAACATTAACTCAAGTCATTGGATTGAAATAAAAACAATCAATGAGAAAATCAGTTGATTGTATTGATTTAATTTACATTTTTAAAGGTAGCCTTGGCAATAAATGACAAGGTCACAATTTAAATTATCGATTACCTTTCTGTCTTAATCAGTTGGGGCAAAAGTAGATTTGATGGTAATGATGAAAAATGATTAATCAATTGTAAACATTTTGGCTATCAAGTGAAACTAATCAACTAAATCACTAATAATCAACTTTAGAGATAAATAAATTGAATGATATTGTTGATTGTTACTTGATAATATCAATTGTTATGATAATCAATTTAAATTAATAAATTAAACATTAATATAAATCAATAATAATAAACAATTTGAATGAGCGGAAGTTTTTTCATCACAACAATAATAATAATCAACTCGCACTGGGATGTTGATTGTTATCTAATAACAGATTCACTGATTTAACTCTAATCATCAATCTTCATCTTCAAATTTAGCCGTTCGATCCAAACTAGCGATGAAATGAGCTGCATATCGATGTTTCGGTGGCACTACATGTGTTTTCCACATGAAATCGTCCCAATAATCAGGTTTCGCTTTACCGACATGCTGCAAATAGGCCGTTTCTTGGTCCTAAGAAGAGAAAATTTAAAAGGTGGAATTAGAACCAAATAAACCAAATGTATTAATAACAACATTTATGTTGGAATTTCAAATAGAAATCAATTCTTACCTTTGTTATGTAAGGTTTGGCTAAGACATTCATTGCTCTTTGGGTGTCTGATAATTCATAGAAAAAATCAACTTTATGACCTGTTCGAACTGGCGGAACCCATCGCGTTTTCCTGTGAATAAATTAAATCGAGAATAAACTAAATTAGTGTTGAATTTTCAATAACATAAAAGGAAAACAAGAGGAAAAGATATGAAAATAAAACGAATCATTTCAATTCCGAATTATCAACAATCACTTACCCTGAGGTCAAAGATCCAGGATACTTCGGAATATAACCAATAAAGGCTCCTTTCCACTTAGATAAAGAGCCAGTTAATCGCATTCTAAACGGATTAATTAAGTTTAAACAATTTACTTTATGTTAATCTGTTTAGAAAGAGAAATGAAAACAAATAAATTGAGTTGAAAAGTGAGTCGATCATCAGATGTTCTCAGAGCCGTACTGAGGAAACGATCCCTCATTTCACTCACTTCCTTTTCCTTTACTCTTGAATTTATGTTGAGTTTTTTGCGTTCAACTTGATTTGAATTAAATTTAATTTGATTTTGTGTTTATATCAATTTAATTTACTGTAATTAAAAGTGAAATTAGGTGACCATGCAAATCTTTATTCGTGGAGAAAGTACCTTCGCCTTCGAAGGAAATAATATTGATGATTTACAGGTAAGCAGCCCGGTTACTCTTTTTGAAAACATGTTCTATATTTTTCTTCACTTGTCTTACTTTTCTACGCTTTTAGGAACACATTGCCGAGATTGAAGGTTTACCTATTGAGGATCAAATTCTCTATTGTAATGGTAGAATTATTGATGATTTCAATTGGTGTGAAGTAGCTGATGGTGATGAAATTACAGTTGTTGGTAGACTTCTCGGTGGTAAAGTACATGGATCTCTTGCTCGTGCTGGTAAAGTTAAAGGTCAAACACCAAAAGTAGAGAAACAAGAGAAAAAGAAGAAAAAGACTGGCCGTGCCAAGCGTCGAATGTTGTACAATAAAAGATTCGTAAATGTTGTACAAGGATTTGGTAAAAAGAGAGGACCAAATGCCAACCAATAAGGATTGTTAATTGTTTAAGGTGCGTATCAGTTGATTTGTTCCAAAGACTTTCTTTGTGAATTCAAAAACTAACTTGTTTTTTTCAATTTTTCAATTTTTGGAACTATTGACTGGCACTCACAGATTGGCTTCCATGTTCATTGGCATTCGCATACACAAAACATCAACAAGTTATATAATCTTATTCATTTCTATATTGAACGTATAAATAAAAGCGTTTAATTGTCACTAAAATCCACTTAATGTCTCATTCAAATGATTACACGTGAAATCAGATCGCGATTTATTTCTCTACTATTACTGGTATAACATTAAATGAGAGAATATCTAACCCAAATGAACAGATTCCACCGAATTTGATGAAAATTCGAAAACAGAGATGGACAGTGAATTTAGAATCATTTCATTTCGTTTCATTGAATGATCTTTATTTACAAACCCAAATTGCGAACAATCAGATTGTTCATCAGGTGTTTGGAAAAGCGCGGACCAAATGATTAATAAATTTGATTTAAAGAGAAACAGCAAAGATATTTGTCACCGAAAACATGGACTTATTTTCCCATCGAACTGTACAATTGGCGTCGTTCGCTTGGTCCCAATAGCAGCTCGTTGAAGATTGAAAACCAGCTCCATTTTTCTGTACAATTGTACATGAAGCTAAAAGAATAGAATAAAAGAGAATCAATAATTACAATTCTTTTCTAAAACTGAGCCTTACCGATGAATTTGAATGGCCATTCACGCGAAACTAAACTCGAAATGATCTCATCGCAAATGGCGGCGGTCCATTGGTCCACTTTGTTGTGTTGGTAAGATGAACTTCCAATGGTCTTTTCAATTATGTCTTTTGTCATTTCACTGACCAAGTTTTTATCAAATGTTTTGTCCATCTTGTTGTTTGTATCAGTAGAATTTGATTGGCTTGACCTTCAAGTAAATTAATGAAATAAACTAATTATTGGATTACCTTTAAAGTGATAAAATGAAAGGTTAAACAATTGAAGAGTTAAGAAAAGAAAACGTTAAAAGAGTAAAAAAGTAACTTGATAAAAAGAGATTTAAATGAAACTGTTGGGATGAAATGTGTTTACTTCTGAGCACATATGATGACTGTGAAGAAATACAATAAAGATTGAGAGTTAATTTCATATAATTAATCAGCACAATTAGTAAACTTGATTAAAACATCAGATTAAAATGACAGAACCAAATTTTCATTGAGCCTCATCAGGCAATCAGCTGAGTTTTTATTAGTTACCAAGGAAACCGATTGACAGATTTACTTGTTTGTCAATTTTAAAATTAATTTTTAATCTAATTTTAAAATCTGATTATCTATTAATTACTGGATTTTATTTTTGGAAGATTAATTTTAATTGTAAGTTGAGAAGATCAAAAATCAAATGCTAATCTTAAAATTGATTAAATCATTTAGGGAGTAGTTTGGACTTCGCATTTAACTTGATCTTAATTTTCTTAATACACTTAACCAGATTAACTTTAAGTTAATTATTAATTTTTCTCATTAATTGTTGTTAATGATCACAGACAATAGTTAATTGTTGTAAATTAAGTAAATAATGTGAGTCCCTCTAGTGAATGAAAAATTAACAATGATGATGATGAGATGAAACCTGAACCAGAATCAATTGTTTGATCAAATGTTAAGACAACAACATAAGTTTCAATTCATTTAACAAGTTTCTTGCTTACTAACTGTCAACATGATTAACTAATTGTTGCTAACTTTCATTATCCAATGAGTTTATTTTATTTCCCCAATGAAAGTGACGTTTCACTATTAACGGTGTTTATGTTCAATTCAACAATTAACTTGTGATTTCCTCTTGTGACTTTTAATTGCTTCTCGAAAACATGAATGATAGAAGTACAAATGAAAATATCGACGACGATGAATCTTATTTAGATCCTCGAATTGAAATAAAACTTGAAGAACTCAACAAATGGACAGGAAAGATAAATACATTGGAAGGTCATTTCGAACAAGCTAATGGTCAATTTAGAAATATTCTAAGTGAATCAACTGATCGTTTGAAACAATTATCTAATAAATTAGGTAAATCAATCAATAAATCTCGTCCTTATTATGAAGCTCGCGATCAGCTGATTGAAATTCACTCAAAGTGTCAACGAGCAGCAATTAACTACGAAAAAGCATGTGAATCATATTTGGAAGCCAAAGAGAGAATCAAATCAGCGGAAAAAAAGTTCCTTTCATTTAAATATCAACAAAATAACAACAATTACAATTCAAATCATCGCCCTCGTCACCCCGATAATCATAATCATCATCAGAATCATTGTTGTCATGATTACAATGGTGAATTTGATACTACCTGGCAGGAGAAGCTCAATCAAGCTAATGTCAAGTTAATCGAAGCGGAATTAATGAAGAGGGAAAGTGAAAAAGTTCATTCGCAATCAATGAAAGATTTTCAATCGATGAAAATGATTGTGCTCAATTTGGAACGTAAATTAGCACGAAACCTTCAACGATCTAAAATCTATTTCGATGAAAAGAAAAGGTAAGCTGATTCAATAGAACAACTGATCAGATGATTAATTGTTTTTCTTTTTATTAATCATCATTTCCTGATTGTTTCACCTTTCACTTTATAAGAATCACTAATATCTCATAGTTATCGTTTAATTGATTTCCAATCAATAGTTGAAAACAAAAACAAAAACTCAATCAAATTAATTTTAGTTTATTAAAAATCAACCAAGTGAATTTGTTGATCGTTGAAGGTTAATTATTGATGTAAAACTAATTGTGTTCAGACTGTGTTAAGTTAATTGTGTAAACTTTTCCGATTTCCAATCAATTTCTATGTAATTTTTTTCCCCACAAAATGTTAATTCACTAAAGCAAATGAACTTTCAATTTAATAATAGTTACTTTTACTAGAATCTCAATAGTTAATTACCTCAACAATTAACTTGAAACTGTTGATTAGTCGACTGTTATTTTATTAAGTTGCTGATTTTAATTGTTAGTTCAATGTCAATTTGTGTATTATGATTAACACAATGTTGATCAAATAAACATGTTTACTAAATGATTAATAACTCCAGTCAAATATTGACGTAAATTTTACTAATTGTTGATCATATTTCTTTCTGTTTACAATTATCTTTAGATTCCAACACCAATTGGCACTGATTAAAGAAGATATTGAATTAACTGTGAATCAAATTAATTGTTCCAAATCACGATATGCATCAACCTTAAGGGAATTGGAATCAATCTCAGAGGAAATTCATATGAAGAGAAAATTTCGAGGTGAAGTTCGACAGACTCGAACTTCACCTCGAGAACCAGGAGATGGAGCCGAGGATAAAAGCGATAAAGAGAATCAACAACAACTTCAGAATCGAAATATTAAATATTCTCAAAGCGATTCAATAGAAAAAAACCTCACCTTAAGATTGAAAGATTCATCAACATCTCGAATTGATGTTACTAGTCAAAAGAATCTTTTCTGTTCATGTAATAATCTCAAAAAGAAAAATTCAAATTCTATCATCTCGATGGAGAAAAAAGTTCCAATGGAAAAACAAGATATCGACTTCCTCGCGAAAGTGTCGCAAAAGTGGCATCTCCATTATTCTGACACTTTCGGTCCAATCTATTGCAATCTAGTTCTTAAATAATGACTAATTAGGCTCGTCGATTTATCCATTCGATTGACAATAAATGAATTTTATTCATAATCTATTATTAATCTAGTTCTCAATCTATTGTAACATGATCGTGAAGAAAAAAGTCACTTTGAGGATTAATGTTAAAAGTACAATGTGATGATGAAATGACCTGCGATTTCATGAATTCAGAGAAAGAGGAAAACAAGTTACCATGAACAACTAATCACAATTAAGATTAGATTGGAAATGTTCAGTGGGTTGATTGATTGACTGACACACACAGAGCATTACAAACAATTATAGTTAATCAGTTAACCCGTTTCACTAATAATCTCATCTTCATGCTGATCTTCATGTAAGTCAATGACGATAAGAAGATAATATTTACAATAAGAAAACTGAGCTAATCCAGTTAATCCAACGTGTTAATCATTATTGAAATTGAAAACAATTGACGATGAATTAATAGTGAATTTTACCAATCAATCAAAGATGAGAATGGTAAACAAACTGATTATAAATAAACATATCGGGTTAGTCATGATCAGAGATAATCGCCTAACGGTCACGGTCAATGGCCTTTTGACTTAATATCAAATGTTTATCGTAGGAAGATGAAGTTCAAGAGTTTTTCTCCATTTTTCCGGATCAGATGATAATTAGTATGCTACTTATCATCTTTATCTTTATTTTCATCTATTGGTCAGTTTTCTTGTTATTTTGCTTCTTCCCTCATCACTTGAACCCTCAAGATGACCACAACAAGTAGACACACACCATTTAACTTTACTGTTTATATTTATGGTCAACAATCAACGGAGATTAATAAATTAGCTAATGAGGAAATGAATTGATTGCTTCTGTGAAAATCAATACAATTTTAGATCAAAGTTAATCCTTTACAATCAACTTGAATTATCATGTAATCAGAATTATCGTCTATTATTATTAGATTAATTTTTCTATGTTAAGGTCAATTGAAATTACTACAAATAAAGAGATCATTGATCTTGGAACTTTTCTAAGAAAATCTGAGACTATTTTCAATTCTTTCACTTCACATGAATGTTATTACCCTGTTGCTCAGGATATTATCGGAATTTCATCTTTACCATTGACTTTCTTTCCTTGTCTCAAAATGTGTTCCAAGAAAATGATCAAAGTTTATCCTCATGAAGCGTTGGCGTTACTGTTAAGTTGAAACTCTTGGTTATCATAATCTAATCCTGTTCCAAGATATTAATCTGTGGTTAACGGTATTTCATTGGTTGGGATGAAAGAGGAAAAAAGGTTGGATGACAAGGATGCAAAGAGATGATGAGGATGATGAGGATGATAAAGATGACAAAAGAAAGATGGAAACTCAACAAAAAGCTAGTGAACTTGATGATTACGATAATCACAATGAGCGTATTATGTTAATCTCAGTTGTTATTATTTGAGTTTCAGCCCAAAAATTGAAAGATCGAGTGAGTAAAGCAGGAAGATAAGGAATGATAGAGAGAGAGAGAGGGGAGAGGGAGATGATGAGGAAGAGAGTGAGCTAATGGCCTTAACTCCCAGTGTTAACTTTGTCCGCTCTGTTATAGTGATTGCTCAGCGACCGGATTTCATTTTATCATTTCAGCTCTTCGCCATCTTTATATCCACTTGCACATTAAAAGCACCTTCAAGTTTTCAAATGGTTACAGTTAATTGTGAAAGTTTGTCCTGTGAAAACAATCAAATTTAATTTAATTGTTCTTCTAATTTATATGCATTCAAGTTTACTTTTAATTCAATCTGTTATTTACTCTGAAATTATTTAATCATTGGTGTTGTAACCTTGACCCTTCAATTGTAAATCTTAATTGTTGTATTTGATTCACATAATTTATCCTTTTTTAGCCAACAATCAACCTTTAAAAAATATTACCAAAAGATTTTCATTGTTTCTTGATTGTTAGAAGATTACTTTTCCTCTCGTTGTTTAATCATTTACAAATTGCAACATCATCAATATGCTCAATCATTTGATTCATCACAATCAATTTAATTGTGTTTCCATAATCATCTTACTTCTGGTTCAATTTACATTCAAAGTTTCATCTCATGGAAGATTAATTCGTCCCCCTGGCCGATCAACTGCTTGGCGATACGGTTTTCCAACTACAATTAATTATAATGATAATGAACTTTTCTGTGGTGGATTTACGGTGAGTTTAATTGTTCCCCGAATATTAATTATCTTTTCTTGTCTAATCATGGAACTTTTTTCTCCAAATCATGTTAATCATTTCCTCGATCGCATATATTATTTTCTACTTTGAATTGCGAATTTCGTTTTCAATTCTCAAGTTTTAAATACCTTCACTTAGAAGTTTTTAGAAAGTTTCGATCAAACGATTAACATGGTTTCGAATGATAAACCATTTTTGTCTCGAAATTGAACTTTGTCAATTATGAGAAAACTTTTTTCTAATCATTTCATTGTTCAATGAATCTTGATTATTGTTGGTAAATTACCTGAACAATTACCAAACTTTCATTTTCTTTTCTTCTTTTAAATTCAAATAATATTTTCTCTCTTCACAATTTCGGCCCACCCTCAATTTCAGAGGTTATTTCAGGTCGAATGTTATTCAATAGCATGTTAGTTTAACCGACGACGAGTTTTCAATAGTAAAATTAAAAGTTCTCTAGATCAATTATAATAATAATCTAATCAGATCTCAGTTTATTTGGCAATTGTATTAATCATAATTATCATGAAATCATTGAATCATTTCAATTAATTGTTGTTTGCAATTGAAATACAAGGTTATGAGCTTTTATGATAAAATCAAATAGTTCATCAGCTTGAATTGAATAATCTAACTTGTATCAAGGTTAATTAATCATTCTAATTGTCTATAAAGTATTTCCTTTATTATTATACCACAGGTATACTGATTATTAATATTTCCAAATAAAGGATTAATAATTTAAGTCTTTATGATCATCATAAAACTGACTCATTTCCGTTTTCTTTGATTTCTGTTTTTTAGGTTCAATGGGAATTGAATAACGGTAAATGTGGTATCTGTGGTGATTCATATTCTGGTGTAAGATATAATGAACTTCCTGACGGAAAATATACCAAACCTTTGATTATCACAGGCAATTACTCTGAAAGTGAAACAATCACGGCGTCAGTGCAATTGACCGCGAATCATCGGGGTTTCTTTACATTTCGATTATGTCCAGCACCAGGTGAGAGAGTCGAGGTGACGCAGGAATGTTTGGACGATCAAATTCTTGAAGTTCGAAATTCAGTTGATGGTCAACGTTACCAATACACTGTTCCGGATGATGCCCAAAGAGTTTATGAAGTATCTTTGGCTCTTCCTCATGGACTGACCTGTTCACGGTGTGTACTTCAATGGACTTACACTGCAGGAAACAATTGGGGTCCTTGTGACAATGGTACTTCAGCTGTCGGGTGTGGTCCTCAGGAGACTTTCAGAGCTTGTGCAGATATCAGTATCAGTTCTGGTTCTAAGCCAAATGATAAACTACCAGATGATATCGATCTACCTGAGACTGATAACGATCTAGATTCATCCACTCCTAAAGCACAATCAACAAAAACACCAACTACAAAAGCTTCAGTCACAACGGTCGATCCTAAAAATGAGATTGAAAGAGAGTCGGTAACAGTTGAACCGACAAGGAAGTGGCTCGTTGATCTCAGACCAGGAACGGGAGCTTCATGGACACCGTTCCCTTGGGTTTATTCAACTAAGCCATCAACCCGCGAAACCGAACCAACCACTCCTCGATCAACTAGGAAATTGCCCCCTTCAACCACTACAACCACCACCACAACCACAACCACAACCCCATCACCTAGTCAATCATCAGAAACATTGAAGTGTGTCTCTTATGGACGTTATCGAAAATTATCCGGAATGGATCAATGGTGTACCGATAATTGTGCCGCTGGTTTCTGTCCTGCTTCACATTGTAAATGCAAATAATTTAGTAACACAATCAAGCGACCCACCAAACAATCCAATTATTGGCTAATCAGTTGAAATCATTTCTGATTGTTTTCAATTACCATTGATAATATATTGGATCGATCTCAGTAATCACTTACAGTTTAGATTAATCGTCTTTTTAATTTCCTCAAATGAAACAAAACAAAATTAAAATTCCTATGAAACTGTAACCAAAACACCAACGGCCAAAACCACAATAAATTGTATTTAAACTTTCAATCAATCAAAATTTTCAGCAATCAACAAGTTATGATAAAGTTACTTTGTTCTCATTGTTTTTCAATTTCAATCAAGACTTGACTGAGTTTCTGTATCCTTGAGATTATTTTACCACAAACTTCATGTTTTAATCTCAGTGAAAATTGAATAAAAATAGAGCCAAAGATACAGTGCGTGCAATAAAGTTTAGCAATTGATCAAAATGTAATCTATTGATGATAGCTATGAGTAGAATATGAGTAGAAATTAAAACTTCAAATTTTCAGAAATGAAGACAATCATGTTAATTAAATGAAAACTTGATGATTTTTGTAGCTTGATTAACTTTTAATAAGTATCTTGACCATTTTTACACTTAAATTGAAATGAGAAACAAAATTGACCGCAGTTGATTGTGTGAACATGAAAATTTAACCTTTCGTTTGATGATTTGCATGTTTAATCATCTGAATAATTGAGCTCTGATTGTAATTGCAATGAAAGCTAAAACTCTAAAAGCGACTAGAAGAACTCCTAGAGCGATGAAATTAAATGTGACATTATTTTCGTCGAAATGTAGCCTTTCGATTACTCCTTTCCCATCCAATATACATCCAAGCCCTGGGGGCAAAGCGTCTCGAAGACCTTCAATTTCAGTCATGTTGGGCACTAGAGCTCCGACCAACGAGCCTAAATGATCAGAATCTGGAATATCACAGGAAATGTTAGTAACTTTACGCCATTGATTAACTACGAGAATCTCATTTCCATAGTAAAACCAGCTGAGATATTTAATCCATGCCAGATAATGGGGAATTGACCTGAAGAAATGGATAAACGGGAAAAGAAACCGAAACAATTAATACACTTGAAATCGAGAATCGATTCCAATCAGGATGAACATACTTATTATTCAAGAAAAGTCCACCAAACAACATGAGTGGAATCATGAACGGCGGTGCTATCGACAATCCCATGGTGACACTTTTACTGATGCACGAGATGAAATAGCCAAAACCACAGGCGACATTTGCAATTAGCACCAAAACCATGGCCGTTAAATAAAAGACTTGGATCTCGTCGTACAAGCCGATCATCCAATAAGTTATGGCAGCGAAACCAAAGGGTAAGAAAACGAAATACGGTAACTCGGCCAATAATTTCGAAAGAAAGTAAACGGCAATCGAATAAAGTCCATTGCCATATTCACGAATAAATATCGGTAATTCCAAGCAGAAAGTCTGAGAAAATTTTAGAGAAAATGAATTGCGAACTTTTTACAAAAACAAACAGCGAACTGTTCAAAGTGAACTTACATTAACGACTGCAAAGACATTCGTAAATGTGACATTAGCTAATAAGATGAACAAGGCTCCGTTGATGTTCATGATTCCTTCTTGGCTGTATTCTTGTTTCCAGTAAACGACACCGAGAAGAAGAGCAACAAACTATGAGAGGAGAAAAGAAAGTTATCGATTCGCTTTTCTATTCGACCTGATCGGGACTTACGATTGTTTGTGCCACTCTGAAAAAGGTTAAAAGAGGATCTCGAAGATTAGTCAACCATGATCTCCAAACGACCCATTTAATTTGCGTACAAAAGCCTCGTTTGTACGAGAATCGAATCGGTCTTTTGTAGCCTCCTTTCTGGTCTATTTGTCTTTGCGCTTGTGCCGTGCGTGAAATGCTAACGGATTCCGAGAATTTAGAACAAATTCTCTGTGATGACAAATTGATAATATCAGAAAGATTGAACGAGAGATGAAATTTCTATCATTTGGTTGGAAAATATTAACTTACGGAAACTTTTCGTTTGCACTCATCTTCTTTTCCAGGTATGATTGCGAGTTGCTGGACATAGAAATCGGCAGGATTATAATTGGATGGACATCGAAGTCCAATTCGAGAGAAAAAAATAAGAGCATCAGCTGAACTTCCCATGAAAGCGACTCTTCCCTGAGAAAGTAAAAGTATCTCATCGAACATTTCAAAAACTTGAGATGAAGGTTGATGAATAGTCGCTAATATGGTTCGTCGAGTCGCTGCCATTGACCTTAAAACGCTGACAACACTTTGAGCCATAAAAGAGTCTAATCCAGACGTCGGTTCATCACAGAAAAGTATCGACGGATCAGTTAGAATCTAAAAAAGAAAAAAGTTCAACATCAACTCGAAACTTTTGTTTTCACATCTTCGATATAGCGAAAGTGATTCTCACCTCCGAGGCGAATGCGAGTCTTTTCATTTCTCCCCCAGAAATTGACTTATCCATTCCCGGTGAACCGATACGAAAATTTTCAATCTTTTTCAATCCGAGCTTTAAATTAACAATCAACAATTAATCTCGAGTCATAATTAACACTTCAATTTACCTCTAAAATAACATTGTCAACCTTGGCTTTGATCTCTCGATCTGATCCATCGCTTGTCCGTAAATGAGCCTTAAAAATCAAAAGAAATGAATGGAACCATGAAAAGGACATCATGTTACGATAGATCCTTGAGTTTTTCATGAGATAATCAAACAATTAAGAATCTTTAGAAAGATTCAAAGTGTTGTTTGTATTGTGATCTTTTTTTACTCTTCTCTTTTGTTATCATGTGTAGAATATAGTTAATTGTGTTAATCAAGGTGATTCAAGATTCTCAATAAAGAATCAATAGTTTACCTGGAATGTGAGATGTTCACGGACTGTTAACACACCGATAAACATATCATCCTGTTGAACGTAAGCCGAACAAGCGGCCATTTTATCGGCAGTCGCGATTTGACCATTGAGAAGTACTTTACCCCCCACGTCGAGATTTCGTAGATTTCGACCTGTTAGAACATTTAGAAAGGTCGTTTTACCCGCTCCAGAGGCTCCCATGATCGCCAAGAGATGGCCACTTTCCACACTACCGGTCACTTTACAATCGAATTGAAAAACAAACAATTAATACTCATTCAAATTTAATCTTCTATTATAATCCAATATATTGAGTGTCTCTCTCTCTCTTCCCAGTGCTCTTACAAATCAAATTTACTTTTTAAATTTCAAACTAAATCAGCACGAACTGAATCAATCTATTGTTGACCAGGACAATTAACTTACCATTTTTAATAATAGGAATTGATGTATTGGTCGATGCCGTCGATTTGAACAATCCTCTTCCTGGTCGAACCGAAACACTTAATTCTTGCCATTCAATCGTAACTGGTTGAAAAGTTGATTGACTTTCTAGATGTTTATCATTGAATCCGTTGAATCCATGGTGAAAAACTAATTATATAATTAACAAATGAGTGAATTAATTGACAATCAATGCAATAAAAGTTACCAATCAAGTTTAAATATACCAACAATCATCAATATGCAATATAATTGCTGATATATTAATGAATCTGGTTAAACCCGTTTTTCAGTTGCTCGACGGACTATTAGTGTACCTGAATGTGACCTTGACAAAGTGATATGAGGCGATTGATTTTTACCTGGTACTTTATTGTTGGACAATCTATCCTGATGATATGACTGATAAAGGTGATGATATGGTGAAGATAAATAGTGAGCATGATGTCGTATTGTTGAATGATAATAACGAGAAAGTATTTCCGGATCCTTGGGAGGATATCGATCAACAGTTCGAACACTCATCACAGAATGAGGTTGATTAACGAATTGTCCAGGTGACTTTTTAACATTATTGTTCCCCATCTTAATCAATTATCGATGAATTAACTAACAATTTTCCAACAATTAGCTGATTGACATTAATAAAAACACTTAACTCAAGAATTAGGATTTTACCGTTAGATTTTAAAAGTTAAAACTTGATTCCAATTCAATGAAGATTATTGATTATTGATTGTGTCTGGTTTTGGATTTCACAAATTCAATCAAATCAATCACAGTTAACATTGTTTAAATTATCACACAATCCGATGGTAAATTAGTATAATTATCAGTAAATCACTTTAATTAGGTGACTGACTTGTTGTTATGTTTAGATGTAAACAGAAAATTATAATGATAAAAATGGCGAAATTGATGATGAAAATTCAATGTTTTCTTAATGAAATCATGATCGTGGTGAAGATGAAAATGATTATTGTAATCAAATGGAATTGAACAATTTGTATTTTAAGCATAACGAAGCAACAAAAATATATGGAGGTCACTATTACGATTTTATGAATAAGATGAGGAGAAAAAAAATAATATTAATACAACATTGATTCAGAATGAAAAAGGAATGAAGTTTAATAGAAAAGGATGAAGATGATGAGAAGATGATAACGGGAGAGAGAGAGAGAGAGAGCAACAAGGTTATCGTACTCAGGTACCAATATTTTAGAACGATCTTTTCTCCATCTCTTGTCACTGAAAGATGAAGATGAAGATGATAAGAGAGAGAGAGAGAAGATCAAGTCTTAGAACCAGTTAGTTGAAAGATGGACTCGTTTTCTTAATAAGTATTATCTTGTTATCTCATTTAGGATATTCCTGGTCAACACTCGAGGCGGAGCCGAAAGTCCGATCAATGGAATGCAAAAGTTCAGGAAATGAAAATAAATATAACCTGAGTGAAAAACTGACCAATTTCCAGTGAAAGAACTGTAATTGTTCAATTAAATTAATATCAACAATTTATTATTAATATAATTCTTGTTTTCCACAATTGAAATCCCCTTTTAATGGTCAATAAATTGACCATCATCATCATCGCTTTATTTTACCGCTTTCCTGGCATATTCAGATTCTTACCTTGGTCTTATATTGATTTTGTTTTTCAAAGAAAAACTTTTAATTAAAAGTTCACAGATTATTATCATTGATTTACTTTTTATTAATAATTTTCCTGAGAAAAATAATCGATCGGTTTATTATTTTTCTTGTTACTCTGCTGTCAGTGTGTCTCTTATGGACGTTATCGAAAATTATCCGGAATGGATCAATGGTGTACCGATAATTGTGCCGCTGGTTTCTGTCCTACTTCACATTGTAAATGCAAATAATTTAGTAACACAATCAAGCGACCCACCAAACAATCCAATTATTGGCTAATCAGTTGAAATCATTTCTGATTGTTTTCAATTACCATTGATAATATATTGGATCGATCTCAGTAATCACTTACAGTTTAGATTAATCGTCTTTTTAATTTCCTCAAATGAAACAAAACAAAATTAAAATTCCTATGAAACTGTAACCAAAACACCAACGGCCAAAACCACAATAAATTGTATTTAAACTTTCAATCAATCAAAATTTTCAGCAATCAACAAGTTATGATAAAGTTACTTTGTTCTCATTGTTTTTCAATTCCAATCAAGACTTGACTGAGTTTCTGTATCCTTGAGATTATTTTACCACAAACTTCATGTTTTAATCTCAGTGAAAATTGAATAAAAATAGAACCAAAGATACAGTGCGTGCAATAAAGTTTAGCAATTGATCAAAATGTAATCTATTAATGATAGCTTTCGTATGAGTAGAAATTAAAAGTTCAAATTTTCAGAAATGAAGACAATCATGTTAATTTAATGAAAACTTGATGATTTAAACATTAAACTTGAGTTGTTGGACCTTAGATGAGTCGATTTGGTGATAAAGTAGAGTTTTATTGATTCGTAAGACCTTTCCGGTCGTTAATGGGACTGGGCAACCTCAAGTGTTTTCCTCCAGCGGTCACATTTTATTCAATCGAATTGTAATTCAAATCTGTTCTGCCTTATTTGTACATATAATCTCATTTGTATTTCCGTTTCTCCCGCCTTCCAAGTTTTAAGTTTTTTTCTTTCGTTATTTCTTTATTTTCTTCATTGACTTCATCAGTTGATAGGCACTTCGGAAATCCAGTCGTCTAAAAATTCAAGAGAGAAAAGATCAAGTAGACAGAGGGAAAAAAGAGAGATTGATATTTGGTCGAAAGAAAAAAAGACAGAAGAAAAAGTAAGAGAACTATTAATCGATATTCTTTTTCTTGTATCGATGAAAATCGACGCCAAAATTTCGATATCGATAATATCGCCCATCACTACTCTTTTTCCTAGAGTTTCGCAATGCTGCTCCAAAGTATTTATCGATATAAAAAGTATGGTAACACAGAATATCAAAATATTACTAATGCAAAAACATCGTCAAAAATCGCGATTTTTACCGAGCTATCGCACAATTTTAACGATTAAAAGTTCGATCTTTTTTAGAAAATCGATCTGAAAATAGATTTTTTTCGATTTTATTGGTATCTAATAAAAAAGTATCAATAAGTATTCCAAGTTGAAAATCGATACAACAGTATTGCAGAAATACCACTTTTTCCTTCATTTCATTTTCTTTTCTGTTTCAGTTCAATTGTTTTCTCTGTTCCTCTCCATCAAGATACCTTTACAATTTACTGAAGTTATTAGTAATTAAGGTAAGTATCTAATTCTTAATTTATTTGTTGGGCCTCGACCTCTGGTTTTCTATTCATTTCAATGACACAATTAATTTTTCTCATATAAACTCCTTCATTTTATTATGTAAAAAAGCTTAATTTTCATGAGCTTCTTTTAAAAGCTAATTTGCCACTCCTTAGATTTTTCTCTTTTTAATTATCTTGACCTGTTCAACTGTTCGTCTTAGTCATTTATTTCATTGTCTCTTCCATTTTCCACCATTTCTACTGCCAGTTTCACTCACTCTCTTTCTCTCTCTCTATTCAAACCTCTTTTTACCTGTTATAGTGACCTGAAAGTGTTACATTGTTTTCTTTTTCTTTGTTACCTGGATTCATTTTTCTCTCAAACATGTAAAAAACTTTCTATTCTTCGGTTGATTGAATAACCACTTATCGTTTTTAATTCATTTTCTCTTCTTTCATCTGTTTACTCATTTTACCTTTTGTTTTCCTCTTGTGTTAATTCAATTTCTCAAAATTGTTCTCTTTTTTTCCTTTAATCTATATAGAATTGATCGAACAAAATCTTCAAAACTTTCACAAATTTGATCAAAAATACTCCGAGTTATCACCATGATGTCCTTTATGAACCTAGAAGCTTCCAGCTTTCTCTTCATTGTCTTGGTTGCCTCTTCCTTGATCAATACATCATCTCAACAAAGCATCTTTGGTATTAATGTTCCACAAACTGTTGAATGTTTCAAAAAGATCACCTCAGCTTTGGGCACTTGTGAACAAGTACTTCAAGATCGACTTGACTTGGTTGATAAAGCCAGTGAACAAACAGGGGATAAAGTGGACAAAACAATGTTCTCTTGTTGTTATTTTGCTGAATTCTCTCATTGTTTGGATTCTAAAACGGAAGGAAAATGTGGTAAAGACATCAGTAGTGCGATTGCCTCTGGAGCCAGTTCAGTTGCCAAAGTTCTCAATTCAAAATGTGAAGAATATGAATACTATGTAAGTTGAAAGAAGCAGCTTTTTTAATTGAATTTCTATTGTTACAATTTGACAGGAAAAGAAGATAAGTTGAGTGATTAGTAATACTAATTATCTCTTGCTGCTTTTGTTTGAAAATGTATCACTCATTTTATCACAAAGTCTCCTGTTAGTCAGCAGAATTATGCAAAAAAAACTGTTCAATATTCTAGATATTTGTCTTGTTAATCAAAAGCTCTCAAGAGTCATTAGTTAAAACCTGATCTTAAGTTTTCTCTTCTTGTTTTCTTATCATTTTTACATTTAAATTGTTTCTCAACTGTTATTGCTCAACAATCTTACTAATTAACTCTTCTGCCTCCATTTTTTCACACAGAGTGCGAAATGTCTGTTTGTTGTCTACCTTAACTACATCGTAGTTATCGCCATCATCTTGGCTGTGATTTCCGTCGCTAGTTGCGTCATTGGTTGCCTTCGTCGTCGTTAAACTCCAACATCATCAAGAACAACTCAACTACCATCATTATGAACAAACAACAAATTTTTGAAAACCTTCACGATCATCTATTGTCATCTCCCACCTCTATCAAAAAATGAAGTTTTTATCCCCTGTCATTTTTTTTCATCAGCACTTCCCATCTAATCTACCTCCTGATTAGTTTCAATAACAAAATCCTCATTACTTTAATGATGCAACTTTTTGCTAATTAATTTTCAGCTTGAAAATTTTTGATGTTTGCTGAAAAGCTCATTGAATCTCTTCCTGTTAATTTCTGTAATGATGTGAATCCTCTAACTTTTTCTAATCCCTTATGTTCATTATTGATTTATCATTATAATTTCTTTTTGCTCTGTAACCTGCAATGTTTTTCATTTCTTTCAATTCTCTTTTCCGTCCAATCTCCTTCCATAAAAACGCTATCCCGTCCGTCTATCAGTTTATAACCCAATTCTCAGCAAGAAACTTATCAAACGCTCAGGTGAATTATAAGTGACCTAAACGTCCATTAACTGCACAAATTTAGAACAAATATGCAAATAGTTGAGTCGAACAAATTATGCTAAAACAAACATGGAACTTGATATATTATTGAAAAAGAACCAAAGATTACCCTGAAAGAGAAAGCAACATCTCCATGATAAACATCATCATCTCATTGTCTCCAAATCAGCAGGACATTTAAATACAGTGAAGGATAAAAGGATGAACCAAAAGAAGAGAAAAATAAATTAATGCTCGAACCCTCATTGTCAAGATGATGAGAACCAACATGAAATGAGCCTCATCTTCCGCCTTGACACTCACAAGGCCAATCGAACAATCCTTCATCCTGTTCTCGGAACCATTGAAATCTCGTTGAAAATATGAAATTATCATGAAAGTAAACAGAATTACAAGAATGTTAATCGATGAAAACTTTTTCTCTGAAACCTGAACATGAACCATCTTATACAATGTATAGGTTTCCATGATGATAAAATATTATCATGATTTCCTTTCATGCTAAAAATAATTACCATGAGCCTGAGTAACTCTAATAATGTATTTTAATCGTGTTCAGAGTTTTTGTTTCTCTCTCTCTCTCTCCCTCTGTTTATATCTCTCTCTGAGTGAGACTTTATCACGGCTAATCCATTATGAAATTAGAACGGAAAAAACAATATGATGAAATTGTTAACCATTAATATTATTAATCTTTGACCTTCTAATCCTAGATAAACGTTGATTGTTAATATTAATTCATTATTGTTCAAATGATTACGACGATTAATTCATTTACAACATTTGAAATCTGATCAATTTTTACTCGTCTTTCTGTTTTCAAGGTTAATATTAAAGGTTCAGATTAATAGTTGATTGTTAATCACTTGATGATTATCGTTAATTGTTGATCTTTCATTGGAAAATCGATTAATGTTTCTTATTGTTTCTTTTTATCGTAAATTGATTATCAATTAACCAAATTGCTATTTAATTGTGATTACATTTCAATCTGATATCAAGTTATCCCTTTAAGTTCAAGTGCTCTTAACAGGGAATCGAGTTAATGTCCAGTTTAACCTTGAATTGAGTTAATTCAATTGTTCGACTTGATTCTGATTGTTATTGATTCCATTTGATTGTTAAATCAAGTTATTAATGAAGCTGTTTTGTGACAATTTAGGTTAACGCGTTTTTTTTTTGATTGATTAACGAAACTCAATTAATTTGATTTGTTGTTAGAACTTCAAGTTTTTTTTTGTCATGTTTATAGTTTCTCATAATTTTGAGCAATTTGTTAATTTGATTTGCGAAAAAAAAATCGACACAACAAAAAAGGTAAGTCAACATTACAGTTTGAATGTAAATAATAATTGATTAGTTGATTGTTTGGAAGTAAAATTATCAAGGATGTAACTTTAAGGTAAAATCAATAATTTACAAAGTGAGGGTTATAATGTTTGTGAATTTTTGTGAGTTAATTGTTGTACTTGATTGTTTGATTAACAATTAAAAGGGTTTTCAATGAAAGTAGAAAATTTTTTCCAACAATTATGTCAAAAGTTAATTGAGTTAATATAAAATAACTGCAAAAGTTGTGGATTATTAAGATAATGGTTTAAGGTAAATTGCTTGGAATTGTAATCATTAATTGTAATTAATAATAAAACATCATGTTTTGAGTGTTTACTTGTGTCGATCGGTTAAGAACAGGGCACCGATGGTAAATTTAAATTGTAATTGAAGAAAATAACAATTAAATGATCTGATTTTGATGGAGAGTTTGGCAATTGGTTAATTAACAAGATGAAATCTTTGTAATTATTTGATTTGGCTCTTGGTGTTGATTAGTTAATCACGATTATTATAGGAATAGCTGAAGGTGTTTGGCAATTGTAAAGGTCAATGGAGAGATCATTAAATTGTAACAATTTGATTGCTGGAACGTAAGTAGTTAAGAAAGTCAATATTCTATTATCGGTTTAGAATTATATCAATAGATTCCAATTTCCTTGATTATAATTTCTTGATTGGCCACATCCTCAGTAGGAAGAGTGATTAATAAATTGTAGAATCAATTAAATTGAATTTTAAAGAAAATTGTATCGATAATAACAATCAGTGAACAGATTAATTGGCGATAAACGAAAACAACTGCTGTTAATTCACTTTGAGTTTCAGTTAATTCCACTTGATTGTAAATTAGATAATCCTCTTAATCTGAAGAATTGAGTTAATTTAACATGAGAGCCGTTATATTTTTCTGTAATATCGTATTCCTAACGTCATTAAAAACATATTTTATATTTTCTGTGTCAATTGCTGTGGTGAAATGATGATAAATTGGCTTTTCATGTCCAATCGTTTATTTTTGAACATGGTTAACATATGATTCTGGATACTTTCACTTGAAAACGGATCTCCATCGAAATCAGGGAAATAATCTTTGTAGGTTTTCAGATTTATTGAAGATTGGCTTTTATTTTGACTGGAATGATGATTTTGGTGGAATTGGTGTTTTGAGTCTTTCAATGAGCTTTTGTTACTTGAATTGTTTTCATTGGCATTGATCGCTGCTTGAAGAGAATTCAATTTTTGTTTGAGTAAATCGGTTTTGTTGAGAAATAGGATAATAGAAACATCCCAAAAGGCCTTGTGATTAACGATGGTACCAAAAATCATCAGTGATTCTATGATTCTATTAGTCTGTCGATCCTCTAAAAGTACCTGATCATATTCACTTGATGATATCAGGAAAAGAATTGAGGTAACAGAATCAAAACATTGGAACCATTTCTGTCTCTGTGACCGTTGACCACCAACATCAACAAATCTAAAGGGCACATCGTTAATTGTTACTCGGTATTCAGCGATTCCTTTGGTGGATCTACGACAATGAAGGATATCCAAGGTTGATGGAAGGTAATCAGGTTTAGATAATTTCGGTAGGCAATCAAAAAAATATCTCACTGAATCGCTCAACTGATACTCGGATCGTCTTGAAAATGCCGTTTTAATGGCTGGTTCGGACCAAAGTTTCTCGATCAATGGAGCATTTGAACAAAAATTTTGAGGATCAAGAGAAAAGCTATCGTCCATGAAGAAAACAGATTCAGCTAAAGATTGACTGATCTCTGATGTCCAGGGGATAAGCAGCTTAATTCGGGCATCAAGTAGCACTTTCATTCCTTTGATAACATTAGAGAAGATGATTGACCGATATTCCTCCAATTGATTACGATCAAATTCAAATCCATGAATAATTTTCATCTGCTTTAAGAAAGTTGATTTACCACTTTCACCAGCACCAAGAAGTAACAATTTAACTTCACGTCTCATGATTGCCTTTTCCTTGGCTAATTGCTTATCAATCTCTCTACTCCTTTGATTTACCTCAGCATCTTCTGAGCTTTTTTTTGAACGGCAACAATCAAGGCTCCACTTAACAGGCATTATCAACAATCAAATGATTATACCAATCAATGAATCAATTAATGACATCATAAAAGTCATCATTAAGGTAAGAACATAATTATAGATTAGAAAGAAAAAGAATCTATTATGAGAAAAGAAAAAAATGAAAATTTAGAATCATTGAGAGAAATTAAGCTAAACGTAAACATTGAGAATCCGGGTTGGGTTTTCATTAGAATCTATTCAATACATTACCTTTTCTCTCGGATTTAAAATAGAAAACAACTTGGCCATTGGTGATCAGAGCATATAAATTAAATTAAATTAAAATTAAATGGCGATTAGTTAACAAAGACAATCACCATCTCCATTAATGATTAGCGTATCAATAGACCAGCAAATTTGTTCAATGTAACAAAGTGAAGGCAAAAAAAGACTCGGTGGTGGATTCAAATGTTGAGTTTTGATGTTTTCCAAATTGTGAACATTAAGAACTAAATTATTAACAATTTACAATTAAAAGAAGTGACAGAAGCTCTTGATAACAATTAACTCCAAAGTGGCTCAGCTGTTATGAGAAATGAAAGGAAGAGAAAAAAAGAAAAAAGGGGAAAAAGAGGGAAAAGAAGAAGGAAAAGAGGGAGAAATGAAATCGAGTGACAATTGTGACGAAACAATTTGAATATTTCGAAAGGTATTCAAAGTGTTGTTCAGTTATCATGGAAATCAATTAATCACATTTAGAATAGATTCTTATTGTTAACAAACAAAACTCATTGGCGATGGTTTTTCACTTGTCCAAAGCAGAGACTTGAGCAGTTGCTACTTTCATCTCCTTGTTAATCATAAATCTAATCACTTTGATTGATTGTAACTTAAATCAATCCAATACTTAGCATCTTCATATCGTTCAGCTTAATCACAATTTAAGTATTTATTGGAAATTGTTAACTTTTTCTGATCGATATTCAACTTGAAATGTGTCAACACTCAGTTTGGTTTAACTGCTCTGAAGTTTTCATGATTACATCCAATGAATACATTTCAAGTCCACGAGTCTCAATTGATTATATTTCTTTCTAATTACAATAATTAACCGAAGTCGAAAAGTATTAAACATTAATCACTCGACTCTTTCATGACAAATTGGCTGATATTTACTTTTAATTCACAAAAAAAAATGAGTAGGAGTGTTAATCGTATCAATTGAATAAAATTAATTGTTCTCATGGAGCTAATTGTCCAACGCATGTCATTTAAATTGTTAAACAAGTTCAAGATCAATAAAATCTCAACAATCAACTGATCAATGTCTCTATGTGCTAATCTTGTTTTAATACTTATTCATCAATGTAAGTTAATCAAGATCAACAGTTAATCAATCCAATTAGTTTAAGACACGTATGTTTTAAACCAATTCAAGCAATTAAACTTGATTACCAAATGAAATGCATCAGCAAAATTAATTAGCTCTTAGACTGATAGATTAACAATTAGATAATATAATGAGTTTCGTTTGAATGAAAAAAAGGTTAATTGTGATTAAATTTGAAATCATCTAATATATTGAGGAGATCATATTAGTTTTGATGAAGTATTAATAAGATTATATTGTTTGTCCAATCAGCTATTGAAAGACAAGGAAAAAAAATTCACAATTTAAACTATGAAACAATTAAAATAAATTTGTGATCGTAATGTGGTGATGATTAAGTGATAATTTGGTTTTCATCCTAAACAATTAGTTATTCATTAAGGCACACATTTGATTGTTGTCCTGATGGAAAGCAAATGATTTGGCAGGAATATAATAATTACGACGATGTATTCTGGCGTTAACTTTGTCCGAATCGACCTGTTCGTATTTCCTAGTATTGTGTCTGTGTATTTGATAAAGAAATGTAAGCATTAATTGTGTCAATTAGATGCTGATTAGTAACAATTTACCTGAATATCAGTTCTGGTTGATGCATTTGGAGACAATGTTTAAAAGGTAACTTGTAAAACTCAGCATCAGTAACAAGATCCATCGCCGATGAGCCTCCGAAAGCAAATTTCTGTGAAATCATTGTAGTTAAATCGCTGGTTAAAATTGATTGTGAGCCTTGGACAAGAAGTGAGCCTTTAGCTTTTACCAAGGAATGTGAATTACGATTCCATATAGATATTTGAATTTCTCCTGTTAATTCAAGGGACAGAACTCCTCTCATTTGTTGCTCCAAAGTGAATCCGTTGATTAACCGAAGTCCATTTTGATAATCAGACACCAATAAATTACCATCGAAAGCAGTAGTTGGCTCACTGGCCGTTCCTGACCAAACGTGGCCCATTAATTCACCTTTTCCGGTGAAAAAGGTGTAGGGTCTCAGCTGAACACCGAGAATCTTAAGAGCCATACCCGCCGATGTTGATTCTTCTTCGTCGGTTGAACTATCGTCACCAGCGAGTGAGCCCAAACCTCGAGCAATCAATCCAACAGTTAGAATGTGTTGAGGTTTACTTGTATTACTTTCAAGCTCAAAGGTGAACCCACTTTCTTTTAAAAGTCGAGCTTTATTCAGTAGTTCCATGGTGATTCCATAGGAAGCGTTCATTGTTCCAGTTCCACCCATGACCCGATGAAAAGAAGCACTTGAACCATTGAAGCGATGAGAGTGAAGTGCCCAATTATCAGCCGATCGGCGACTTCTTAATGCCTTGGTCCACATTAAAGTTGTCATCTCAAAATTGTCAAAATTTTCCACTTCTTTCAGAATGAAATTGACTAGGGCATCATCCTTAATATAATTCGTGGCTATTTCAGTGGCAATTATCCGACCAGTTGACTCGTGATTCTCATTCCAAATAATATGAGCGATTAATGTTCGAAGTTTCGTCAGTGAATCGCTGTCACTGAGACGCTTTCGAATACAAGTAGACAAATCATGCGATGACTTTGACGAATCAATAGTTACGTTAACTGTACATTTATCTTTAAGATAATCAAGACAATCTTTTAACGATTTGAGAGCAGAAACTGATTCTCGTTTGGCCTTCGTGTTGGTGGCATATTCACTCAGAACTTTGAAAGATAATTGTAAATTTCCTGTGTTCCCAAAAGCATGTAACAAAGAGACCCGACAATCAGTATCTTCACAATTACTTAATTCTGTTGTCATCAGCTTAATTATATCACGATTATTATTATCTAAATAAGAGTTAATTTGAAGTGTGTTATATGCTCTTAAAGCCGTTCCAAGGGTCATAATTGTTGACCATTTGAGTTTGGGTGATTTCCAATTTGCAAGATGAATGATTTCCTAAAAGATCAAAATACAATTAGGTAAGTTGAGATTCTCTTCATAAAATGATAATTAACTCACTTTAAGATTACTAATGATAAATTGTAGACTAGATAATGAATTATCACTAGATGATTGAGCGGCAGTGAGACATGAAACCGAAAGCGAGGACAAGAATCGTTCACAAACATCTAGATCTTCATTTTGAGATAAATCGAGAAACTCGAGTGAAGCTCCAATCGATTGGTCAGTTCGAGCTCCGGCCATGATGTCCAAAAGAGATGATAAAATGTCTCGTTTGTTTTGTCTCTCTTTCAACAATCTAACGATATCGAGTTTACTTGTCCCTGGTCCACCCGATCTCACCCGATCCATCAGTTTAAGGTAAGCGATTGCCGCTGGAATCGAGGCCATTTCCTCGTTGGTCATATGCTCTTCGTACTCTTTTTCCAATGATGCAAGAGATTTACAATTGTGACAAGTTTGATGTTCTCGTTGAAATAATAGTTGATCTTCAACATAACCATCACCAAGTGAATCAATAACACTGTTGATATTTGGAGATGTGGACAGTTTTGATTTTGCTTGTTTCTCTTCATGGTCTAGTTTCAAATTGAATCTAATTAGAGACAAGAGAAAAATCAATCGAAATTAAATTTGAACAATTAATTTTGCAGTTAGTAGAATGACAAACCTTGAATGTAATTTGGAGTAAGCGGTATTGTAAAGGCGAGAAGTTAATGAGACATTTTGCCAACCGGACAATTCAGTGACCAAAGTATGATCTCGACCCAAATTAGTTAATATTGTCCATTCATCGACAATCAGTGGAGTCATAATTGGTTCAATTGTATTGTGTTTAGACGAGTAACTTAGCTCAATATCTTGTCCCTTTTTTGCCAACGTAACATTGTCATTCTGGATGCAAGACACAAAGATACAAAAAAAAAGATGAATGAAAAATAACGATCAGTAAATTGGTCCACAATTGTAATGAATCAATAGTCTAGAATTAAATTGTAAACCTACAATATTTGATTTTTTGGTTCGTAGTAAGAAAACAATTGCTTTCTTTATGTTAATAGTTGTAATTGATTCCTGGTTATGGCGGTAAAAAGATTTAACAATCTGATTATCATTTGAATCAACAATATGAGCAATTAATGGATAAGATTGATAATTAGTTGATCCATATCCTGGCCCTCGAACGGGTTTACCATCATGGTCAAGGTAATGTCCAGTTGATCCAGGAGAGAAATCAACTTTAATCACATAATTACTTTTATCTTGCCAAATATTTTCAACCACAAATGACCCCTTGTAACCAAAGGACACTGGCTCTTTGCCGGTGTGGTCATCGTTGTTTAGTAATAACGTTGTCCAGTAATCATAAGAGTATTTGACATTTAATTGTAATCCATGGCAAAGAACCATTGATGGAGCTGGATGACATTTAATTAGACAACTCAAATTGAGCAACAGGATTTTGAGTATCATGACTATTATGTGATTCATTTTGATTTAGATTTGATTGCGATTAATTGGACTGTTTAAATTGTTTGGTGTTAATTTAATATTGTAGAAAATTATTTTTATATTGTCACAAATCGTTCTTTCCTTTGTTGGGATAAAAACTAATAATTGGCATCAATTGACTTCGGAGAGGAAAAATTAAGATGATTGGTGATTTCGTGATGATTGCTTGTCGATTTCAATGGCAACTTTGATAATCCTTTCATAGGTGATTAAGAAAAAAGTATAAATTAATTAATTAACACAAACAGTTAAGAAAAACCTTAAACTTGGTGGTTTTATTTGATACAAAAAGGATTAGCTGATCTGATCAAGTCGTTGAAACTTTTAACTCACTTTGATACAATTAGATGAATTTAATTGAATTGCACTGAATTGATGTATTGGCACAGGTGAGAATTGGCAATGATTCATTTAAAACATGTGAATAAATAAAAAAAAATACAAAAATGAAAGAATAATTTAAAAAAATGTTGAAACAATTAAAGAAATTGAAATCACCAAGTATCCATAACTTGAGGTACTAACATTTGAGAGGTTAACCAACAAGAAGTGAAAAAGATGATGAGGAAGAAGAAGTAAGAAAAAATGATGGAGAAGATGATGAGAAAGAGAGAGAAAGTAATAAGCCTAAGGTGTAGAGAGAGAGAGAGAGAGAGACTGGGATGACAAGGTACGTAGCAAAGTCGTTCAACAAGAGTGAAGATGCAAAAAACTGATGATCAGGTAAATGGATGAAGAGGTTTAAAGGTGGGGAGAGAATGAAAGTGAAAAAGTAGTTGAGAGAAGATGAGAAGAAGCAGAAAAAGGTAAGAAAGAGAGAAGATGAAGGAAAGCCAAAGATAAGTTACAATGAAGAGAAAATAAAAAAGATTACCTTTCATGTTATTGTTGAGATTATGTTGTCAATGGAATTGAGTTGTTCAAGTCGTTGGAATCTTTTTCAAGGTTGATTGAATTGACCCAATAATTGTCACTTGAAATGAAATCAATTGCGAACATGATGATTTACTTTGGATTTAAGATTCGGACATTGACCTTCTAGCAAAAAGAAAGTGACCTGTTCACTTTGGAGATAATTTCATCTTCTCTCTTTCTCTTCAAAGTTCAAAGACATTTTTTCTTCATCTTCTTCTTATCAAGTGAAGAGAATTTATTTTCTAAACTAAATCAACATCAATTATCTTGATTTCCTCTTCTTTCAAATCTCTCAATGGTTTTTACTTAGAGAGAGAGAGAGAGAGAGAGAGAGAGAGATTATCATCTTTGATTTAATATTATAACTAATAAAATCTAAATTCGATTGACAATAACAATCATTCATTCATCGATATTTTCCTTCACCATCATAAAATTATATTTCGCAATTGATTAACTTATTAACCACAATTCTTCATTTTCTAATTTCTCTATGAAAGTTCTGTAATACGAATCCCAATCGTTAGATGGCAGTTTTGCTATCGGAAATTTTCATTTGAAAATAATGATCAATGATTCAAGATCACCAGAGCTTCTGAACATTTTGAGGTTTTTCCTCCTTTCTTATCATCACAAGGAATCAAATACTCTTGGCTTAAATTAACTAATGGAATAAATAATTTATTTCCTCTTTAAATCACAATAGTTGGTAATTTAATAACTCATTTAACAAACAAGGAAAAACTTAGTTAAATCAATTGAGGGACTAAATTGTCAATCTCTCAATTTTCAAACTATTGGTGAGCTTGTATTTAGAAAAGGCTTAAGTCAATTTGATTTGATAAACGAAATTGTTACATTGATCGTTTTTGCGTCTTCGCTGTAAATTCAGTTTTGTGCTACTTTCAATTGTGATAGGAAATTGATCGTTGTGACATTATGGTCTTCACGATTCTAAGTCCATTCATCCCATGGGACCCAAAGTTCTGGACTGAATGGCATGAAAAGAATTGGATCCTCTCGGTTACAGCTGTCATAATTTACGTTATGTCTGTGCGAATCGGCGCTAGTCACATGGCCAAATGTTCACCTTTCGACCTGAAAAGCCTTTGGCTCTTTGGAACGCTGGTTTAGCTCTCTTTTCAATCCTTGGAACTTGGGTAACTGGATCGGAGATGATAGAAGTTTTATCGACCAAAGGTTTCTACGATTCCGTTTGTAACAATAGTTATATTTCCAATAATTGGGTTTATTTCTGGTTCTGGTTGTGGACTTGGTCCAAACTTGCAGAATTTGGTGACACTGCTTTCCTTGTACTTCGCAAAAAACCATTAACTTTTCTTCATGTTTATCATCATTCGTTGACGGCATTTGTGGCCTTTTATTTTTGGCACGCTGGTTTACCAATAAATCGTTGGTGCATCACAATGAACTTTTTTGTCCACAGTTTAATGTATACTTACTTTTCACTTACTGCCTATGGAGTTAAAATACCGAAACCTTTTGCCATCATAATAACATTGACCCAGATAATTCAGATGATTATTGGTTGTGTTACAAGTTCCTATGTAATCTATACCATGGTTATGAGGATTCAGTGCGTCAGCTCAACTCCTCATAACATTGGTTGTTTTTTAACTTATGTTTCGTATGCGATACTTTTTATTCATATGTTTCAATCTAAATATTTAAGAAAAAGCAAAAAAACTAAGCCAAACTCTGAGAAAATTGAGTAAATCCCATGTAACTTTATCTCTGGTGAAATGGAAATGTCTTGATAATTGGAATAAATGTAAAATATTCGGATTGTAAGGTTAAGGTGATTCGAATTGAATTATAATATTTAACTTTCAGCAACTTTATTCAAATCAAAAAGTAACTGAATTCATAATCATTCATTTGACAATTTTAATTTAATTGTAAAAGTTTCCAAATGTCAGTGTTATATCAATCAAACTGAATCAGAAATCATTGGAACTGTCGAGCCATGATTTTGATCCTGATCGAATCACATGAATTAAATTGGTTTATGTTTTTAAATTCAAAGATTTTATTTATTTCAATATTTCAACTCCATCTTTTTGTTATGATTTGTGTTGATTTCTCCATTTAAATTAATCATTTTTGTCATTGGATGGATTAGATTGATGAATTGTTTTTGTCTTGTTTTTTAAGTTAATCCAAATTTCGAGGATAATTGATCATAATTGATGATTTGATTATTTGAGTAGATTAATAAGCTGAACCAATCGACATTGAATCGGCTCCTCGAGCTCGATTATCTGTCAGATTGTCCTGATCATCGAGTGATCCCCAATTTCTTACATTTGAATGAACTCGATTTGACTCTGGGTCCAAGGAACTGTGTTTAATCCCATAGAGAAAATAAATAATAAAACCAAAGGTCATCCAAACAATTAAACGAAGCCAAGTTAAGGGTTGAAGGTTTGTCATTAGGGTCGCATTGAAGACGATTGAAAGGGTTGGCACGAAGGAACGAAGGGCACTTTATAACGAAGAGATGAAGTGTTCTGCTCATGGAGAGCGATTATAGCAAATGAAAGAGCCAAAATTATGGCCAATAAAGCGATAACTCCAATCCAAATTTTATTGTGTTCGGAAGCCTAACAGTCGAGAATAAGAAGAAAAATTATTACAGAATTTGCAAAACTCTGGTGTTAACATTTTCGTAGGTCCAAGTCGATTTACGAATTGAGATTATCGATTTCAACAGTCTTCCAAACTTCATAAGATCCCAAGGTATTATAATAACTTAGTTGAACAAGAATTTTGAAATCAATTCATAGAAAATAATCTGATTTCAATCAAATAAGATGAACTTTTTTTTCTATCACCTTGTCACCAATTTTATCACTCGAGAGATTATTTTTGATATAATGATATTTCATTTGAAACATTCAAAACAAATCTAAATTCAGCTTTGTTGAATGAGATTTTTCCCCAGGCTAATTTAATCTAATTTATCTACTTGCGTATTAATATTTTTTCAGTAAGCAATAAGATGAATATTATGAGAAAAATTGAAAATATCTAATCTAAAATAACAGAAATAAATTTCATGTTGCGAAAATTAATTTCGCCATTATGATTACTGTTGTTCATAAGCCATGGAAACCAAGTTTACATGTAAACCGATATTTCCCTGAACATTGAATCTTCATTAATGTAAAATGTTCAAGATTAGTTTTTTTTCTTTGTTCTTTTACCATGAAAATTTAATGTAATAACAAACAAGTTGGATGAAAATGTCAGAGTAAAAAAGGATGAAGATGATGAGAAGTGAGTTTTCTCCAGGGATGAATTGATCTAAGATCGATTTTTTCTCTCTTCCTTTTCATCTCTTTATATTGTGTCGATTACAAGGAAAAGGTTACAGAAAGAATAAAGAAATTCAATGGAAAATAAAAGAAGATGATTAGTATGAACTGGTTGATTTTCATTAGAATTTAGAATGATAATCAAAGAGAAAAGAAAATGATGTAATATTTAATCTAATAAATGATTAGAATAGAAAAGCAATTGATTGATTTACGTTGAGCAATTCAATCGAATGAAACTTCACTAGTGATCCAATGGAATAAGATTCTGTTACTTAATCAATTCCATCCAATGAAACTTAACCATGTTTACTTTTATTATTTGAATTTGTTTGTCTGTAAATTTGCTTATTGCTAATAGAAAGTTAATTTAATTGATTGCTCACCTTTATCAGGAGTGGACCAAGAGCACAAAGAAGAAATATAACCTTGACCATTATGAATACACAAATAGTGGGCATCGATCGAGGAGCATATCGAAGTAGTCGAAGTCGTGAAAAATATCCTCGAATAATTTGAAGTAAACCAGAGGAGATTGTTGAACTACTAATGGAATCACCTCTTTTCGAGAAGATGGATGATGACAAAAAGGTATCATCATTGATTGATCGACGAGGAGATTCAGTGGACAATTCATTGAGCTCTTGTTGATCGTCGAGATCACAGGTTAATTGTTGATGAATTGGTTCCATTGGCTGATATCTATCATGAAAGGAATGAAATTCCGTTAATCTTATCCGATCATTAATAGAGAATAGAACTTTTTTTTTGTTCATTATTGAAGGAAAATCCTTTCATATTATCAATTATCGTTAATATCCAGAGGGAGAAAAGACAAAGAAATTGTAACATTGAAGTTATAAAGTATTAATGACGATCATCAATCATCTTGATCATTACATAAACTTTGATAAGTTATAACTTAAAAAATCATTAATTATAATCATAAAAAGTCAATAATCTAATTAATTGTCAGAATCTTCATTATCAAGTTCACAACTGATTTAAATTATCATTAGGTAACTTGATGTGATTCAATTAACTTATCACTTTTTAAACTTAATTCAAATTAAATTAAGATAAATGAACCATTAATAATCTTAATCCTTTCCTTATATTAAGATATTAAATTTGCGTATCAAGTATTAATTGTTTAAGTAATTATATGTGCATTCATTAAAGTAGTTTACACTTAATTAATCTTCCATCAAAAATTTGATCATTTTAACTTGTAATTACCTGACAATTATCACCGATGCACTGACCACAAGATAAGCCAGTAAAGTGCCAATGGACATCATTTCGACCAATGTGTTTATGTCCAAAAAGAGAGCTAAAAGTCCACCGATTGATGCAAAGAAATACATTGCATACAAAGGTATTTGTGTCTTTTCATTGACCTTTGACATCCATGAAAACAATAGTCCATCATCGGCCATCGAGTAAACGATTCGTGTGAGCGCATACATGGTCCCCATGAGAACGGTGACCATACCACAAGAAGCACCGATAATGACCAGCGTTTTGGCCCAACCAGCACCGACTCTACCAAGAGCATCAGGTAAACCAGATTCATCATTAATCTCAGAAAAGGGAACCATTAATGTGAGAACAGCTGAAACTCCAACATATGCTATTGTAGCAAAAGCCATTGAGATCATGGTTGCGATTGGAATTGATCGTTGGGGATCTTTAGCTTCTTCACCTGAAGTGGCGATCGAATCGAAACCGATGAAAGCATAAAAACACGAAGCTGAAGCGGCGAAAACACCTTTCCATCCGAAAGGCATAAAACCCGCATCAGGGATCGACCAATTTGTACTATCAGCGAAATAACTTCCAACCACGATTATGATCAAAATGATTATTATATTGATCAACGAGAAGAGGTTGTTGATATAAGAAGTGGCTCTCACACCGCAAGTAAGAAAAACAACAAACACAGTGACGATTGCGCTCGCAAACAGATCAATATGTTGGGAGATCAAATTCAAACCAATGGTACCAGAGATAAAGGATAGTGTATATTCACGAATCACTCCACCGAGGAGGGAATCAATATATGCAGAACAAGCTCTATGGAGGAAAAGAAATCACAAAATTGATTGAAAATAGCGAATCGAGTAAATCGAAAGTGGTTGAAAATTGTTCTTACCGACTCACAACTGCAACACCGATCAAATTTTCCATGACCATATTCCAGCCCACTGTAAATGCCCAGAACTCACCAAGGACTAGATAAGTGTAAGAATAAGCTGAACCGGCCCTTGGGAAACGAACACTGAATTCAGCATAACATAAAGCCGCAAGAAGAGAGGCAAATCCAGAGATAATATAAGCGACAACAATAGCTGGTCCAACGACCTTTTTAGCTATTGGAGCAGTTAGTACATAGACACCAGAACCAACCATATGACCGATGCCCAGAAGGGTTATATCAAAAGTAGATAGACATCGATTCAATTGAGTCTCCAGCATATCTGATGACCCACTGACTTGTTTGGTTCGACGAAGTTTGGACCAAGTTTCTTTAAACCAAATTTTAGAGCTCATCGTGATTCCAGTTAATCCACTTGCGTCCATGATTAGGACAAAAATATTCGAGCTTTTAATTGAGATGTAATATCGGACTTCGTTGATTTTTTTACCTCATCACTAGATCACTAGTATCCTATTAATTTGTTGATTCTCACTGAATAATCACAATTCATGAAATGTTATTCAAATAATATAATCACTGATTATCATGTAAATTAATTAAAAATGATGCTGATCAAATCTAAATCACTCATTGAAAATTGATAACATCCATACGGCACAATGGATGTAAATAAGTTATTGGGTTAATTATGATGTAATCAGATTATAAGATTAATTAACCAACAATACCGTTGATTTGATCACAATCATCACAACAATAATCACTGAAATGGTAGATTAATTTGTCTTTATTTCATCGGGTTCCAGAACTAATTATATTTTCACGTTAATACTTCACTTGATTGTCTAGTTGATTTCGAGTTGCTGTTGCTCCTCTGATTGTGATCATGTTGTTGATTTTTTCATCATTATATTGTTACAACAATAATAGTCATGTGTGTACACAGGCAGAAGAAAATGAGACCAACCACTATGGAAACCAATTCATTTGGAGTTTTTTTCCTTGTTATTCAGCCACTATCACTATCATCATCTTCATCTTCATCCAGTACACGCTCATGCACTAGTTTCAGCAATATCATGTCCTTAAATCGTCATGCTCAGTGTATTTAATACCAGGGAAAATGCTGATAAACTAATGGATATAAACTGAGTAAGAAAAACTGAACTAAAATGTAGCCTGGTTAACATTAGATATTGAATGATTTGGTTTATGGAAAAATGAAAATTCTTGATAAAATGAATTAGAAATAAGGTGAGTATAGTCATCAGAATAATCTCTTCTTTCTTTCTCCATGAATTCCAATATTTTACCAGGATTATTATCATGAGTTGAACAAGAAAATATTTTCTCTTTTCATTCAATTTATTCTGTTGAGCATCATTCACAAGATATTAGAGTCTTTAGTTGATAAAATATTCCATGGAAACAATGTTAAGAAGTTCAAATATTCCAATCATTTTATTATTCAGATTCTTTTAGTTCTGCAGATTAATTGTGAAAATATCTTGTGAAATTAACGATTTATTGTTGTAATTTCTTCATAATTAAAAGTCTAATTTGATTATTGCTGTTCATTAGCGAGAATCGTTTCACATTGTTCAAATTTTTCTCAATGAAATTCTGGTTCTGAACTCATTATTCAGAGATTATCTGTTGAATCTACTGATAAGTTATCGTAATTTTTTAATATCATCCAGTTATTATTAATTTTATTTTCCAAAGCTCCAAGTAAGAGATGAATCAGATTCAAATTGTCATGTGTAGATATTCAATCAATCAGTTATACTAAAATTCTGATGAATATGAAATCTACTGTCATTAAATAATAGATATTGATCAATCTGATTGTATTTGTGTTGCATTTAGTTTAATCAGATAATTGCTCATGCGTTTGTTTTATATTCAGCATCACAATAGCACTCAACTCATTTGATTCCCTGAGGCAAAATTTATCATTCATCAACTCTTATAACTTGATTGTAACATTTCACTTTTATATTTTTATTATCTCAATTTTGCCTCATGGGAATCATGACTGTTCACCAAATAGTTGGTCAAGTATCTCTTCAATTTTTTATATACCAGAATGACCAGTCCATTAAGAATAATTTCAGATCGAAATCTCAGTTCGATTCATTATAGCTTAATCTTTTTAACAATCGAAGTCATCGAACTAATCAGTTAACTAACTTCTCTAATGTAATCGAAAATGTCTCAATCTTTTGTCTTTCACATGATTTGGATCAAATTTGATTTCTTAGGCAATTAGAATATAAATTTTTTCATTTACCATGTAAGTCTAATTGAACTTTAGTATTAAACTCAACACTCTGAATCTGTTGACTTTCATCATGATATTTGCATGAGAAAATTAATAAAAAAATACAGAAAGTTAATTGAATGATTATCTGATAATCTATTGACACAATGAGCCCTTCGATTGACTTGCGACTAAATTGCTAGTGGTTTCCAAACGAAATTTAAATCACTTGAATATCAGAAAAAGTTACAAAATTTAAATTGGGTGATTTTGATTGAACTAATTTAAAAGTTACGATTTAAAGGTTACATTTTTATCAATAAAATACTTTGTTTAACATTCGTATGAATGGTTACATGGCTCAAAAGGTGAATCTTTTTACGAGATCATTATACATGTTAGACTTTTTCTCTTCAGATTTCATTTGAATACTATCATGTTGATTCATTAATTAACTGGTTTAGAAATTGGGTCAAAGGTTAAATATAAATTTTATCATATGATTGTTGTTTTAAAGATTCCAGACAAGCTAAGCGATGGCTAAGCGAAGGCTAATTTGAACACATGTAGACTGGAAGAAGCATTTTGATAAATGCATTGGGTTGATGAATCGTTGGTTCGTTGCATTCAGTAAATTGTATAATTAACTATCAATCTTCATCATTAAGAAGAGCGAATCGATTAGTTGTTCGTAGGAGCGATGATCGTCTTTCTCCATCTTCCGTCTCTTCACTAGAATCTTCATCACTGGTTCCTTTTTCATCTCCACCTTCAGATCCTTTCTGATTAACATCACCACTCGTTTCACATTGAATAAACCGGATTCTACTAACGTCGGCATCTTTAACGAAATTTTCACGATTTTTAAAATAATTGGGTGGATAGAAGGTCAGGCACAAGGTTCGACCGTCTAAGGTTAATCTTAACAAGTGATTAGCAGCTCGATAGACATCAGGTCGACCGGTTTTAGCGGTTTGATAGCCTCGAAGTACAGCCCAAGATTCACAGATATCGAAGGCTGTCCAGTGTTGACCAGACGATTCGGGGTCAATTTTCTTCAATCTCAATATCATCGGGATATTGATTCTCGCAGCTAAAAACTGAATGACTGAATAAGGTTCACGCAATTGTGATACTGGAAAACACCCCATCAGCACTTGCATTTGTTTCGGTGCTCGACTTGGAAAAACCAGACCAGGACAATCACACAGTTTAACATTATCGGTAAGATAAATGGTCTGAAAGTGTTTAGTGTGTCCTGGAGTTCGTGAGACACTGACCACCTTTTTGCCCATAATTGCATTCATCAGGGAGCTTTTACCGACATTTGGATGTCCAACCATTCCTATTGCAAGTTGAACAGAAAGATAATATTAAACAACCATTTTAACGGTGCAAGGACAGACTACATACCGATGGTTAGTACTCCAGATTCATATTTTTTCCATTCATAGTAACGATAATCTGAATGATCGACATTGACATTTGTTGCGATTTGAAAAGCACTCAACTCTTCCTCGACTGCTTCATCGTCAGAATCCAGTTCTGAGTTTCGTCTCTCTTCACTTAGAAGCTCATCATCAATTTTGTTTGACCAACTTGCCAGGTCAACTTTATCACCAACAATATCTTGTAAAACTTTAAGTAATCTTCTTGACCCTTCAGCGGCCATTTTGAATTTACCATATCGACGACCTTTATGTTTACCCCGTTCTTTCACCTTCATTCCAGCATAAGACGCGAACGGAATAACATGAAGTTTTGGAAATTTGACTTGAAAATAATGTAACCAAGCGAGAACCAAAGGAGCTTCAACCAGATCGACCTTGTTAAGAACCAGAATCATCTCTTTGTTCAGCTCATGAACCACATAATTGTACAGAGAAGGTGGAAAATGATAAGTTGGATGTTTTATGTCAGCAATGGTTAGAACGACATCCGACATCTCGATTACTCGCCACAATTGTCTCCATGTTTCCAAATTCATTTCGAAATAACTCAACTTGGAAAGGGAACCAAATTGAGTTTCCAGTTTTTCCAAATATTTGCGAAAATATTCAAATTCAATTGTGTCCAACTCTTCTTTGGTCAGGTTGTAGTCTCGAACTGGCCTTTTGGGAAAGGCCAAATCATCGGATAAGAAAATTTCTTGTTCTTCAATCTCAAGCTCGTCGGGAGAGGCCATTTTGATGGGTAACCTTGATTGAGACTTTCTCTCTTCTATTTCCGCATCAGTTTCACGATAAAAGGTAAGAGCATATCGATTTGCATTAATAGATGGATTACTTTTCTTCTGGTAATTGATTCTCATGATCCCCTCAGAATTTAATTGTCCAGCTTCAACTTGACAATTCTCATCTCCACCTTGATTAGCAAAAGTCTCATCATCACTGTCGCTTGAATCAGATTTACGTCTTTTCCTTTCCCTTTTAGCCTTTAATTGTTGCTTCTTTTGTTTGGCACTAAAGGGCTTCTTCCGTCCTACTTGAGGCATGATGTCATCAATGAGATGGTCAACAAAATGGCCGCAAATTCAGGTTCTTTTATATACTCTCTATGAATAAAATATTTTCCAAATAGAGAATCAAATAACCGGTCCACAAATGAAAGGAAGCAAATTGATTCAATACAATCACAAAGGCCTAAAATATACAAGTCAAAATCACAGAAATATTATTCCAATATACTAATGAAACGTCGATTCAATTAATCTACTTACCAACGAAAGACTAAATCACTCATTTAATTAATATGATGAATAAAAATTAAATTCAATGAATGAAGGAGGAGGAAAAAGTAAACACATGCAAAGATAAACAAAGATCAAGTCTTAACCATAAAGGGATTGATTTGAAGAGATTTTGTTGCAATCAATTGATTGGAATAAATTGGAAACAGATTAATTGTAAAATCTTTTAATAAGATTAATAAATGACTGTCACGTTAAAGAAAATATTTTAATTAAATCAATCAAGAAGCAGAAGAAAATAAAACAAAAATGTAAACAGAAATGTCAACACAAAGGGACAGTAGTGACGCTTCATGTTCACAATGTGAATCAAATGAAATTCAAAGTTTTTTTGATAATTTGATCTGAGAAACAATTTGTTGATTAATTTAATCATTAGAAGATCGTTGTGAAAATTAACGCTAATCAATAAGATTTTAATGACTTTAAACAGACATTTGAATCTTTTTTTTGCGGTAACCCGAGAGAAAAGTTAATGCTAAGAGTTAAGATTAATTTATTAGTATTAGATTTGATTGAATGATCAAAAGTTAATGTTGATAATTAGAAATTAATTAGTAATAATAGTAGAAATAATGAAATTTCAATCTGTTCGTATTCTTAAATATCTTGTGATATTTAGGTGTATCTCTTGTTAATTATCACAATAATTACACCAGATAAACCATTTTACTTATTGATTGTGTTTAATTGTTTTAATTGATAAAATAGATGATTACAAAAGGATTGAGTGGTGTGAACATTTAATCACCGATTCAACGTACAGGGTGCTAAGGAAGATACTCAATTGAATATTTTGTTGTTCTTATCTGATTACAAAAGAGATTGTTTTCCCTCTGTGTGTTTATTGATCAACACTCTGTACAATTAACCGAATTTAATTACTCTCCACCAGTTCTTTGCATCGATCGCTACGATTTGATTGATCTTTGTTTGTTTAGTATTCGAGTGACACCAAAACAGTTTGGGTTACAATAAGTTCGCTCATTGTAAATTGTTCGAAACGAAACTAATTGAAAGTACCATGGATCGAATCACAAGTTTATATTCACGATTAACGAAAACTCATTTCATAGGAATTGGAGTAACTCTTTTATTAGCAACTGCGATTTGTGTCGGAGTTTTAGTGACTCGTCGTAGTGGTTCATCTTCAACACTTTCGCCGTCATTTCAACACTTTAAAGGTGAGTTGACAATTTTTTGATTTTCGATTCGATTAAGTGTAACTCGATAATTTTACAGAAAAATTGGCGAAAATCGATCATGCGGTTCAATGGGTAAAATATAACAGCGAAAATGTAACTTTGACCAATGCTTTTGACGGCGGCAGCGATGAAGATTCGTCTTTGATCTACGCTTGTAGAGCTCATCATAAGAGCTCTATCACTACTGTAAGTGAAGTTATACCGGGCACTTATTATCCAAAGACACAGAAGTGCAAATTCACTTATGGAGGAAAAGCTTTAGAAAAAGATGAATTTGAATTATTAACAACCAAAGATTCGAGTGCGTTGATTTGGTTGAAAAATTCAAACGGTGAAGTTTATAATGGTGCAATTACTGCGGGTCTAACTACTACTCATGATGAGCTAACTGTCGCGCGCGTTGAGATCTACGGTTTTTACTATTCGATTGGAAAAATTCACGATGTATATAAATTAGCATACGTACCAGACGGAAAGACCGAATATCCTAGTCACGATTATGATGTTTTGTGTCTTAAGGATTTCGCTCTTTGAAAATCTTATTCAATAAAATTTAAATTATCTGTTTACTTATTTAGATTTTGATACTTAATAACTATTGTAACAAATATCTAAGTTTCATTAGTTGTCAAACTTTTCTGGTTCAATATTTTACGATTAAAAGATGAGACTTTACTCACTCTTTACCAAAGTTGATGCTCTTAGTCAAGGGCGTTAATTAGCACGAAGTAATCTAATTGTTTGAAACTTTTCCAATTTGTTTTTCCCATTTACATGTTGACTATTTTTATTATTGTTTAGATAATCGCAAGGGTAGATTACTTTTAATTGATCAGAATTTATCTGATTTCGCCACCGGTTTTAGGTCCTAATGTCCCAAAACGGTTAATGATCGTAATATCAAATTAGAATAACATGTCTTTATTGAAAACCAGAAAAACTAATTAATAGACCAATTTAAACGATAAGAAGATCTTTGTGAAAATTAGCGCTTATCAATAACATTTAATGATCTTGATCAGACAATCGTTAAGATTAATTTATCAATACAGCCCATTCGCTCAGTTTAGGAATCTTCTTTTGGGTCTAATTCTCTTGAGAGTTGAGATAAATTTATGAAATTTGTATATTTATTTTCGGTAATATGGCCTATTCATATGCCAAATATAAAATTCTCAGCACTAAAGGCCATTTGATTATTAAATTTCAATGGACTCTATTAATGAATTAACCTTAACGATTGTTTGATAAAAAGTTGATGTTTAAAAATTAGAAATTAATTAGTAATAATCGTGCGAAATAATGAAATTTAAATCTATTCAGGTTCTTAAGATTCATAAATATCTTGTGATGTTCTAGTGTATCTCTCGTTAATTATCACAATAATTGCACCAGATAAATCATTTTACTTATTGATTGTGTTTAATTGTTTTAATTGATAAAAAGATGATTACAAAAGGATTGAGTGGTGTGAACTTAATCAACGATAATTATCAACCGTGTGAACATTTAATCACCGATTCAACGTACAGGGTGCTAAGGAAAGTACTCAACTAGATATTTTGTTGTTTTTCTCTGATTAGAAAGGTAATAGTTTTGTTCTGCGTGTTGATTAATCGACACTCTGTGTAGTTAACACAATTTAATTACTATCCACCCATTCCTTTCATCGATCGATACAATTTTAGTATTCGAACAACGCCAAAACAGTTTGGATTACAATAAGTTGGTTCATTTGTATTATAAATCGTTTGTGCCGAAATAAACTTCTGCGAATCTAATTGAAAGTACCATGGATCGAATCAGTAGTTTATGTTCACGATTAACGAAAACTCATTTCATAGGAATTGGAGTAACTCTTTTACTAGCAACTGCGATTTGTGTCGGAGTTTTAGTGACTCGTCGTAGTGATTCATCTTCAACACTTTCACCGTCATTTCAACACTTTAAAGGTGAGTTGACAATTTTTTTTTATTTTCGATTTGATTAAGTGTAACTCGATAATTTTACAGAAAAATTGGCGAAAATCGATCATGCGGTTCAATGGGTAAAATATAACAGCGACAATGTATCTTTGACCAATGCTTTTGACGGCGGTAAAGATGGTGACCAAACTTTAATTTACGCTTGCAGAGCTAATGATCCATATATCAGTGATCTTCTACCGGGCACTTATTATCCAAAGACCAAGACGTGCAAATTTACGTATGGAGGAAAATCTATAGAGAGAGATGAATTCGAATTATTAACTACAAAAGATTCGAGTGCGTTAATTTGGTTGGAAAATTCAAACGGTGAAGTTCATAATGGTGCCATTACTGCGGGTCTAACCGGTGCTAAAGACGAGCTTTACGTCGCTCGTGCTGACATTAATGGTTTTTACTATTCAATTGGAAAAATTCACGATATATATAAATTAGCATATGTACCAGATGGAAAGGTCGAATATTCTAGTCGCGATTATGATGTCTTGTGTCTTAAGGATTTCGCTCTTTGAGAATCTTATTTGATAAAATGTAAATGATTTGTTTACTTATTTAGATTTTGATACATATGTACAGGGTGATAAGAAAGTTCGTTTGAAAGATTCTGGTGCTGAAATGCGTTCAACGAATCAAAAATCGAAATTCGACTAAACGTACATCTAATACCCTTGTACACTTTCACACGAGCTTTCTTACCACCGTGTATCGATATCATTACTATTGTAACAAGTATCTAAGCTTCATGAGCGGCACATTCGCTTTCAATATTTTACGATTAAAAGATTCATTGTTTTAATTGATAAAAAGGTCGATTAGAAATTAATTGCTGGATTTAGACTCAATCAAAAAAATTATCAACCGTGTGAAAATTTAATCATCCATTTATCTTACAGGGTGTTAGGGAAAACACTCGCTTAGGATTTTGTTGTTTTTCTCTGCGCACTAGTTTGAATACTTTTTAATTGTTTGATTACAGAAGAGATAGTTTTGTCTCTGTGTGTCTATTGATCAACACTCTGTACAATTAACCAAATTTAATTACTCTCCACCAGTTCTTTTCATCAGTCACTACAATTTGATTGATCTTTGTTTGTTTAGTATTCGAGTGACACCAAAACCGTTTGGGTTACAATAAGCTCGCTCATTGTAAATTGTTCGAAACGAAACTAATTGAAAGTATCATGGATCGAATCAGTAGTTTATGTTCACGATTAACAAAAACTCATTTCATAGGAATTGGAGTAACTCTTTTATTAGCAACTGCGATTTGTGTCGGAGTTTTAGTGACTCGTCGTAGTGGTTCATCTTCAACTCTTTCGCCGTCATTTCAACACTTTAAAGGTGAGTTGACATTTTTTTATTTTCGATTTGATTAAGTGTAACTCGATAATTTTACAGAAAAATTGGCGAAAATCGATCATGCGGTTCAATGGGTAAAATATAATAGCGACAATGTATCTTTGACCAATGCTTTTGACGGCGGTAATGATGAAGATTCATCTTTAATTTACGCTTGCAGAGCTACTCATAACGGTTATATCAGTGAAGTTATACCAGGTACTTACTATCCTAAGACCAAGAAGTGCAAATTCACTTATGGAGGAGAATCTATTGAAAAAGATGAATTTGAACTATTAACAACCAAAGATTCGGGTGCATTGATTTGGTTGGAAAATTCAAACGGAAAAGTTTATAATGGTGCGATTACTGCGGGTCTAGCTAATTCTAAAGACGAGCTAAAGGTCGCTCGTGTTGACATTTACGGTTTTTACTATTCGATTGGAAAAATTCATGATATATATAAATTAGCATACGTACCAGACGGAAAGACCGAATATCCTAGTCACGATTATGATGTTTTGTGTCTCAAGGATTTCGCTCTTTGAAAATCTTATTCAATAAAATTTAAATTATGTTTACTTATTTAGATTTTGATACTTAATAACTATTGTAACAAATATCTAAGTTTCATTAGTTGTCAAACTTTTCTGGTTCAATATTTTACGATTAAAAGATGAGACTTTACTCTTTACCAAAGTTGATGCTCTTAGTCAAGGGCGTTAATTAGCACGAAGTAATCTAATTGTTTGAAACTTTTCCAATTCATTTTTCCCATTTACATGTTGACTATTTTTATTATTATTAAGATAATTACAAGGGTAGATTACGTTTAATCGATAAGAATTTATCTGATTTCGCCACCGGTTTTAGGTCCTAATGTCCCAAAACGGTTACTGATCGTGATATCAAACTAAAATAACATGTCGTTATCGGGAACCAGAAAAACTAATCAATAAAGATATTTATCGAAATTTCTCAACGATCTAATTTCTAATGTTGATTCAAAACAATTAAAATCATGGATAAGAATATTAATCAAAGAGGTTTTTTTTACTTGATAAAGGTATTTAACTGATTACTACTTAGTGTAACGGTAGCATTTTAATACTTTACTTAATTGACTAATTAACCCATTTCTTACAAAGCTTAAATTGTGTTGAGTATTTATTTCATATTCATTGACAAAAATGGTTCTTATTGATTTATCGAGAAAAGCGATTATGTTGATCGCTGCATCGTTATTAGTTGGACTGGTCATCTGTATCTCTATTTTGGTTCCTCATCTGCAACAATCACCATCAACACCAACGATTTCAGTCGTACAAAAAGGTTCGTAATCTCGTTTAGTCTCTCGTGAAAATCAACATTGAAAAGAAACTTGAGCCAAAATTAGATTTTAATTATAATTTGCTCTCTTCGTTTTTAGAAGTACTTTCGAATTTTTTTGTTCCAAGATGGACTCGTTATACTTCGTCCTTTTCGATCGAAAACGCTTTCGTTGCTGATATTGACGCAAACCATCAGCCGATTTATATTTGTCGAGCTGTGTATTCTTCTTATGTGTTCGACGAAGATATTGACCTAATTCCAGGACTTTTTGATCCAAAGAAAGGCGTTTGTATCATTTCTTATGGTTATTCTGCTTACGAATACAAAGAGTTCCAAGTGCTGACTACTGAAGACCAGTCATCTTTGATTTGGGTGGAAACATCTCATGGAATAGCACCAGAAGGAGTGGTCATTGGAGGTCAAACAACTAAAGAAGATGAACTACCAATAGCTAAATTTGAAAAAGAAGGTCAAATACTGATTGGTAGCGTTCATGATCGATATGGTTTAGCTTTCGCTGCTTTCGAAGGAACAGAAACTGAAAGTTCTTATTACCATGTACTTTGCATGGAAGAGATTACGATATAAAAATTTCATTTTAATTCTTCTGTTTTTCAGTCAAGAATTAGAGATTTTCTATTGTATATTTATTACATGTAATATCTTTTACCATTGAGTTGATTAAAGTTTTTCTAATGGGTTGATAACTTTAATCTTGCTAGAAATCACATTGTCTTGTTGATTGAGGTGTTTCTTTATCCAATTGATCGTTAATTGCTACTGTTTTACTCGAGAATAGAATATTTTCATTCCTGTTGATGTGAGAATCAACTTAATTGTCCATTTTACATATTCCATCAGTGATTAACATGATAGATTTAAGAAAATTGTCTAAAAAGACTATCGGAATCGGTGTTTTTTCTTTAGTTGGATTATCACTTTCTCTTTGCATTTTGGTCCTGATACTTGGAAAATCATCTTCAAAATCCTCACCATTAATAGAAAAAGGTGAGTTATTAATCTTTAGAATAGTAGATGAGGTTTAATGTTTATTTCCAGAGAAAATTTTATCCCAATTCAAGGTTCCAAAATGGATTAATCATGAGAACCCTGAAGAAATGAAAAATGCTTTCATAGCTGATAACAATTCAGATAATGAGACAATTTATATCTGTCGAGCAAATCATGGATTCGAAGTATTTTCGATTGATATTGAACTTATTCCAGGCGTTTTCGATCCAGTACGAAAAATTTGTACAATTTCTACTGGTCAAAGTGCCTACGAATATACTAAATTTGAAGTGCTAACGGTAGCAGATGAATCATCATTAATGTGGATTCAATGCTCGAATGGTGAATTACCTCTTGGCTCAGTTGTTTCGGGTATATCGGTTACAGATGATGAAGTACCAATTGCGAAATTGCATCACAAAGGAACAACTTGGATCGGTCGAGTTCAAATAAGAGATCACGAAGCTTATGCTACTTTCGATGGAGCCCAAGTTATTCAACCTTATTACCATATTCTGAGTTTACGGGACATTTCATTGTGATAACACGTGAATTGCGATCTAATCAAAACAATTAAACACCCAAATAATTATCTCGACACATTATCAACATGATGATAACTATTTAGTTCAATTAAAACAATGGGCGTCTTTCAACTGTGATAAACAATAAATCTCTTGGAGTTTTAATTTGATTACTTTGTGAAGAGGCTCACAAAATTAGCTAATCAAATTACTAAATCAAAATCAAAATCAAGATTAAAGTGATCAATTTCTGATTCACTTTGTTAAAATTTAATTCGACAATTGAAATCCTCCCGAAAAGTGTCATCAAATTATTTTATTAATATTTTCAAGGTTTTTTTAATTAGTTGATGATCTGATAATCGTTAAACTCCTACAAATAAATAATTTAAATAAAACAATCGTAAATATCCAACCCATGATCCGCCCCGAATTATCAGTCAGTTTGATTGATCAATGACTGAATTTAAACATTAGTTGATTGTACAGGTAATTAGACTGTTTGTTTGTTGTAATTATTGTAGTTCTTTTTTTTCTTGTGTAAATTAATCCAATTCAAGTGAAATCATGTCTTCACTTAGATTCACAGTTAGTTTATTACTTCAAATATTGTCGATAATTTTGGTCAGTACAAGTGTCTATTCAAGTATCGTTGACGGTAAGTGTTCAACTGATTAGTTTGAGAATAATAATAAGCTAATTGCTGAATTTTCTTGAAATAGATCTAAACAATCGTCGAAACACTGACTATCCAAAGTGGATCGAAAGCAATGGTCCAATAGTGGACACTGCAGCAGTTAATATCGGTGATTTTGATCGAAATCAACCAATTATTTGTCGAATTGCGATTGCTGAAGCTCTAATTCCAGGTAGTGTCAATGCTACGAGTGGCCTTTGTCAAGCTACTTGGAAGGGGCAAGTCGTCACATCAATGTCGACCGAATATCTTTCTGGGCCAATAAAACGTCTCGTCTGGGCTGAATCCAATAGAGGAAACATTCCCACCGGTGCCGTTATCGGCGGAGTGACAAGTGATGGAGTTAAAATCTACATCATTAGAATCAGGAAAGACGCAAATTCCAAAGACTTTCTCGGAGGTAAAATAATCAAAGGAGATAAACAAGGATCAGTAATTAAAGAGGGCAAAGAATTCACAACTCCAACTTATGAAGTTCTATGTTTACAAACAATCATCTTTCCTTAAATTGTAAAGTTTAAAAAGTGAAATGAATTGAATTCAAAAGCTAATATAAGCTTTTATTAAATTCTTGTAAACGGATAACATTAAATTAATTTAATTTACGATTCTCTATTCGGTAGAAAAATCTTGTGATGTCTAATTGAGTGGCAAATGTTAATTGCTTGATAACAAAGATCAAAACAAACTAATCAATCTAATTGTATTTCATCAAGAGTCGCAAACAACTATTTCGTAGAGAGAGAAACCTGGAGGATGAAAAGAAAGGCTTTCTGGTAGTAACCATGACAACTGGTTTTTAATTAGTTATCAGTATAAAAGGATAAGTTTAATTAACTTGATTCATTATTAAAATTGTTACGAATCTTTAAAGATCAAGTGTTAATATATAAATCAAGTATTGTTATGCCTTGTAAAGTTCATTTGGTTGCTGGACACAAGTTCCAAGCTACTTTGTTGACCAGCCTGACATTTTGTTCCCATTGTGATGGATTCATTTATGGATTTGGAAAACAAGGTTACCAATGTAAAGGTGAATTTCTTGTAGGGTCAACAGGTTCCTTTCTCAATCTAAACTATTGATATTTCTATTTGATTCTAATCAACAGAATGTATTTGTGTTGTCGGTAAGATCTTAGTTAATGGTTGGAGGTGGAGCTAACGGCTATTCGTCACACTTATCCCTTTGTTTGTTTAAATTAGGTTAGGTTAGGTCTTCATTAAAAGGGTCAAAATCGACATAGGAAGGCCCGGAGGGCCTGAGACAATCAAACGGGCACACAAGCAACCTAAAATTCAACTTAATTTTTCAATTTAAGCTGACGGACACTATCGATAAGTGTGTAGAATAACCATTGGCTCCACCTCCAACCATTAACTAGGATCTTACCGTGTTGTCCATAAGCGATGTCACAGTGAGGTCGAAAATCAATGCAAACTAATGGAAAAGGTAAATACTGGTGATGGAGATTTATTATTATTTTATTATATTTTTCTATTAGTTTGTCTGGTATATTTTCATCAATTGGGTAATGATTAATATTTTTTTTCATATTTACTATCTAATAGGATTCACCTTCTGAGAGTAACGATGAACGAGATGGACAAGTGACCCATAACTTTGCGGCTCACACTTATTTCAAGCCTACTTTTTGTAATCATTGTGGATCCTTGATGACTGGAGTAATTCATCAAGGATTAAAGTGCAAAGGTAATCATCATATCATTTAACAAATTGCTCTAATTTCTAGTTGATTGGAATCAGTTGAGCAACAGGGCCACTAAGCTCAATGGTGGAGCTTTCATGAGCCAAGCCTTTGTTTACATGAAACTCTCATAGAAAATAACTGCTTAGCAACTTTTACGTAATAGAAATTAAAATTAATTCTTAAGGTTAATCTCACCAAATTAACATCATTTAACAGTAAATTCTCAAGGATGAAGTTTAATTTCATGTGATTAACTGTTTTCTTTTTCTCTTTTTAACTTTCAGACTGCGGAATAAATGTTCACAAGAAGTGTGACAAATTCATTAGCCATGGATGTAATCAACGATCTTAAAAAGAACGACGAATGTCAATTGTCATTATTTGCCAAAATAGTCCAAATCTACTCGGATTTTTGCTGATTATTAATGATTTTGATTCTTAAAAATTTAAAATTCTCTAACTGTTCAACTACTCTGCTTTGTTTCTTTTGATCAATTAACTGCTTATTATGTGTTACTCAAAATTGTCAGTCAATAAAGACATTAAAGACCATGAAAGCTATGAAAGTATCATGATACTTTCGTAATGGTATTTTTACGAAAACACCATTACGAAGATGGCTTTTTGAGATCTATACCGACAAAATATCGAGCCACTAATCATTTACTACGACGGACGAGGTAAATATTGTCATCAAAGAAAAACTTGGAATCATTCGAACGCTTTGATTTTATTTTAATTCCCAGATCTCATGTTTAAAGTCACAGAATCTTCATTCGAATAAACTTGAATTAAAAGTTCATTATTTTTCTGAAAAATCTGGTTTACATATTACTATGAGTTAAATCAATATAGAATGAAACATTTATGAAAATAATCTTAGAATAACAAATAATATCATGAGTTCAGTGGTAAATAAGTTGAATTTTGTTTTTTAGTCATTGGTAATTTATCATAATTCCAATTATCACTGTTTATATCCGGGTTGAAGGTTAATAGATTGATTGATATTGCATTGCTTTTCAATTGCTCTATTCAGCATTAGTCTTATCATCTCCATTAAAACAAAGAGTAACTTTTTTTATTCTTACTGTTTTATTAAAAGGGTTTCGATAAAAATGATTAATTGAGCACATGATCAATAATTTACATCAATATAAATATATTGATGTATTATGATATATGAGCAAATGTATGACTGACTGATATCCTACTTTTAACTTTCAGATAGCGGGATAAATTTTGTTAACGAGGTGAAAAACTCATTGGTTATTGACGAAATGCTCATCTAAAAGGTTCGATTTTATCATTTCCATAAATATGATTTACCTTGAATTGCAAAAGTAAAAATAAAAATACGCACGAAAGAAAAATTATTGTGTCATTAAAACGATTTTTTAAACATTTTATTAGAAATCGGTATTAGAAATTCAATTCGTTTTCTTAAAAGTCTCATCGAAATATAAACAAATTTACATTAAAAGGTTCAAGAAAAATTTTCGTGAATCAGGTACAAATATCCGTCAACTCAAACACTGTGACTTTAAGCTGATTTTTTTTCGGCACCACTATTTTGATCTTCATTAACATATAATAAATAATATTAATATTGTGTAAAAATTGAATTAGAAACAAACAATTACAATTAACCTGTGGGGATAAATTTTGAGACTTTTTGTTTCTAACCTCTTGCATCAAGTTCTTGAAAATCATGATCATGATCGTTCATTTTCTCGTGAAGGGTTACACATATTAACTATCAGAAGTTTAAACTTAATGGTAAAATTCAGTATACTTTTAATTCTATAAAGTTTTCATCAAATAGTCTCTTAATTAATCCTCTCAGGTTAGAACAAAAAATAAATCAAAATCGAAAAGAAAGTTTTTCTAATCATCTCACTAACTCCACCTGACGATTGTTTGTTGACTTTTATTCCTCCAGCTGATTGAGAGATGAAAACTTTGTGTTTCCATGAATGAGCTCAATCTAATTCTCAATCTGTCTCACTAATTACTGTTTATATTATTCATTTGAAATGAATTCAATATTATTATCATTGATTGCTGGATTCGTTTTAGATCAACCTAATTACACGTAACCTGTTTTCTTCATGATATTATCCTGAATCATCACATCGTTTTTAAATTACATCAAGTGCTCTTCAGGTTTGTTGTTTTTCTGTTAAATTAATTATTTTGCTTTTTAGTAAAAATCTAAACTAGAATCCGAAGGCAGTGGTTAGTTGATTAGAAAGGCAATCAAGTCTTTGTTGATATTCCTTCAACTGACTTCGGATTCTAATCTAAATGTTTATCTTGTGATTAATTGTTGTTTTCTTTTGTAGTTTCTTCCTCCCTTATTTGGTTCAATTTGATTCTCGGTTGATAAACTTTCCTCTCACATCCAGTTGAATTTCATTCACTTTGAATCTATGATCTATTTCCTGTGTGATTGAACTTAATCATTAGTGATTCATGAACCTGTGTTTGTTTATCATAATAGAATGTAACTGGTTAATCATTTCCTTTTCCATCTCTCAAGAATCTCATGTACATGTATGAATCTAAAACTTGGTCCATTGTGATACTTGGATAATCAGTTCGTTAATCTACTGGACAAACCAATTTTCTTGGTGATTATTTCATCAATCGATTAATCTGGATGAAAGCAACAAGGAGATATAAACCTTTACGCAAACATGATAACAATTTATTATGTAGTTTTACCAATTTAGCCATTCTCACTTCAGCTTTTCCTTTGGGTGGTTTCCTATTCTGTGTATTCTGGTCTCTAATATTTAATTTTCACGAATCGACATCAACCCATTGTCAGGTTTCCAATTATCTGCCATCAATTAGTGCAGCGGTTGGATCATATTCACCTCAGAAATATGTTTGGCGTTTCTGTATCGCGATACACTCAGCACCAAGATATTTAATCGCTTACATGTATTATAACCTCGTACATGGATCATTGATCATTTATCTTGTTAATCTGGTTGAAGTTTCAAGTCTAATTGGATTGACATTCATTTCATCAACTGAAAATAACTGTAAGCTTTAAGTTAACATTTTGTAAGCTCAGAAATGCGAAACTATCACTGAACTTTCATTGTTAATGATGAACTTTCAATGAAATCTTTCAATTGGCTGGATAATTTGATTCCAATCAAACTAATTTACTTTTATTTTCCCTTGAAACAGTTCTTCATGCTTCCAGTTTCGCTCTTTTCATCATAACTGGATTCATCGGAATGACTCTGGTCACTGATTTTTCATTCAATTCAAAGAAAGTTAAATCCCTCATGGTTTACATTAATCTGATCTCAACCGGATTAGCAATCTTCTTCTTTTACAAACATAATTCGTACTGTGAACCCGGTGTGTACACGTTATTTGCTCTAAGCGAATACATAGTTGTCATTACGAACATCGTTTTCCATTTCCAGGCTTATTATGATTTCAAAGATTATGACATCGTTTTGGTCAATCGATTATCTTTGGCTCAATCCTAATATTTTATACACCAAATATTTTACATATTTAAACCAAGAATCTAATTATTATGAGTCTCATTAAGAATCAATTTCTATTTATACACAATAAGCAATTAATCTCGATGTAAACAAAACTTATATATCTTATATTACCAAAGACAAAGTCAATAATAAATTAATAATTTAAATGAAGAAATAATTAATCGCTGATTAGCAAAAAGAAAAATTTATTCCATTTATTTGATATAATTTAATCACTTGACTTATTCTGGTTACAATTTCATGATGATTTAGACTTTGATTTCCATTGATTGTGTACGCAAATGGATTGACAAAAATTTTTATGAGTTTTGAAAGATTTTGATATGAATTTCGTGAGCAACGATTGTCATGCCTTAATTATGATCGTTTATCCAAAAATATCCTAATACAAAAAGTGATTGACAAAATAGGAGTTCGATGGACACAAAAAAGCTTTGGAGTGATGACAATGATGATGATGGAAAAAGTAAAGAAAAGGATAACAAAGGAACGTAATTAAGGTGATTAAGATTGAATTAAAAATATGACAACAATTGAAGAAACATGATTGTTACAAGAATCAATTGTCAATGGCAAAGGTGAAAATAGGTGATTGTTTGTGTCTTTTTTGTCTATTAATATTAAGAATAGGAATTTGTAGTACGATTTGATAATCTAATCAAATCTAATTGTCTTTGTTTGTGTTGATTAAATACTATTTGGCTACAATTACAATGTTCCTGAATCAAATTCAGTAACTCGTTTCTTCAGGAAGAAATATAAAATTCCCGCTTGAGCCATCACATCAATCGTCCCAGCGGTGAAAGTATCAGTATTATTGGTCCCTTGAGTTGCTGATCCAGGTCGGATTAATGTCGGTCCAAAAACTGTCGCTAAATTGTGCAGTGACATCTTATTCAGATTTTCGTACTTGTTGACACTAAATGGAAACAAGGAAACAATACAATTAGTTGTCATGATAGAAATAAAATCTTGGGTGTTGGTTTACAATTAAAAAAGTGTTAATAACATTCAAGATGAACCGCTAATAACAACATAAAAAACTAATTGGCAATTAAACAAAAATGGTGTTTTCTTTTCACGCCAACAAGTTTACTATTGAAACTAAATTATGGTTATAATCAAACGAGGTTTCCAAGTGATTGTCAATTAAATGATTAAACACTTTACATACTTTACAAAATGATCGATCAAGAAATTGATTGTATTCTGATTGACCGGAGGTAATAGAATGAAAAGTTCAGTTAGACGTTTTCTCCTCTCTTCGTTATTGGTTAGACCTGTGGAAATAAAACAATCAAATCAGTTAATTGCTCATAAATCATCTCGATAACTACTTACTGAAAGCGTCGAAAAATTTCTTATAAAGACTATTAGTAAATAAAGCTTCTGGAAGTTCTCGAAGGTACATTTTGAGTAGACCCGTAATAGCGTTTATATCAATTTCCTTCAGTAAATGTTCAGCTTCGTATGGATCTGTGGGTAGAAATTGAATTTCAGGTTAATTCATGTAATTAGAACAATTTGATTTTCAGAGATGAAAAGATTATTTCAAGTATATTTTTAATGATAGATTAATCTAATCAATTATCATCTGATTGTGTTCATCTTTTCATCTCAATGAAATGTTTACTTTTTTACTATGTGACCTTCTAACTGAATATTAGAAAATTCTTGTTCTCTCAATTTTCTTCATCTTCTATTCAAGGATAGATCAAACTCTTGTCATGATAATGAGCTGGAAAAACTTTTGACTGAAAAAAACGATCACTTGAGAGAGTAACAATAAAGCGAAAGTTTTTCGATAACAATTAAATTGATTGTTACCTGTTGATCATCTTTTTGATCTGTGCTTGAAATCATTAACATTACAGGTAAAGTTGTTTCTCTTTCGTTTGATTCATCAGTCAAATGAGAGAAATGATTCAATCAAATGGGAATTTCTTAGGTTTCAATTAATGAATTGTTCATGATCTTCATGGTGAAATCATTGGCAGTATATAATTAATAATGAAATGATCATTTCGGCGATCGCACCATCGTAATACTTACTGGATTCAAAGGCTCGTTTCAATCGTTGAATGTCCGAAGATAAACCGGATACTCGATATATTCCGACCTCTTTGACCCCTCGCCTTTCAACTTCCTTTACACAGCCAACGATTAAAAATGGAATTGTGCTTTTTTCTTTCCTGTGGAAATCAAATAGATTGCAATTTGTTAATTAGCTGTAGAGTTAATCATAAGTTTCCAGAGTCTTTTCTGAAGTTTCGAGTTTGAATGTAAACATTTGTACTCGGTGATCGGCTATTGTTATAACTTTTTAATGAATAAATCGTCACTAATTAATGTGAGATTAATGATCATCAGGATTGTTACAGATCGTACTTGTAGTTTATTAATACATATATGTAAAACTTGATCAACAAGTCTTTAGATTGCAAGGTAAATATTCATGAAGTGATTGAATTGATCATTAGACTTAATTTTGTGATGTAATAATTGAAATAATAATAAAGGCGTTGTCATCATGGTGAATAGTTACCATGGTTAATGATAACTCACAGTAACTTGGTGAAAATAATAGTTTATTGTTGATTTTTGTCATTTCAATTCTAGGAATGAGCAATTATTATTATCACCAACTCAATGATAGTAAATCTATGCAAATTTCTTGATTAATGAACTAAATTATTGAAGATAAGACAATCAAGTCATATACAACATCCAAGAATAATTTTTAATCCAGTTGAGACAAACAAAATTAATTACTTGAATTAATTTGATGAAAAGATTTTGCATAACTTATTTGATTGTGGTTACAATCAACAGATCAACAATTATCAATCATACTGGTGTAACAAGATGAGTAATTGCCATCAATTTAATCTAAATTGTCAGACTGAAATTGGATTTGATTTTCATGATCACAATAATAATAATCAAGGAAATCAGATCAATTTAAAATTACGAAGGTTAATCAAAAAATACACAATCAAGTCAACAAACTAAAAACATGATACAAATTAAGACAAGTGATGAAGTTGTGAGCAAATATTGATAAAAACCTTGGCTTAATTGTGATTAAGATCACAGTAGATTAAGAAGATCCACATTGCTAATTATAGTAATTAAGTTGATTGATAATATAAAATACTCAAAAATTGTAATCTTTATAATAAGAATAGAAAAATCCACCAAAGTGATTTGATAAAATGACAATTAAATATCAGAAATCAAACACAATCAAAAAACTAAACGACGAAGGAGCAAAAGCTTTACTCATATTCCTTGATTCTAATTAAATCTCATACAGATCATCATTCACTAGGATGATGATGATTGTTTCATATTTATGGTGACAAAGAGCATTTCGATAAAATAACATTAGTGAGATTATAATATCGAGGGAGGCAGTAAGAGAGATAGAGAAGGAAGATAAGAAAAGTGAGCAAAACTAAAGTGAATAGAGGGAGTCACAAGGTAGATTTGTGAGTGAGTAAAGTGAGTATTATGGACTAACAGGAAAGTTATCAGAAAATATGAAATGTATAACTATTGATGATGGTTTCAAATCGTGATAATTAGATGTTGTTACATTGATGATCGGATCAGAAGAAAGATTAAAATTGATTTTCGTTGTTAATTTAACACCAATTTACTAATTAACTATTGTGAACACGATCAACAACAAACTGATAACCAACGATAATCTTGAAATTGTGTTTTTTCAATTTAATCAACTTGTAGAAATAATTTAAATCATAATCTATTATAATTCCTGATTCCATCCTGATCTTCATCTTCATCACCTTCCTCTGTCTAAATCAATACTCCCCCAAAACCATTACCCTTTTTTACAGATTTTCATATATTCAATAAGTGATTAGTATTTTCACCAATCAAATGATTGTGAAACGATAATCAGCCTACATTGATTAAAGTGTCTCCGAACCAATTAACTTATTATTGTTGTTTGCATTGTAGTTAATGATTTAAAAGTTGCGACTCAAGTGGTAACATTGACAATTATCAGTATTGGAATTGGGTAAAAGCAAAACAATTTATCAACATTAAAAGTTAATTGTGTCTATTGTTTCAGTTTTCAGCAAAATAAATCAATTGGAAATGGATTTAACTCATAGACCAGCTAAATTATGTATATTATCAAAATGGTCACCACATTTTGAAGGTTACGGATTCGATTTGATGACCAAAAAGTCGGGTGAAGGTCATTACATTTCAATGGTACATGAAGGCGGACCTGCTGAGGCCACTCATTTGGAAGCCGGTGATTGGTTAGTTGAAGTTAACGGTGTAAATGTTGAAAAGTTTACTCATGCTGAAGTGATTAAGTTAATCAAGGGATCAGAGAATGGATCAGTTCAACTTTTGTTAGCACCAAATGAAACAGATAAATGGAGGAAACGAAATCAAGTGCCAATCACTAGTTCCCATCCCGATTTAGTTCACTACATTACTCCACCTTATCAAGGTAAATTGCGATCATTCATTAACGGTGCTCTCGATCGATTGACTATTGGTAAACGAAATGAATCTGATGATGAACCAAGTGTTTACCATCGATACTCATTACCTATTCCTTCAGGAATGTCTGATCATGATATTGTTGATTGGGCACCATCAGGTAGATCACCCAATGGACGGACAAATTCAATCACCATGAGAAGATCAACTAATGATGATGAACAATTGGCTGGTTCATTAGATGAACAAAGACAAAAGGAAATAGCTGATTGGAGAGATAAATCATTGGAAATGTTGATGGCAAGTCGTGTAGATGAGGAGCAAGAAGATGAAGACGAAGATTCCAATGTTCAAGATGAGAATGAAATTTCAATATTTTCTCATCATCAGGACGAATCCACTTACAAAAGAAGTGAAAATGGTAACAATAGTAGACCCATTTCGGGTTATCAGGAAAAAGTTTTAGTCGATATTCACTTGACTGATAATAATTGCAACAATAACAGTGATACGAGCAACGACAATAATAACAATACAAACAACAATAACAATGGACACAAAGATGATAATAATCACATAACAACCATCACTCTGTTGGATGGTGAATTTTTTGCTCGATTTTGCAAGATTTCAAAGTCTTCTGAAAGATCGGATTATGGTTTCAAAATGGATTCATTGCCGTCGGGTGGTGGTCATTTTCTAAGATCAATTGAACCAACTGGTCCCGCTGGTGTGAGTGGTATTCAACAAGATGATAGACTCATTGAAGTCAATAATGTAAATGTTGAATACACCGATCATGATACTGTAGTTACCATGATTCGTAAATCACCCGATTGTGAAGTTACTCTATTAGTTGTTGATGATAAAGCATATAAATGGTTTAAATCTCGAAATATCAGAATTCACCATGGAACAGGTGGATCATTGATTCGTTATTGTGATCATCGTGGATTAAGAGAGCCAGGATATAATTTCGAGAGACCAGTGTCAATGGTTGAGGAAAATAGAAGAAGCCAATTGTACAGAAGAGGATTATCTTCTCAGTCAGCGATTGGAGATGATCGATCAGCTGGAAACTCAAGTGATGTTGATATTGAATCTGATGCTAAGAATGAGGACAAACATCTTCCAATAGAATTAAGAAATCACCATAGTGTTGATGCAAATAATAAGTCTGATGATGAATCGATTGGGCGTGATGATCAAGTGACAACCAGACAATCAATAGAAACAACAGTTACAACGTCAACAGACACAAGAGGATCAAGTGGATTAGATCAACAGCAAAAACAACAAGAATCTCGATCATCACAAATTAGTGATTGGTCTTATGGATCATTGAGTGATGTGGATAGATTTAATCGAGGAAAAACAATAATTAAGGTTCCTGATGATGCACCAAGACCAAGATTATGTTCAATAACGAAAGATCCTGAGGGTATATTTGGATTTACTTTGAATACTTATGAAAAGGGACGAATCAAGTTAATCGCCGATATTGATCAAGGAAGTTCAGCTGAGGCCGCTGGTCTACTTCAATGGGATCGAGTGATTGAAGTTAATGGTGTTAATATCAATATTGAGAATCATGCTCAGGTAACTGGTAGAATTGAAGCTTCGGGAAATCGTTTGCATCTCTTGGTTCTTCCTGAAGCGCAATACGGATGGTATGAGCGCGCTGGACTAGTGCCGAGATCTAATCAGTCCAATGTTATTTATCTTTCAAATACTGATGTTACTAGAGACTCAATAACAATCGCTCGATCACTTGAACATTCAGTGCCATTAATATATAACAGAAAATCGAAGACAAATAGTAAACAAAATTCACCTAAAAAATCATCTTCATCTCCCACAACAATCACAACAACAACAACTCCCTCCACGACAATGACAACATCAACACCAGAATCTACAAGCAATAATGAAATTAAAGGCTCTTCAAGTATAACTACTGATAATAATAATGATAAAACCGATAATTATGATGATAGCGAGTCACAATTAACTATGGAAATGATAAAAATGAGGAAAGAGGATCAAATTAAAAAACCTTTTCAATCAAATGTCAACAGTTACAAAGTCAATGAAGACAATGATGGTAATGAAAGTAATGGCAATTCAACGATCAGCCCTACAATTCAATATCATACAATTGACGAGGAAACTACGGAAGCAATTTACGATCATCGAGAGACCCATGAAGTAGCAACACTTCCCTTGAGAAAACCAAAGAAGAAAAGTCTAACGAAAAGGATATTCAGAGGATCCATTTTTTCAAGTAAAAAGGATAAACTTTATACTGGCAGTGGATCGATTTCAAATCTATCGGTTAAAAGTGACATTGTCATGAGAGGATCGAGTTCCGTGAGTGACCTCACCTTGGATGCTAAAAGCAGAACCTTAAAACGGTCGGTAACGCAATTAAATAATCGATTGGATGAAGATGAAATTAACGAGTATCAACTGCCGCAAGATATTGACCAAGATCGCGAAAATAATGTGGTCACTGTTATGGTGAAAAGAAATGTTCAACCAATCACTGCCTGGTCAACATCGAACAACAATAATAACAATCATAAGATTGTCAGTGAAATTCATGATAATAACAATGGATTCAGTGGTCATCAGGATCATTTACTGACCAAAGGAGAGGGAGATGATATTGTAGATCAACAAGATGAAAGCCAATTGCTGGAAAGGTTAAAAAGTTTGACCCTACGCGATGTTAGAAAAACAACTCGAGCCGAAAGTAAAATTCAGGCCTATCAACGGATGTCGTCGTTGAATTTCAGCCAACGAATTAAGCACTTTGAAGATCTTTAGAAACCAATTATATGCAATACAATTAAAATTATCTAATTATTATAACGATTATCATTCAAATTTACTTCTCACCTAATCAAATCATCCACATTTCCTGTAATCATCTCATTATATTCAAATATCATGTTGATCAAATTAAACAGCCATAAAGATTATTGCAATGATTAAAACAATTGAATTTGGTATCAACAGGATTGCGATTCTAATTAAATTAACTACACACAGAGTGTAAAAATCATCTTGTTTGATCAATCAGTCTTAAGGAAAGTGAAAAATATTATTTAGTAAAAGAAGACAATCAAATGTTTAATTACAAATGATTTGATATCATGTGGTTTATTGGATTAATGTGATTTGTTTTGAAAAAAAAGACTAATCAACCTGGATTACGGATGCAATTGATTTTTCATCAATAAATTAACTACTGGACAAATTAGATAAATGCTGGAAAGGAGGAAAATTAGACCACAATCAACACAAATTGTGTAAATTTAATGGTAATGATAAACATTAACTGTCAATTGATCAGAGTTATCTACTGTTAGGTGAGATCACTGATTATCTAGGAAATATATTAAAACAACATGATAATAAATTATAATTATTATCATTAATTGTAACTAACAACCGCTGAGTGGCATAAATATTTAACATGGTTAATAATTATTATCAATAACAATCAACTAATAGACAGAGATTTGAGTTGATTGTAAACATATGAGATGATTTTCAATCTGATTGCTAAACTAAACAAGACCAAAAATAGTAAACAATGCACTAATTAAATTCAAATACGAAAAAAATTATAGTTAATCCAAACAATAAACATTCCTAGTAAAGTAACAATTAGTTGATTGTGAGCTAATTAAATCGTGCCCGTGATTGATCAGAATGCGAGATATTAAAACAAATTAAAGTTACACCAACTTTTTGATTATTGTTTTATCATAATTGAAATTTAATATTAGATAAATTTTATGCTATTATTAAAACTAAATCAATTTAAATCATTTATGGTTTGATTTGATAAACGCTTTAATTGTGTAGTTGTGAGGATGATGATCGATCTTGATTAATATTTGATTGCTCAAAAATCAAAGAGAAAAATCAAAAAAATTAGATCAATAGCCTTAACTAAATCATGATATCGATAAATGTTAATCATAATTGAGAATGAATCACAATTCTGATTGTTTCCAAGTCAACGATTGAGTAGTAACACAATTAAAACGAAGTAACTAATTAGGTGGAGATGAAACTAAGACCAAATATAATCCATTGGATGAGATAAACTAATTAAATGATTAAATAAAAAGGAAAGGATAAATAACATTAATGGATAAAGTATAGATAACAATTAATCATAATCTTTCATCTCAATCAATTAACAGAATCAATCTTGATTTGATCCAAGATTCAATTTCCGGCTCATTAGTAAAATGAATTTAGATCAATTACTTATCGTTTAGTTCATTAGTACAAAAAGGTCTGATTATTGATAGAAATTGAACTTTCCATGTAATTTGTTAATCAATGGACTCAATTAAGAATCAATATAAAAATTAAGAAATCTAGTTGTATTTCTATGTGAATATAAATTTTTCCAAGAAAATCAATTCACAATATGACGGAATTGGAATATTGAAATTGGTCAATCAATATATTTCCCATTGTCTCTATGCATTTGTAATGTCATTTAGACGATAACTTTGCAAAAGACAAATGATCACAGAAAACCAAGAGATAGAGTAGCTTAAACACGAGTTAATTGTGATATTTGATACGAAACAATTTGCTCAACAATTAACTCAGGCTATTCATCTTCATAACAGGAAATAAATTAAAATAATCAACGAACAGAAATATTAATTTTGAACATGAAGACAGACTATTGTTTAAAAGAAATAAGAACAGAAAACAACAATGACGATTATCTCATCAGCTCGAACAACTCGAATAGTCTATGAAAACGAACGCAAATTTCACACAAAAAGAAAAGTCATTTGAACGATTGAGATGAAATGAGCATATTAATTGTATCGATAGTTGAAAAAGTTTCCATGAAAAGATTATCTCAATCTGATAATCTCCACATTCATGGTTCAGTGAAAAGTAAGGATTTCAAATCGTTATCAATTCTTGTTATGAGAAGATGTTACATTTTCTCATCGAGTTAAATGTTAAAGAAATCGTTTTTTCCCTTCGAACGAGATAATGGAAGAAATTAAGAGATAATTCCAGTAACTTTGAAGGTTAACTCAATTAACTGGAGTTTCATCTGATTATTCAGAAGAGATTAACTTACTTTGTTACTTGGCTTATGGGTACACCAAATGCTCCGTAAACTTTACCGGCAGGGAATCTCATGGTGCTCACTTCTGAGGAGATGAACTTTAAGTTTATGGACAATTTACACTGAAATGAGAAAATCGAATACATTAAATTCTGGAATTTTTCGTTTTTAAGACTAAACTGTGAGAATAGTTGAATGAAGATGAAAGAAAATGTAATCATGCTTTTCTAATGATATTCGTATATGATATTGATTGGCTGAATTAAGCTGTGAAACTAAGTGTTACTGCAAATTGCAACTAAATTGAAGATCAAAATGATTTCTTTTCTTCATTTTCTGCTTTTAAGAGAATATCATAAAAGAAATGATGATCTAATTGGATTTTAACTGATCTGTTGATCTTCACTCAAGTAAAAATCATGAAAGTGGTTCCATACATCAGAAAATATTAATTCCTTGGTAATGTATCTATCTTTCAACCAAGATCTGCCCAATTCAAGGGTCACTTTTCCTCTAAGTAAGGGCTTTGTTTGGCTTGGAATTTCTTCATATAGAATACAGCGAAGTGTCGATGAGCCATCAAGATCGAGAGTAAAATCCTGATTGAAATGTAATTCATGAGAACCTCTGAGAACTTTGGTATTTGCTTTTTGGAAGAAGTGCCCATAATTGTCGATCTCAATGATAATGAACAATTCTGTAGAACAAAAATAGAGATAAAACCAGTAATTATTAAAGAAAGAATTTCATGAATTTAGTAATAATCAATTAAAATTTATCAGCATCGAAAAAAAGATGATAAGACAATCAACTTGATAAAGGCATGAACTAAATTAAAATAAAACTATCAGGACTAGCAAATTGGTTTCTGATTGATGATAACTGATATTGCACAAAATGATTAATAAAAAATCCATGAAGACTAAATTTTCGTAAGATGCTTCCTAATATCGAACCTGTTGTCTGAAGGATTCCTTGCAGAATTCCGATCGTCAGATAAAGATCACCATGAAGTAGATCTTCATCTTTACTTGAACGCATCAAGAACGAGCCTAGGCTTGGATTTAGTCCCTGAAAAGAGAAAAAAACAAGAGCATTAGTATTGATTAAGCTGAGAAACGATTAAGCGATTATACTTTGCGACATGTTTCAATCCAAGCTTGAAGCTCACTAAAGTTAACTGTATCATGAGATGATCCGGCTAGAAAGAGATAAGATAAATAAAAGAAAAAAAATTAGATGAATTTAAGTAAACATAAGAAAAGAAGAGCTGACCGGAAGATGAGGGACTCAACATCATGAATCGAAAAATGTAAACAAAAATGTCTCATGTAACAGTTTATTTGATTAATATTTGTTGATTAGATTAAGACTCGTCCAAATGATGTTATCCTGATCATTATCACCTTGATTACAACTCTTTCTACAACAAATTTGATAGAAAATGGGCTTTACGGATCACGAAGAGAAGTTTAACCTTTCATTCAATTAAAGTTAATCACAATCATTTTCTTTGATTAGCTCTTCTTTTTTTTCTGTATCTCTAATAGCCAAACTTTCGGTTGACCGAATCAAGATACAAACCTGATTGTTGTAAAACTCTTATCGACTCTATCCATTGAGTTCGCTCGAACTCCGATGATAAGTAAAAAGTATAATTCTTTCCACTTTTATGGGTAATCAAAAATGGAAGCTGAGGTAATATTAAGACCAATTGTCCTTCCTGAATTGATCCGATCAAATAATAAGAATAGAAAGAGACAAATTAATTGGAGTAATTGGTTGATCACTTGAAAAATAAAGTCAATCAAAAGAAACTTACGTGTTCAGCTTGTTTCTTTTTCAGTTTCTCCAATAGTTTACTGTTGTTTCTACTTTTCTGTATATGAGAAAAACAAAAGATAAACAGATAAAATTCATGAGATATTATCTTAGAATAATCTTTGTTGGTCATCGAAGGTTAGGGAGAGAGAGAGAGCGATGAAAGATTCATCATTTTTCATCATTTATCATCTTAAAAAGATTTATGTTATTGGGTAAAAGTGAAAACAAAAGCTTGAGTGACTGTAGATAAGCCAAAATTTTGGGAGATATATCATAATCTATGAGGAGGCGGTTACGTGCACGAGAATATTTTGATTCAATGATCAATTAACTAAATAGTCATCATTGTTTGTAGGCTGAAAGAAACCTCTCCTTATCATGGAAGCGATTTAAGGTATTGCTCTGGTCAGAAAATTAACCAACCAAAAAGATGCTCTTTAAACGAGAATCAAATTAAATGATAAATGAAAAGCGTAGAATTAAATTCCCTTGATAGCTTTTAGTTTTTCCAATAATGAAGATAATCAGATCAGAAGGAGAATCGAGTTTGGAATAGTTCAATTAAGATTAATTTGGAATCGACAACCATAGAAGAGCTAATCCATTGAGCTAATTGTATTTTCGTTAATCAATATGATGATTACCTCTTTAATGATAGCATCACGAATACTGCTAACTTTGGATCGTAAATTTCTTATCTCGGCACTAAGTTCTTTCTCTTTAATTCCAATTGTGTTTATATCTGAAAGATTAAAGAGAGAAACAATTAAAAATTATTTGTCGACAAAGCAGCTAATTAATAAATTTTACAATTAAAACAAAGACGAACCTTCAGCATCCGGAAGTGTAATATCACAAAGAAGTGCGTACCATTTAACATCGAAGGTGAATTTTTGTCTAGAGGAATGTAAGAGAAATTTATTTTAGATTAATGATGATGAGGATGAAATTAGTTGGCAAAGTAACTCTTCATTTAATTATTAAGTTAATTGTCTAATTGTCTTAATGTTCCCATAATTACCTTGTGGATGGTTTGTACTTAGCGCATACAATTGTATCATTAAATAGGAATAAATGACGAAGTTTCCTTCTGCCTTCAGGCGCTTCGATAATGAAACTTTCCTTGACCAGACGACGTTGAGTTTTATCTTGAATCTGCATTGACAATTATAATTGATTGAATTAATGAATGAATGGATGAAAAATGAAAAAATGATTAATTGAAAAGTGTGAAAATGAGACCATTGATTACCATGGAAAATCAATAGTAAATAATTGACAAATAGTTAAAGATAATGTTTACAATGATATTTACCGGAAACATTTGCTCAGTTGCAGCAATATTAAGCTCATTTAGGAAACATTGAGTCATTTTCAATGCTGTCTTCAGGGATTTGTATTCTTGGCTATTCTCTGGTGTATATTTCAAAAGATCATGAAGTATTAGTGCATTTTTTTGAACTCGCGCCACAGGTTTGTGAAGAAGTTCTAAGGGAAAAGATGAAGATAAGAAAGTGAGTCTGGTTAAGTACAGGAAGAAATCAAGGATTCATCAGGTTTACCTTCAAGAGTTGTTGATTGACCTTTCATTGAACTGAGTTTTATTGCCTATAAGAAGCAAGAGAAAAGGAATAAAATTAAAAGAGAGAGAGAAAATCACCAAAAGAAAGTTGGAAAGAAGAACATAAAAAGAAGAAAAATTGAGTAAAATGAATAAAGCGAACGAGATAATAGAGAATTTTGTCTAGACTGTTGATTTACCCGAGTAATTTCGGCGAATTGATTATTAGCTGATGTACATCGTTGAACTGTTTCCAAAGCCATCGAATAGTTTTTCAGGTACGCGCTATACGCTCCTAATCGACTAGCCAGTACTTTGAAAAGATCACCAAGTGTGGGTAAATTTGAGCTCAGGGAAAGTGATTGTTGAGATTGCAGTGATTGTTGTCCTTGTTGTAATTGTTGTTTCAATTGAGAAGCTAATTTTTTAACACCGTCTAGAAAATTACTGTGAATTGTATATAAATCATTGATCTTATGAAATATTGCGTCCAAATCGTTTGAAGAAAGAAGTGGATGAGCACTTTCTGTCGTCGATTTAAGTGCTTTTTTATACTGTAACAACAATTGAAGAGATTTAAATTGATTAGAACAACAACAAATTATGAGTATCAGGGTGATTACTAATCACCCTGATAATGTTTTTCTTTACCTGAATTAATGTATTGAGACAATCAACATAAACTGTCTCACTATCAACTATACTGAATAGAATGCATTTATACATAGAAGATCGTTCAGCTTCAGCTTTGATTTCCTCTTCGTCATAATCCAAACTATCCTGTTGGCCGCTCTAATTAATCGTGATAATAAATGCAAATAGAAAATGAATAAAGATTAAAGGATCGATTGTGTTAACATTAACAAACAGAAACTGGTTGAATAGATAAACAATATGAGAGAAAAAAAAGATAAACAAATCAAAATTGTTTCCAAAAAGTGAATTACCTCTGATTCTTGTGAATCCAATGTATTGTTATGCTCTGTATCACTGATACCGTAATAGTTTTCTAAACAAGAAAATGAAACCGTAAAAGAGAAAAAAAGTATAAGTCATTTACTTTTGTCATTTATCATTAGCTGATTGTTTGTTGTAGCGTAAAAAAAGAGACAAAACTTATTGGCATGAATGAGATGCGATAAAATTGATCCCAAACCAGAAAAAGAAAGAAAAATATTTACCTGGTTCGCTGTCGGTTGTTGTTGGTTCAAACACTTCATCGTAAGTTGTTTGACTGGATCTCATGGTCGAGGTTCTGTCCACTTCTAGAGCACTAATGGAACCACCGACACTACTGCTCATTCCACTAACACCAACAATTGGTACACTTGGGAGAGAATCGTCGATATCAAGATCATGATCACTGGACATTGAGTGTGACATTTGAGTTTCATTGTCATCTGAATCATTCTTAGATGAAGTTTCCTCTCTTCTCAAGAAATAATCAATATTCACATAATTTGCAAATGAATTAACTTCACCGTAAGATTTTAGGTTATTCAAGTTGGTCATGGATGAATCTCGACCTAAATGGTAGCCTGGGCGAGTTGGACATTCGGCTGTTTCATAATCATCATCATTTGAATGATTATCATCAATCGAAGCTTCATCAGGAGCAACAGTATCATAAATCGCTTCTTCGTCTTCATCATCATCTATCTCTTCAACTCTTTCTTTTTCTTCCTCTCCTGGTCCCTCATCATGTTCGAAATTATCTTCAGGTTTTCCATCAGACTTTGGCGGCTCATCATAAAGATCTTCATCAACTTCTTGATGATGATGAGCAAAGATCATTGATTTAATTCTATGATTTTCTCCATTAAAACCGTTTTCATCTTCATCTTCATCTTCCTCTTCTTCAGGCTCTTCATCTTCCGTTTCACCAACACCATCGTCATCGGTATTGTCGACACTCTGCTTGTCATCATAATTATCACCAACGGTTATATTCCTTGTTACCATATGATCATTGCTCTCACGAGAGCTAATAACACCACTGAACACTTCACTTTTAGCTCCTGAATCAGAGACACTTCCACTATCATGATGCTCTAATGAATCATTGCTTGTTCCAAGAGAGGAAAGATTCTCTTCTCTACTTCCTCTGTTGGCTTTATCACTTATATGGACGATTTGGCCTGGTTTGGAAATTATACATTGATTATGATGATATTCACTAATATTGCCACTGTTGACGTTATTCGAGGTAATCGAGTTGTTAGTCGTTCCAAAGAATCCCCTAGAATACGTCGCTGTTGGGCTTTGATTTTGACTGGAACGACCGACACGATTGAGGGAATCACGACTTGAGAATGGGAAACTTCGGACACTAATATTATCAGAAAGTGGTTCACTTATTTTGTCACTTGAAGAAACTCTCATGTCATTCATACTTTCAATGAGAGAGGGCTTGTTAATGGAGCCATAAGAGTCCGTGGAGCGACTTTGATGTTGTAACTTATGAGCTCTTTCAATTATTCCTGATCTACCAGGTTCTTGTCTCAACTCAACTCCACTACCAGGTAATGGTAAAGGTGCTCTTGTGATGATGTCGATGTGCCAGTAGGTAAATTTGAGTTAAATCCACTTTGGAATGGATATCCCGGTAAAGCATTTCGGTTAATTTTAGGCTTCTTTGGCGGAGTTGGAGGCCTTTTCTTTCGCAATACTTTACTTTCGTCTGTTGTTGTAGAATCATTATTATTGTTTAGAGAAGCATTATTATTATTGCTAGAAGACATCTCACAAATTTCCTCCCGTATTACTTGCTCTTCATTCATCGATGACCCGGAAACACTAGTGATAGTAGATGTAGTACCAAGCTGAAACATAAAAGAAAGAGAAAACAAACAATCAGTATACGGGTTTACAATCAACTCTCACCAAAATGAGATCGCAAAAAAAATGATGATCAAGTTAACATATAAAAGTTAAAATTGATTGGGTTATTAAAGCCGATTGATCCAAATTAAGGAAGACAATCAGGCAAACCAACAAGATACTCACCAAACCTGAAGCGTCCGGTTTAGAGATATTAACACTGAGAACCAGAGTACTGGGCTTAAAAGTTTCGGTTAACCTTTTAATTACTTGCAGAATTGTTTCCACTTGCGGTGTCAAAAGCTTTATTTCCTCTTCTCTCACTGTCCATCTCTTTATTATTCCTTGAAGAACCCAACACCAAGTTTTGGTTTTAATACCCAATTTAACCAATTGATCAACTGATTTTCCACTGTCAATGTTTGATGCGATCAACACTGAATCTGTGTACAATCTGCTGATATCAGTAAACTCCAACTGATCACTAGTTGTTGTGTTATTGATTAACTCTTTAATCACCTCACTAATCAATGGCATCTTAATGACTACACCCTTTGTTTGGTGGTTTCACTTTGATTTCCCCTGTTTGTTATTTTCACATAAATTCAATCAAAAATATAACGAGCATGAGACAGAATCACGATTAAAAATACATTGTTTCAATACTGATTAACTTTCATTACACTGATTGAGATACTATAAAAACAAAAGCAAAAAATTATCACAATTTCATTTGTTGTTGCCTTTTACAGACAGAAGAACACATAATAAATTTCCAAACAGAATCTACTCTAAGCGAAATCGATTTCGAATTAGAAAAAAAATCGATTAGTTTCAAATCGATTAAAATTAAAATCATAACAAATCATTAATCTTATTTTCTTATTCCATTGATTATTTGACAATCGTGAAAAGATATTAATAGTTTTCTTTTCTTATTAAAAGTAAAAAACAAATATTGATTTGGCTTTTTTTATACATTAATTTTTGTCACATTTATTCAGAAAAATGACTTTGCTATTATCGTCACGCCACTTAAGTTGAATCAGAAATTCGATATTGCATCGTCTAAATTGTGATCGTTTTAAGTGAACTTGTCTTAATTACACAGAGAGAATTTTTCAATTTAACAAATTAGCTTATTGGCTCTTTGATCTCTTCGTTTGCGAGTTTAATTTAGTTTTTCAATGCAAAATGTTCGTGATATTGGGAACGAAACAACTGAAAACAAGATAAAAGATGGAGGAAGAGGTAAAAGTATTTTCAAAGCCGAACACGAATCAAATAAAATCAATCTGAATTCGATAAAATTCGAGACTAACCTAACATTTCTTTTCCTTTGATGGTAAAGCCAAACTTTGATTCAAATCAGGTCATCGTTTGACGAGCGTAACGAACTTTAAAGTGACCCGAAGACGCGATTCAAGAGCCATAAAAGCGTAAGTAGAAAATTTGGATTTTGGCTTCTTTGTTTTCTATTTCATTTCTCTTTTAACTTCGAGTCTTGATTTTTTTTCTTATTTTTTTAAGATACAATGAAAAGTTCGAACTAGTTCCGTTTAAGGCGGTAAAGAATCAAAAAAATATGGGCCTACTGGACCATCAGATTTCGTTCGAAGCCTGTAAAACAAAAGGGAACATCAGACTGATCACTTCAGGGGAATATGGATCATCTTCTCTTGGAACTTATTCAATGATTGATTGGAGTCATTTGGATGATCGATTAATTGAAAATACGTTTGAATTTAATTTTAAAATGATTTGATGATAATCTGTGAGTTAATTGGAATCAATTAAAAGCAAAACAAAAGCTTCCACTTTTCACTGTGAATTAATGTTAAATCATTTGAAGAAGACAAAAAATATAAATCATTATGATTTAAATGAGATCATCACTTGAATGAGCTCAGCCAATAAAGACAATTATTTATAAATCAAATAATTATGATGATAATATAATTTCATCAATAAAATTAGGTCTATGGAGGTGATTAATTGGTGGATAGAAAAGAAAACGTGAAGAAAAATTAATTATGTTGATAATTTTGTCGATAACCAATAAAATTTATAGAACATCATCTTGAGAGTGTTTAGTTAATTGAATAGTTTCGTAATCAGATGACGAATTGTGCTTGTCTTTTCGATTTCGAGATCGAACTCGAACTTCTTCCGGTTCGTCGTCTTCGTCGTCCATAGCACAACATTCAGCTGTGTTCTTGTTTTCGACTAACTTTGAGTATTTGTATTCCAATTTACGATTCATTTTCCAAAAGTGGAAAACCAATGAAACCAGAATTATGCCGATCACGGTGATTACCATGATCGCCATTTTCAATGATTTAGGAATCATTGAGCAGGTTCGATGCTTAATCAGGTCGTTTCCAGTTGGTGTTAAAATGCACCCACGAGGGTTAATGTAATGTACCTCTTGATGACCATCAACACATTCGGTGACCACAGTATCGTAATCATCGTCTTTACATAGTCGACAAGCAGCCGAAGTACGAGTTTTGACCATAAAATGAAAGTTACACCCGTCGCAAGTACCATCAGGACAAGATCGAGGGGACATTAAGATTGATTCACTTTCCAGGTTTGGTTCACATCGAAGTGTAACTACAGTTGATCGGCCTTTGGTACACGTTGACGTTGTCATTCGAGTGACCAAATAAATGTGAATGTCACTTCGAGTGTTGTTAAACTCTGGATGGACCGAAATAAAGTCATGGGTCGTCTCATGTGTCACTGCGATAATTTCATCACCTAAAAGAACAAAATATCGAATTAAATGATTGCTCTCTTTCATTAATAGATCAAAAGTTTCGATAAAATTAATAATTACCCAATGGAACTGATTGAGTTGATAGATTATGACTCGGAGAAATGGTTGACCTACAAACTCGAGAACGAACTACAATGTTTTTGATATCGAAATCGTCTGACTGAGCGATGTTGTTAATACAAGTCGCTTTTTCGAGGCCACAAATGCTGATATTGAACAAGTGAAAGTAACCAGCACCTTCACCAGAAAATAAAGTGGCTCCTTTCATGGTTAAAGTCGAGTTGATTGTTGATAAGTTAAAAACTTCCGAACCAAGTGTAAGGTTACAATTAATGTAACAAAAGGATCGATCATCTGAAGAGACCAGTCCAGGGCCACAAGGACACATGATTGGTCCATTCCAACGGGAAATTGAAGTGACTTGTTGATAATCGTATTTTCTGGACATTGGACACATTTTGATTCACCTGAATCATTTCGCTCACTTGTTTCACTCTTACTAATTTTATTAGATTTTACTGTTGATTGTCTATGATATTTACCTGTGGTCGATAATAATGTGCGTTTATCTCTATCAAGTGAAGATTTTTGAACATTTCTATCTTCGACTAATTCATTGGTAGCATTGATATAATAACCCACTGGACAAGGCATACAATCTGTTTGAACATCTAATGGACATGGTTTACATTCAATCGCTCCAGAAAATAGTAAATTAGTTAATGTTATTTGATAAATTCGAACATGACTTCCCGTTGATTCACGAGAGAAAACCCATTTGAGCGAAAATGTGACATTCTCATTCAAGGTCAAAGTGTGTTGTTGAATTCCAGTGGTGTTCGAGTCCCATTGTTTGATCACGAACCTTTGGTCATCGATTATATCCCTGATACATAATAAAGCGAATGCACAGTCATCTCCTTCTTTGCAGAACATTTGGAATCGAAAAGTTAGTCTACCTCCTTCCGAAGAGCGGAAACCAACTGAATTTAACGATAAAACTAAAAGGGAAGACGAAGAAGCCGTTGTTGAAGATCTAATGTAACTCGGTGTTCCAGGAATGAATTTGAATGCTGGTTCTTCATCGGCGCATTCTTGTTCATTGATATTCTTGGGTATACACATGTAGTCAAGACTAAGTGGCCCCGCTTCGGACAAGCCTAACGGATGCTTCCAAACATTCAGAACGAATGAGTAAATCGGTAAAGTCGTATAAGGACAAGGTTCACAACGAGCCATTGTCCCGTTATTGTAATGATTTTCGGCACAAGGAGTGCAGGTCCCGTTTATCAATTCCATTCCTGGACTGCATTCAATCTGTTCAATTGCTTCTCTCAAAGGATCACAGTCCTCTTTTCGAGTTTCTGGAAGACGCATTGCCGCTTCTGAGCAAATTTTTGGTTCGATCCAATGATATTCATTAAGACGTTTTCTTGTCCTTAGATCACATGAACTCACGGTTTCGAAATAATCATGAGCGGTGCAGCCTGGTCTTGGGAGACATTTTGATGATCCTACGAAAGCAAATTCTGATTTTGTGTCACACGATTTACATTTACTTGAACCATATTGATCGGTATAAGTATCCTTAGGACAGAATGAACAATGGGCTGAGGCGGTTTCATCATTGAAAGTTCCTGGTTCACATGGAGAGCATTCTGATGTATAAGAAACGCCGTAAACTTCAATCGACCTAATCTTTACCATTCCAAGCTCATTAGTTAAAACTGATTGTCCATCAATGATTGACCCTTTCATCGAACGCGGCCCAGTGCGTTTATGTTTTTGCGAATCCAAATCATTAGAACGTTTTTGAAAAAACATGCTAGGTCCAAATCGACTTTGTCCTGTCCCATAAAATATAGTTCGCCAATGGAAAGAGTACGAACCAGGTTCGATTAGATCCAATGAAATCGTTTTCCATTTTGATTTGTCTTTAGTTGCACTGAATTCACGGCCATTTTTATCACTCCATCGATAGTAATTATCACGAGGATCCTTCAAATTGTAATGTTGAAATGTAAAGAAAATATATAAATTGGGATCTTCCGGTTCGATAAACTGATATTTGAACCTTATCTTTCCCGTCTTCACAATGTTCACCGAATAGGTCAACACCGAAGAGCACGTTGTATAAGGTGAATCGGGTTTAGTCTCGATGACACCATTATTCAAATGCCAACCTTTGGACAAAGAAAAGAAATTCGTATGTTAAGAAAATCGAACAAGGAAAAAGTCGATTAATCAAAGAAATCTAATGATTGCATGTAAATCTAACATTTGATGGATTCCATTGAATTGACCATCGACCATACACTCAAATAGTCTTGAAGAAATCAATATCTTGAATTGAGGAAATGATAGACAATCAGTAAATCAATTTGATTAATCACCAATCATCAAAGTGTTAACCATAGTTATAATCTTCAGTCTATTTACCTGTACAATTTTTCAACTCTTTGGATGTTGATATTGTAAAACCAGAATTATTTAAAGTTGCTTGGTTAAAGGAAGTGAATTTGATACCACCACCTAATTAAGAAACGAAAAATTCAATCTAATTAATTTCTATTGATTAGATGAGCCATATCAATATAATTCTTACCTAATGAATAGTAACCAGCTTTACATGGTTCACATGAAAGGCTTGTAGAGTTGAAAAAGGTTCCATGTCCACATGAAGTATCTGAAATTGTGATAAAGATAATAATGGATGTTAATTGGTGGTAATTGACGCGCAGTTTATATTAATTAACATACAACACGAATCAACTCGTACTGGAGCATTCGGAGCTCCACCAACACATCGACCCGGTGAAACAGGGATGGAGACTCGATATCGACCTTGGTATTTGTCACATTCAGTGAAAGCATATTGAAAGTCAGACTAGAAGAGGAACAATTAGTTGATCAATTTAATGAGCGAAATACTAATTATTTTAATCGTCTTACCGGTTGACATGTAGGCAGATTATCACTTGAAACAATTATAGTTAATTTAATGAAAAATATGGTAACACTGATTAGAAATGATTGTGAGGAGGATAATTTATAAATCAACATTGAAGGCGTTCAAAGGTTTTGTTTTGTTTCCAATTAATTTTAACTAAGGGACATTAATTGTTGATTAGAGGAAAGAACCAAAGAAAACAATCAGTTTGACCCAAAAAAAACGCTCAAATTGTTAATAATTAACTCCAATCAGTCATGGAGTTGGTAACATATGAAGATTTTATCAACAGGGAATGAAGATTAATTTTTTCATCTTCTTTTTCCTCTTTCTTTTCATCCTCGAGATTCTCTTTCTTTTCTCTCTTATATTGATCATGGGCATTTGAATATTAAATCAGCGTGAATCGAATCAACTCAAATTCATCCGATCCTTTTAATTCACTATTTAGATGATTACTTGTATTTTCGAGTACATTTTGGCTTAACAAAAGGGTTGATCAGAATCACTTTGGATTATAACAGAATTGATTTCAGGTTTAATTATACATTTGTCGATTGACAGATGATTTAAATTGTTGTCAATCAGTAGAAAAAGAGAAAAATTTTCTGTCATTTAACTGTTAAAATATTGAGTCGGTTAATTGTGATTTGTTTGGATAACAATTGTTACAGAGGGGCAAGAAACAATTAGATTGGTCTAGTTGATTGTAGAATTGAGAATATGAGAGTCAATCAAAGACGAAATTCTAAACAATTAGTTTTAAATAGAACAATTAGAAAAAATTTGCTCTCTGTTGATTATCTCTTTCAATCCATATTGGCTGATTTTCATTTTGATGGTTGATTTTTAATTTAATTGGTTTACACTTGAGTTGATTAAAGAGAACCCAAACTTTTTGTACAATTATCAATACAATACTTTCGTATGATGAGATATTAATAGAAACAATTGAGACAATTAAGGTATTGTATAAGTTTTGGTGTAGTATTCAAAGACAAAAAATGGATAAGAGGATCAGACGAAAGAAAATCAATTGATTGTTTCGTCAATTTGAGATAATGATTGATTGAAAAACCATGCCAGTGGAAAAGAGAGAGAGAGAGAGAGAGAGAGAGGTTAATTAGAAGGCGGGTTTAAGAGAGATAATTGATCGGTAGTGAATGGATTTGACCACCGACCACTTATAAATATACAGGTATAATCGACAATATTTACAATCGAGATGCACAATTAATTTAGGGGAAATTGTTAATTACTATGATACTTTAGACGATGATGTTTTTAGTAATTCTATACATCTTATTTCATCACGAAGACGAAGTTTCAACCGTTTCACTGTAACATCTTCGACAATTACTGGTGGAACATGGCAACTTCGAGTGGTCATTTTTCTTTTGCTGGCAATACCTTGATTGGCAATCTCATCACTAGATAAATAGGAATTGATGTTATGGTCGTAATTATTAAATAGATTATCATTATTTCTAGATTGTGAAAGTTTCTCATTGTTCAGGTTATTATTTGGATCATTATCAACTTCCTCATCTTCTAGTCTATTGAGATCAACATCTGATGATCGGGAACTTTTTTTCCGTTTCTTTTTCCGAGTCTTTTTACGGACTTCTGGTTGTCTACTGGACAGTCGAGCTCCTTTCATTGATGATAGAGAGTTACTGCAGTCACTGGTCAGTCCAGGTAACTCTTCGTAAGGTACTTTCTCCCAACTGTTGTTGATTGTGGTATCACTGCTCCCTGATATAGATCGATCATCTGATCCAGTGGCTCCATTATTAATGTTTGTCTTTCGACGGAGTCTTATTTTAAGTTCTATTCTTCTTTTACCATTTGCTTTGGAACTTTCATGATCCAAACATTCATCTTTAGAATCATTTCTTTGGCTTAACTCGTAAACATCTTTCGAGGAGATTTGCTTCCCGGAGGAAAATGAATGGTAGAGAGGAGGAGGAGGAGGAAGTGATGGCTGTATTGTTTGGTGAGATTCGTTTGATTCGGGATTAGAATTGCTGCTTGAAAGTCTAGTTGATCGTCTTAAAGGCGGCTTTTTATCGATTGGGAAAATCAACTTTTCATCACATGGATCCTTGAAATCGTTCAAGTGCAATTGATTTAAATCACTTTTCAAACACTCAAGTTCGCCGGGTTTATCACAAGCTTTTAATTCGGAGGAAAAATTATCTATAAGATTATTTTTACCTAATTTTCCGTTTGACGGTTCGTTATTAGTGGCAGCTTTTTTATCCATTTTAAGCTCAGTATTTTTTAAAATCTCAGTTTGATGAGTGCGATCAACGGACTTTACAATGTCCGCGTCGACTTTAGTTTGTCGTGATTCGGTGGCCATTGGTCTTTTCACTCGGCCACTTCTAGTTGTAAATATTGTTTTACCATCTAGACTTTCTTCGTCCATTTGGTCAACAATTGATGTTTTACATTTATTTTGTGGAGCTGAGTTTGTTTTAACGAGACCATTTCTGTTGCCGAGTTTTGTTTTGCTACTCGAAGTTCGGTTAGAATTGTCCTTGATTCCACCTTGTGCTCCCGTAGCTCCTCTTCCTTTGGTTCCTTCTTTACTTTCCTTTTTCTTAGCCTGTTGTTTCATCCGATTCAGCCGATTATCAGTCTCCCTAAAGCTGTAAATCTTTGATGAACATTGAGGATTAATATCTTCCTGATTTTCTGGTTTTATTTGGGCAAAAGCTCCGGTTTTCCTCCTTTCGCAGGTTTCACACTCACAGTAACAATTATTGTCACCGAAAAAGTCCTCCCCGTAAAAACATGTAATTTCTTCGCCAATGTCTATGTTCCTTAAAACCTTAATACAAGCAGTATCACGTCCAGTAGATACAAATTTACAGTTTGCTCGACAATCATGGTTTATGAATGCTCCAGGGCCGAGCCAAAGTTGAGCGCAGTTTTTACGGCAAGAATACATCACAGAGAAATCATTGATACCCGGTTTTAACATTTCTTCCTCTTCTTTTTCGGTCAACTCAGCAATACAGCCCACAAGCATTTCAATCTTTTCGTTTTTAAACCATTTCTGTGTGGCTACTAGTTTCGCGCCAACGTTTCCTTCCGCTGAATACCTAAAATATTAAAAAAAAAGATCAAAATAATATTAGAAGCCGTTCAATTGAACATTTTGTAAGACTGGAACTAAATACTTTACCTGTAACAAGGTTTGATATCAAAACCTGAGTTTTTATCAAAAATTCGTAAAAATCTGAAAACATGATCTCTAAATAATTTTTTGTGACGCTCATTACGAGAATGATATAAACCACCGGCCCAATCACCAGAGACCAATTTATCAAAGGCTGCCTCATAATTTTGGTGTTTTTTGAACCCAAGAACCAATTGCTTGAGAAAATCTTTGGATACTGCTGGAGGTTTAAACCTATGAAGATGAAGAAAAAGAAACAAAGAGATTAACAGCAAAAGTTAAACAAAAAGAAGATTATGGATTAAGAGATGAATAATTCTGCTCATTTGAATTGAAAATTAGATCATATTAGATTTATCTATTGTGAAGAAACAAAAAAACCCAAAACAAGGCAACCTGTTTAGCTGAAATGGCTCCCGTGAGGGAGTTAGAGAGAGAGAAAGAGAGAGAGAATGTGTGTATGTGTGTATTGGAGGCCTGGTGGATTAAATACCAAAAAGAATCTCAATCGAAGAAATTTAATCAATGAGACAAAGAGACTCGGCGAAACTTTCATCTAGTACTAACCTTGTGTTCATTTTGTGTGAACAAAATCCAAGATAAGGATCGATAATCAAAGCTATGGCAAGATCATCAAATTCACAAAGCTCGGTGGCAGTTAATCCAATGGAGGAGTAATTAATATTTTTGTGTGTGGCATTAGAAGTGTGAGTTGGATAATTTGAGCAATTGACTCCATGTCCCTTGTCTCCTGCCTTAGAATTTCGTGGACACTCTTTGGACCAATGACAACTTTTACCGCAACGGTAACATTGACCTTTACCCCCCATTCCTGGCTTTGGTCTGGCTTTACTACGAGAAGCTTCAACTGTTATTTTTACTCCCATCAACTCTGATCCATTCAGTGCATCGATAGCAGATCTGGCTTCAGTTTTATCGCCCATATGCTGGAGAAAAGAAAAACATAGGAGAAAAGTGAAGAAACTAACTGTCAATAATCAAGATAAACAATTCAATGAAAGAAAATAATAAAAGAAAACTACTCACGACAAAACCAAAATTCTTAAAAACATCACATCCCTCTAAGTTCCCATATTTTTCAAAAGCAACTCTTAAATCCTCAGTACTACAAGAATCAGGAAGACCACCGATGTAAATTTCAGTCTTTCGTCGAAGAAAAAAAATAAAAAATTAATTTAAACACGTGAAAATTGCACAACAATTAGAAGAAAATAAATAATTGAAATAGGAAAATTAAAGAGAAGGCAAAACTCACCTTAGGATTCATTGTGAGTTAATCCAAAAAAGCCCGAAATTGGATCGAGTCCTATTGTATTGATCCAATTCTAATGGAGGTGAAGGCGAAATCTAAAGGAACAGATAGAGTAGAGATCCACTTGGAGAGAATCCATTCTCATACTCGCTCCATCTAACGTTGAGAAAAAGAAGGAAAATTTAATCAAATCGGGTACAATTCGGTTTGGTTCAGTTAAGTCACTTTTGAACGGAGTTAGATCATTTCGGTTAGGTTTAGTTTGGACACTTAGTATACGATTCCTAACCCTTTATTGTTTAAAAAACTTTAGGCCCACATCCAACCATTTACGCTCATCTTAGTCCATCTCAGTTAACTTAATTAATTCTCGCAAATTAAATGGTGTCTGAATGAAGAGCACAAATAGTTAAACATTGAATGAATACAATTGGTAAGAGATAAACAAGAAATGATAATTTTGCTACAAAATGACCACTAGATTTAGTTGATTTAGCCTAATCAACTTTTCTCCATCAATTGATGTCAAAGTCTCTGTAGCAAATTTATCTTTAAAAGAAACAAATCTCTTTGTAACTAGAGGCTTCATCTCGCGACACCAAAACGCTTTGCTGTTTCTACTCTTTGGTTTTTCTGTTGTCAAATGTTTCTTACTCGTTGTCCTGTTCCAATTTCGTTAGCAAAATGATTGCCTAGTCTTATCACTTATTCCATGAAACTATTAATATTTATTGTTTACCAAATTGTAAGAATATCTTTTCCGTCTTAACCTTTACTCTATTCTCATTATGGATTCCACAGATAAGGTGATTTACCTTTTCCTTTTAAATGCTTATCCAACATTTTTGTTCAACTGTTTCATGTTCTTGCCTTGTGATTCAATTTTTTCGAATTCTTCTATTGTCTAGTTAAGATGTTCTGAAGAGACAGATTTCGTTGTTCTTTATTATGACCAAAGTGATATCGAGGAAATTGATGAAAACGAAGACCATTCGGTGAAAGATGATTTAATAAATAATCTAACTCAACCTGAAGATGCTAATACTCCTTCAAGCTCAAACCAAATAGATGAACTTCATTCTGATGAAGGTCATGAAATCCCACTTAACATCGCCAATGGAGCTTATCAGGAAAGAGTATTCAAACCTCCTCCTTATCCTGGAAAATCAGCATCGGAAGCTTCAGAACTTGGGTCACAATCGATCTTTTTTATAGTCATTGTGTTTGGTGTTCTTATTTTCATCATTTATCTTTTCCGAAGTCCTCCAAATGCTCACGAACCTTCAGCACCTTTTCCACCTCCAGGCTTTATATCAGATTATCTCACTGGAAGTGGTTACAACGATTATACGAGTGGACCATCATGTGGACTGAGAAACACAATGAGAACTCAAGGAGAGGGGCCAGGATTTCGAACGGGATTTATGCTTTCTGATTTCTGTGGTTACTCATCATCTCGTAAGAATTATAACTCAGAGTATTCAAGAACTTCATCTGATCCATTCATACCTCCAGGAACTGTAACAGAAATCAAAACTGGCTATGCAATCACCAAACGCCGTTAATTGCCCAATCAAAACCTCAAAATCATTGACGTTTATTTCATCATCTCAATTTTTATTACTAAGCTGGAGAAAAATCACATTAATCATTTCAATTCTCCATTAATTACAATTGACAACAACAGTTAACACATTGATCAACATCATCATCTCAAATTTGATTAACAAGTTGGACGACGAGTTAAATTGTAACTAACCAATTTAATCTTTTCGGATAAAAATCTTACTGTTGCAAATCACATAATTAACTGTCAATAATTGCTCTTTATTTTTCTTGCTTGTATCAAGTTATCTTATTATTTATGTATAAAGAGTTCAAGTTGACAATATCTTGTGAATTCATCGTAATAATACATATCGTATATTCTGTGAATAGACTATGGAATGAATTTGAATTATCCCATTAATATAAAGAGAGATGCTCACAAGTTGCTCTGATTAAAAATCAGTGTTTTAATGAACTAAGAAAAATTTGGTAAATCGAGTTGATCCCAAGGGAACTCAGTTTGATTAAAGTGCGAATAGTCGAGCGATTTGATTTCGTGCGTTAGCTTCTTTTCGAGCAATTTGATCCTGATTCTGTTTATTTACTTCATTAACTAATTTCTCATGGACATGGAAAGTAATTATTATTAGCTAATAATTCGAGCTTAATTTCCTGTCGCTTTAAAATCAATTTTATTTTTATTAATCTGTCAATATAATAATCGAATATGAATAATCATTTAATAAGAGAGAAAGTACTTTTCATGTTCAATCAAATGAACGTACAATGATTTAGACTCTCGATTGAAAATATCAATCAACAGTTTATATCGACCAGTAAAATATTTCGATTTCCTGGAAAACTCCGAGTTACCACAAAGAACTGGACATTTCTCCCATCGTTTGATATCTTCTAGAAGAACATCGAATGTCGAAAGTATAACCGAGCAAAGAGTATGATGTTGATCACTTATTTCGCTGGAAGAATTGATTCTTTTGATTTCGGAAGATCGAAGTTGAATTCGCTCAACAAGCATCTCAGCGACCAAGGATGGACTGTATTCTCTTGTCATCTCATTGATAAAATCAATTTCATCCACTTTACATTGAGTCAAAGTGAATCCTAGGAGATTAAAAGAAACAACGAAAATTAATCAACTGTTGACACTTCGGTATCGAACTCACCTAGAATTAAGAGAGTGGCAACAATCAATTTGTTAATCATGTTTATTGTTTTGTTTCAATGTTTCAACTGAAAAGCTAAACTTTCATTTGGTATAATTAAATTAATTATAAACAATCAGAAAGAATATATCACATCTTAATAATACGTTGAGAAAAAGAAGGAAAATTTAAACACAATCACTGTACCAAACTGAGTGCTTTGCTCAATGCCCGAAGGGCCACTTTTTTGGTGCTAAATGCTTCATGCATTACCTCCAATGGGGTTTAATAAAACAAATTCATTCATTTCGTTAAAGTGAAATCAAATTTTCGAAACGGTTCATTTTAGTTGATCGGGACACATTAATCTTTTCAAATTTTTCCTGAAAATTGAGCGAGTTATGTGAAATAATAGATGAAAATACTAAAAGGATCATTTGATTACTTCTAGTTACATAAACAAACTTATAGTTGCGAGCGAAATTTCCTAGAGCCGAATGACAATTCAATTTGCTCTGATTAAACTCAATGAATTCGGTGTTAAATCACCTGAGAATCATAAGAGATATTAACACAATAGAAACAGAATTTTTTGAAACGATTGATAAGTTTTTAGAAACTTAATTAAGGAATCATTTTATTTCAAAGTCAAGTCAATTAAGTCAAGTTAATTCAAATGAATAGTTTATAACTCTAGGAAATAAATCAGCAATTAAAAATAAGAATGGAATAGTTTTCGGGGCAATTAAAAAGCATCGAACTTAAAATTTCTATTCAAAAATCGCGGCCTTTTATTTGTAAAGAATAACAAAAAATCAATCAATTAACTGAATTCTGATGAGAGATCAAAACCTGGACAAAGAAAAGATGGAATTGTTGAAATCTATCTTTCCAATTAAAGAAGTTACTAATTAATTGTTACTCATTGACTAAAAAAGGCCGACAGATGATTTGTGTTTTAATTTTATCGTAATGATTATCAATAAGATCGATTATCTGTAAGTGTATTAATCGATTTAAGTGAATAAAGAAAAATGTTCGATTGAATCGATTTCTATGTTTCGAAATTCGAATCTTTGTTTTGAGAGAGAAAAACAATCTCTTTGTAAACATTTTCTTCCAAAGGTGGGAAGTCTTTTAATCGCGTTAATTTACTTTTACCTTATTACTTATTCTATGGAACCATTTATTTTTAATTAATTTCTTTCACTCTGAGTGATCTTATTCTCAAGGATCATTTATGTTAACCAAATCCTGAGAATATCTTTTCCTTCAAAACCTATACCTTATTCTTATTATGGATTCAACAGCCAAGGTAAGTTAACCTTTTCCTTTTAATTGTTCTGCTGATTTAACATTTTTTTATTCAACTGTTTCATGTTCTTCTCTGTCCATGAGTTCATTTTCTTGCCTTATGATTCAATTGTTTGGCTTTTTTCTAATGTCTTAGTTACGATGTTCCGAAGAGACAGATTTCGTTGTTCTTTATTATGACCAAAGTGATATCGAGGAAATTGATGAAAACGAAGACCATTCGGTGAAAGATGATTTAATAAATAATCTAACTCAACCTGAAGATGCTAATACTCCTTCAAGCTCAAACCAAATAGATAAACCTCATTCTGATGAAGACGAAGATGAAAACAATGGTGTTAATACTGAACAAAAAGAAGATGATGAAAGAGAAGAGGAAGAAAAGGAAAAAGATGAGGTGAACCAACGATTAGAGGAACATCAGATTGATGAGAATCAATTTAAAGATTTAGCAAGTGAATCTGATATTGAACCCGTTAATTTATCATCGGATGTTATTGACGGAGAAATTTGCGATTCCCAAATTTCCAAAGAAAATAGTGATAATGAAAATGATATTGATGAAGAAATTGATGATGAGCTTGATGACGACGACATGGAAGAATTGAGTGTCGTCCATTTCAAAGAAGATGGAAACGGTGTTCCCCTGGAAAACGGAATCTTGGATCTCAGTAAAGTGAAACGATCTCCCAGACGGAATGCAGAGTTTCTAATGAAGTTACGATTGAATCTCATGCTCTGTTTTGCTATAACCGCTGGTGTCTCTGTGGGCCTTGGTAATTACTTTAATTGGTCTGACAAATGGGAAAATACAAAAACTAATGTGACCCTTGACGATGATCATATTACTGAACTGAAAAGTTTACAAGATAAATTAACGGACTGCATGAACTCACAATCTATTGAAGCTCGACAATCAACCTTTCGGGATACCAAGGTTAATATATTATCTTTTTACATTATAAATTAACTAACCATCCAATGAATGATGACATTGATCAATACAATCTTATTAACTAGTAACAATCTATTTAATTGTTACTAGTTATTATTTTTCTACTCAATATAAGATAGTCTTAATATTATCAATCATAATTTTTCCGTCACAATCATATCATGATGATGATGATAAGACAAAAATGCAATAATATAACAACAATAAACTCTTGTTATTATTGCAACTTGATTGTATATAATCTCGATTCTCAATATCAATTTCCTCGGTAATTTCCTCGTTTACATGTTAACTCTAACTGGATTAATATTCATTCAAATCATTTCATTGATCTTCACACCTTCTCTCATTCATCAATTGTTATTGTAAATCTTTTGATTAGCAATCTTGTTCCCGATCCCAAGATCTAGGGCAATAACTTTCATTGTTAGATTTACCTTAATTGATATCGTTCAGAAACTTTGATTAACGTTAATTGTTTATAAAAAAGTAAAATACTGTAACTTGAAGCATAATTATCTCACAATTGTGTGTTAACAAACTGAATTTTCTTGATTGGAGTTTCAATGGGTTTGATTGGAAATTATTAGTTGATATTTAAACATGTAATAGAATTGATATTGAAAATAATAGTTGTTTTCTAATCTAATTGTTCTGATTGTTAACCAAACTAATGAAATTTTCATCTTCAACTGACTAAATCTAAACAACTCGAATAACTTTTCCTTTTGTGTCTTTTCATTATTCAGATTTGCCGTCAAAATGGTGACTATGGGAAGAAAAAATTGGACACTTTGTACAGTGAATACGAAACGGCCTCTTCGTGGACTCATAAAAAGAAAGAGAGAAAACCCAAATTAGACAGAGAGATAAAAAAGAGAAAAAAGAAAGAAAAGAAAAGGGAAAGAAAAGGAGAGAAAGGAAAATTTGTAAGAGAAATTCACAGAAAGAGAAATGAAGAAAGACTCAAGGGGGAGAGAATTTACAGATAGTTTTTTATTCCTTTTCGTTGATTCCAATAATTTCGATAACTGTCAACAGAATATTTGAGTAAATGAATAGATTCGATATCGAAGCGCTAAAAAAATCTCTCTATTTTACTGTCGTAGTTTATTCTGATTTTATTTCTCTGTCTGTGTTCATATATCAAAGAATCACTGTAATTGTTTTCTTCTTATTTTCATGCTTTTTATACTAATCTCGTTCATCTTAATTTCCCCTTTACAAACTGATTGTTAGTATCTCAAATTATCTTTTGATTGAGAAAAAAATATAATAAAATTGTCAAATTGTAAATTCGAAAATGAGTTGTCACATCTCTTTGACATCACATTCCCGATATGAGAATACAATCACTTAAATTCACATTAGTGATTAGTTAAAATCTCAATCGATTGACAAACATTAAAAATGGTCTCAAAAGTTTCAATTGTCACTTTAATTTATCTGAGTAAGTGTTTTCGATTACTTTATTGCCGTTGATTGAGTTTTAACTTTCTTTTTTTAATTGATATGAAAAGTAAGCGCTCTAGTTAATTGTGCTGCCAAAAGTTCAAATTATGAGGTTGAAGATGCTTCTTTCCTCGAAGAAGCTGCAAGTAAATACAGTCCTGAACTGGTCCAATCGCTTCTCTTGAATCGAATCGAACACAAAATTGGACAAATCAAAGTCGTGAGCGAAAAATTAAAGTCTTCATAATATTTTGAGCTTTCGTTTTATACACCAGCATGTGAATCGGGAGGATCAGCTCGATGTTCATTCATTCCTGAAACTGTTCAATGTTACAATCGTGGTTGGGATGGAGTAACAGTTAATTGGGAATGTAAAGCTGACATGGATAAGAAATATTCATTTGGACAATTGGAGGTCACATGTGAAGGTTATGATCACCCCGATGATTCTTATATTCTCGCAGGTTCTTGTGGTCTTGAATTTTCACTCAATATCGCCAATGGAGCTTATCAGGAAAGAGTATTCAAACCTCCTCCTTATCCTGGAAAATCAGCATCGGAAGCTTCAGAACTTGGGTCACAATCGATCTTTTTTATACTCATTGTGTTTGGTGTTCTTATTTTCATCATTTATCTTTTCCGAAGTCCTCCAAATGCTCACGAACCTTCAGCACCTCCTCCACCTCCAGGCTTTAGACCAGATTATTTCACTGGAAGTGGTTACAACGATTATACGAGTGGACCATCATGTGGATCGGGAGGTTCAGCGAGATCTCAAGAAGAGGGACCAGGATTTGGAACGGGATTTTTAACTGGAGGTTTTCTTGGTTATTTATTTGGTAGGAATTCAAGTGGTCCTAATTACACTCGAGATTACTCATCATCTAATCATTACTATTTACAACAACAGTTATTTGGAAAACTCGAGCAATGAACATAAAAATCTTTTCGATTCTAATTGTAACAATTAAGAATTCATGAAAATTAAATAACTTACTTTTGACCAGAAATCCTATTGAACGGAAGTTTAACTAAACTTTATGTAATAAAAGTAAAATAATCAGTTCCTACGATTAATCAGCTACTGCATAGGTGATTTTAAAAATCGTTGTTATGATTAGATTATCGAGATTAAATTTACAATTCATGATCTTAGAATAAACCAAAGTGCCTAAGGTCAAAGAGAATTACACTCATCGTGAAACTTGATCAATCTTTAGGAAAACTATACTATTCTCCATATCAATTGTATAACAATTAAATTAAATCGATTGTAGAGCAGAAAATGTGCGAAAAATTAATTCGTAATTTTAATTGTTCCGCGTTTAGAATTTTTCAATTGGTAATAAGGAGTCGGTCCCCTGGTTCATTTCTGGTTTTTTCTTTATTATCGATGTTGTTTATTGTATTATTTAATAAGAATTATTTAATTATTGTTTAATTAAAGTGTTTCTTTCTTTTTTGTTTGTTTATTGAATTAATAAGATGATAACAAAAGGCTTAATGTGATGGAAAAGTCAGCAACAGTTGTTGATACCTGTTTGGTGTCTCCGGTTATCTTTCGGAAAGAACCATTAAGTGAAAGTGGTACCAATGTAAATAACCACAACAATGTAACATTAAATACCAATTTAAATACAATATCAGTCAACCCAGTACCTTCAGAGGTAACAACATCACCAATAGGATCACCAATTGTCATCAACAACAGTGTCCCATTACCATCAAAATCAATATATCATTCGCAATCCTCCAATCCAGTTACAACCATCAACAAATCCTCTGCATTATCAGTATCAACCTCATCTTCAACCTCAGTAACTTCAACCTCAACCTCCACAATTGCGTCAACATGCATCTCTACTACTCCAACAATTGTCACCACTTCCTCTTCATCGTCTGTTTCCACAATGTGTGCTCGATGTAAAAAGAAACAAGTCTGTAATGTCAGAATTCAATGTAAAATGGATCAGTATCTCGCCTCCAAAATTTCATCTATGAAGAAGGAATTAAGCTTATCATTGAGAATGGCAAGGCTTCCATTGCCTGCATACGAATTGTCACATTTGAAGTATGGTAAATACATAAGACTCGAAGAACATCCTAATGGAGGTGGCAAGATATTAAAATTGTATTGGGATGAAATAATTAATCTACCGCCAAATGAAAAGACTGAATTGGCTCTTGAATTTCTTAAAGAATCGTTCAGGTAAATATAAATCTCTTTATTCTTGCTCACTTTCCACTCTTCTTTCATCTCATCTATATTTTTTTTCTTAGCAAACAATTTTTTTCAAATTCATCAACAGTTGACTACTCTTGCAGCAATTAACTTTGACCATAATAGATTAACAATTTATTAAAACAAGCTTGGATGAAGATTATGTATATCATGATACTCGATAGTCAATTTTCATTAAGTTCGTTTAAATTTAATGGTTAATTGATGTTTAGATTGTGAAAAAATTAGAATATTTTGTGTCTGTTGCAAAGCAATGAATTAACATTGTGATTAACATCACCCAACAGCTATTGTACCATTAGTATAATTGTTTTCTTTGTTGGATCTTCTGTTGATGGGAGAAAAAAAAACTCTATAGAATTTCTTGTTTTTAAGTGGATATTTTTTAACCTTTCATCTCTTTTGTTGGACTGAATCATTTCAGAGAGGAGCCTATTGGAATCGCCAAATATGTAATAACTGTGGTCCATAATGGGGCTTGTCATTTACCAGACTTTTTGGATTATTTTTCTGATAATCACCCGAACCTCGTTGTCAAGACTGGTATCATTGGCCATTCTGAATCTGATATTGAGACAACTACAATGTCAGCTTATCGAGAAGCTGTCCATAAAAACTACTGTAATGGTACTTTCAGAGCGGGACCTCTTCATCAATTGAGTCTTGTTGGAACAGCGCACGAAGAGGTCGGAGGTTATTTTCCTAAGTTTCTCTCGATCTTGAAAAAAAATCCTTTTCTTAAACTAATCATGCCATGGGGCCATTTGAGTAATTTGAGGATGAATTCACCAGAAGAAAGCAATGATGGTCCTATTCTTTGGATAAGACCTGGTGAACAACTCATACCTACTGCTGATCTCGGATCCAAAACACCAAATAAAGGAAGAGGAGGGCGTCTTAATGAACTGAAAAGTTTAACATTAAGAAGAGCTACAGACCCAAGAGAAATCATGTTTGAAGATCGTACTCGATGTCATGCCGATCAAGTCGGTCAAGGTTTTGACCGACACACAACGGCCGCTGTTGGAGTTATGAAAGCAGTTCATTATGCTGAGCCACATACATCTAATCGCATAGTGAAAGATGTTATTGCCTTTGATGCTGCTTATTTTGATGAATTGGTTGAAAAACTACAACTTGATCTACACGAACCACCAGTATCACAATGTATTCAATGGATTGAAGATGCCAAATTGAACCAGTTACGCAGGGAAGGCATCAAGTATGCTCGACTCCATCTTTATGATAATGATATTTATTTTTTACCTCGTAACATAATTCATCAGTTCAGAACGGTAACATCGGTTGCTTCCATTGCCTGGCATGTGAGATTACGTCAATATTATAAAGAAAAAGGAAACTGTGATAATCCAATACCACAACCAAACTCAGAGAATCAGGTACAGCACCGTAAAAAGATTGAAAAAGCAAAGAGAAAAGTTGATTTCGATGGATCAACAGAAGATCATCTTTCATCTGATCTTGGTGCTGGATATCATCGGAAAAGAGTAAAAAATGAACATCTCAATGAGAATAATCATCGCCAAAGATCCAACTCATCTGATTTAGATAAGAAAACTAAAACAACTTCATCTAACTCACCTCACAAACATCGTTCTCTTTCATCGTCATCAGTGTCATCCACCGAACAATCTATGGAACATGATTCAACCACTCCTCCGATCCTCAGCAGTTGTCGAAATGTCAAACAAAAAACCGAATCCATTCGAGGGAAAATTAAACGAGAAGACAAGCTACTTATCAAAAAATCAACCAATGTATCACTTCCAGGATTACCTGTTATGAGCGATGATTCGACATTGATACCTGAAGAATTACAAGCTGTCGAAGAAATCAAAGAAGAAATTCTTAGTTTTGAAGAGCAGGAACAAATAACCTCAATGAGTACCAAAGAAATCGAATCAGTAGATCAAGAAGTCGAAGGAGCCAGAGGAGATGATGAAGGTGTGAATATCGGTTCAGAGATTTCCTATCCTGAAGATCCAAAAGATTTGGTTAATATGAGTGTGCAAGATGATGACCTCGATCAAAAAGACGTTATTATTGGTTCTAAAATAGCGGTCGCTGAAGATGTTCTGATTGATGGTATTGTCGATACCAGTAAAGAGATGACAATTTTGACCAAAGATGGTGATGAACCAGAAGTCGCACAGACACTTGATATCGAAACAGAAACTGTTTGTGAAATCCCCGATAAAATATTAGAAAATTCTGATATTGTGTAAACTTATTATTTTCCATGGATCTTGAATGAAAACTAAAAACCACCCGGTTATGAACTTGACTCTCCTTAATCACGTTGATGTTTCTTGTTTTCATCAAAAATGTCAATCATCCAGTGTCAATTGCTCATCTCTGAAGTTAATTTGTAATTGTGATTAACAATCAGTTTTACTGGAACAAACCTGTTATTGGCATTTTTTCATCATCGAATCTTATCAAGTTATAATCTCAACAATTGATTTTTTTGTGTAAATGCTCTCAACCTTATAACATGTGAACTCACTTATTCAAAGACAAAGAACCTGGAAAAAGATTAAGAATCACCTTTGTAAATTTGTTCCCGATTCTGTCAGTTGTTATGGTTGTTGACTTGTTTTCAGTTGAATTATGTATTTAGAAGATTAAATGATTGGTGATTAAGCATGGAAATGAAAGATTGATTAGAGATGCGAAAAGATGTTGACTCATTTATTCAATAATCGAAACTAAATTGATCCTTCTCTCAGTTTCATACGTATCTCATCATTTGGAATTGAGTCTGTACTCTCACCATGAACAGCGATCAACAACATTTCCTTATTTTCTCATTTACAACTGAAAACAACAGAATAAGCAAAGAGAAACAAACAAAGTTACAAAGGATGCACTCGATTTCTTCACTTTCTCCATTCAAATGTTTACAAACGTTCAGATAAAATGATCGTATTAATAGTATATATAAATGATTATATAACGTAAATCATTAACCTATGGCCCTTAATGGCTCGTAGTTATGTTATAGCAAAACTTAATTGACAAAACAATTTAATCTCTATCCCTTTTCTCAATCTTTTCTGGTTTCCATTTTTATTTTATTGTAAATATGCGTCAAAATGATAATAAATTGTAACAAGTCACGATTATTATAAATTGTCACCTTTACATTCAATTGCATGCTCAATACAATTGCTGATAAAATTGAGTTAATTAACTATCAACTTTTAAAATATAAAAATATCCATTGGTGAACCAATTAGACGCACAATTGATTATCACATCAATTATCAAACAAATTGAATCAATGAGTAAGTAACAAAATTCATTATCCATTTGCTGATTTTAATCAATCGTTTTCAATGAATTGCATCAACTTTACATTTAATTAATCCCAATTACACCTTTTTACTTATTCAATCCTTAAACTGTGATTAAATTCAATTTTCTAATCTTCGAAACAATTGATCGCAAAAGTTTAGCGATCAATTGAGTTACCTGGAAACGGAAAGTGCAAACCCCAGGTCATTCTTCAGTACTCAAAATGTATTGAATCCAATTCGTGATAATCGATGCGTTTGTTTCCTCGAACTTTTCATTCTCGGTTTCTCGATATTAGTATTTCATTGTATTGAACTGATTATGTTTTTTAAGCAAGAAAACAAGATTAGATCAGCTCGATTAATTGTTACACAGTAGATTACAATTAAGATGTCGTTACTTTAGCCATTCGTTTATTTTATTTGCTAATAGTTTGATCTCTGGCATTTTCATCGGAGCTGCGCCAATTTTTAACGATTTTAAACTAGTTGCTTTATTTATATTCATCGCTGAAGTTGCAGATGGAATTGTTGATATTAATAAGTACAATTAAAGATGCTGATTGTCAATCAATTCGATAATTGGTCTGATTGTCTTTGTAGTTGTTAAATAATACAGTTCTAAGATGTGTTCACTAGAATTTGACAAAAAGTTTGAGTCATTTTTTTTCTTCTCTCTGATTGTTTACAATTGATTAAATTATATCAAATGAAAGTTCAGCTATTCATCTACATTCATGAAAAATTTCAAAAAATTCTAATGAAAGGTTTTTGAACAATTAAATTTTGAAAAAAAGTTCCCAAATTTTCGAAAATTTTTCATTTCTCTATGAGAAATTAACAAGGAGAGCAAGAAATGCGTTTGGTCAGAATTTTTAAATTAGCATATTTTTAATATGCGATTTCATGGTAACCTTTAACCTTTACGGTTTTTTATCATTGCCTCTGAGCATCTTTTGGTGTTTTCAAAAATCAAATGTGACCTTTGGTTCTCGTTAAAAAGCCATTAATTCGAAAAATATGGTGAAAATTCTGATTTTCGCGATTTTTTTTTCAAAATTTAATTGTTCAAAAACCTTTCATTAGAATTTTTTGAAATTTTTCATGAATGTAGATGAATAGCTGAACTTTCATTTGATATAATTTAATTAATTGTAAACAATCAGAGAGAAGAAAAAAAATGACTCAAACTTTTTGTCAAATTCTAGTGAATACATCTTAGTATCTACATGGAAAGAGATATGTGCCAATTGGCTTTAAGTGTATCAGATGTGCTTTGGTGTGGGTTCGTTGATCGCCCCGGTCATTTGTGGACCTTTTTTGCCAATATTTAATAACGAAACGTGCATAGTTAAACAGTGTTTTGGTCTTGTTTCTCCTTCTGCCGATTAATTTACATCCCGTTAACATACATTTATGTATTCTCTGAGATTAAATATCTTATCCAGTTCATCATATTAAAAGTATATTTGATTCTATTAGTTTATTGTGCCAAAGTAATTAAATTATCAACTATTTTTCAACACAAAAAAGCGGCTGAAAGACCATCGATCCAAAGTATTGATTACCATTGATCAAGTTTTTTTCTCAAAATTTTCGAAAATCTCTTTTAATGTGTACTGAATGTACAGTAAACTAGAAGATGGAAAGACTGGTCTGTAAATGAAGTCGTGACGACCTTCTAATTGTGATGACAACGAAAAAGTAGTTGTGGGCTATTAAAAGGCTGTTGAAAGAAAAAGAAAAAGAGAAAATTTCAAAACATAACCTTTGGCCTTTTTGTTGGTGCCTATTTTGAAAAGCTGTCTAGTGGTATTTTTGATATCTTAGCGCTTCAGATTCTGCTAAGTTTTCATCAAAAACCGTGAATCATAATAATTAAATGATTACTTTGTTAATCAGAATGAAATTGCTGCCCTTTATTACGCTTTTATCAATGAGACTCATGAAATTTTGAAGAACGTGAAAATATTGATCCATTTGATTGGAAAAGTAGATAAAACAAGAGCCTTGATCGTGTTGAAATTGAAGTAATCAGGACTTGAGATCATTTGGAAACATAAATTTCAGTTATGATTATTCAAATGCTTAAAACTTATGAATTTTATCTCAAGATAAGCATGGAAAATGTCGGTTCACTGTTCATGGTCAACGTGAAATAATCATACACCCTATAAGCCCATCAATTTCAAAATAACTGCAAGTTGTTGATAAAATGTCTTCCAGTGTACAGAGATACGAACAAAGAGAAATTATTTAATTCATTCAGCGGACAATTCAAGTTTCAATGGTTTTTTTTGCTCGTCAAGTTTGATCCCGTTTGACAGATAAAAATCACGTTTCAAATAGGCAAACAATAAGTCAGTGATTAAGAATATCTGGTAGAAAGTAAAAGGAAAACATTAGTAGAAGTAATAAAAGAGATGTTTAGATTTGTCCGAGTTGATTGTTACTCACTTGACCAACGTTATAAGCCAATGTTACTCCGAAATAAAAATTAGAATTTGCTGTTCCTAAAATTATCCACATTTGCCACATAAGAGGAGCAAGAACAGTACAAGAAATGAAGACACAGGCAACAAGTAGTCCTTGTTTCATATCTAAGAAAAGAGAAAGTGATTGATATGAACTGGTCACTGGGAAAGATTTTAAGATCAACTTACAGGTGAAAAGGTGAGTCCATTGAGGTAGTAAAGCCAAATAGATTGATAGATCACTTATCGATGGATAAGGTTTGAAGAGAGATAGAAGAATCAATGTGACAAGGAAAAAGAAGTTTGGATTTTCTCTGAAAGTTGAAAGAGAACAAATTAGGTTTTAGACATTTCAAGGTTCCTTTTGGTTTTGTTCTTACTTTAGAGTTAAAGATAAAGGAATAGAATAGACGAAAGTGTTTATTTGGAATGTCCACAAAAAGAAATCACGAAATTGGTCAAACATTTCGGTAAAAAAGTACCAAAAAAGACCGATGTTCGGTGTGAAGTCTGGAACAGATAATCTTTTAGGAAAAGAAAAGAAAAATTATAAATAAAGTAAAGCCAAACAGTCAGACTAAGTGATTAGTGATTAACTATTGTTCTGTAATTAAATACTTACAGAAATAAATATGACGACGATAAATAAGCGAACGATCCAGCGATTGATTCAGAGACCATGACGAAAATTGAAATGAGTAAAAGAGTCGAAATGAAACAAGCTGCCAGAGAAAAAATGGTTCCTTTCGACGAATATGAGAACGATTTTCTATAAAAAAAGAGCACATCGAGTTAGTATGATTCTTATTACAATTTTGCGATTTTCTTGCTTACCCATTAGAATTGGTCTTTTCAAGAGCCATAAGAACAGGGAAAACCAACAGGATCGGGTAAAGTGAATGATAGGCGACCAAAGCTACTAACAAACACGCGGCACTTCTGAAGCCTAAACTTACGGTCAACATAATTAGACTCATGAGAAAATTTGTAAATACTGAAGTAGATTTAGCAACACAGGGTAAGATTGAATAAGGAAGAAGTAAGTAGATTGTGAAGATTCTGAAACTTATGTCGCCAATAATTTTCTCTGGTATTTCTAAAGCCTCAGAATCAGTTTTCTTTAGTTTCTTTAACTTGATCTTTTCCCACTTTCTGATGGTCTTTAACTGGAGGTAACTGGATAGACTCAAAAAGATGGCGGTAACTAAATCAACCAAAGTAAATATAACTGGAATCCATTGATCACAATTGACTATTAAAAAGTTGTAAAATTGAAGGAACAGAGGAACTTCATGGAAAGTATCGCCTTCATATGGTGATATGTTATGTTTCATCAGTGTGACACCTTCGACAACTGAAAAGACAGATCAAGAATTGAATAAATGTCTCGGTGAATGAATTCAGTTTGACATGATTAACATTGAAATTAGTTTATTAGTTTATACCTCTTTTCCAAGAATTGACAGGGGTTGAAATTTCCACTCTATCAGCTATCATTTTCTGATATGAACTGGACATCAAAAGCATCCGAACGGTAAACCCAAAAACAAGCAAAAAAGCTGCTTTCGTTAAATGGAAAACCTGAGCAAAAATAAACAACAAGTAATCAATTAAATCAATGAGTGAAAAGCAATTTAGACAATCAACCAAAAAGCAATAATTAAAACTCACATTAGCAACAGAGCCCATTGTTTGTTAGGCAAAAGAGTAAATAATTACTCAAGAATGATGTTCCGGAGTATTAGAAACCAGCCCAATTCCAGAATGAGGTTGTCAATTAAGCTTTGAATAGATTTTAAATGAATAATCAACTTCCACTGGCCAATTAATCAAGAATTAAATCAAATCTGATTAAAGATAAACTTTCAAGATGAGTTAACATGTGATAAAGATTCAAATGATTTGAGGTTACAAATTTTCTTGGCGCAATTTTTGAAAAATGAAACTCGTTAATCGAAATGATTTTCATTTTTAATAGAAATTCTTAGTATTTATTTAGTTGATCATTTTAAATTAATCTATTACAAGACTAAAAGTTGATTTGGAAAGGTTTGCATTTTGTGATGAAAGTGTTTAGGTTGTTTACTTGGCAGTGGTTAAATTGAATCAAATCATTTGATTACTTTGAGATCAATTTTATGATTGGAAAGTTATTTCAAGTTTATGGGAAATTTGGATTGATTGTTTGGCCCTTTGGATAATTGACTGAATAAATATCCAAACTAAAGGCTTCTTTTATGAGATCGTAACGATCTTCACGCTCAGAATTAACTAGAAGGTGTTGAAAAGATGCTTCCAGATCTTCATGAGTAAAATGAGGGAAGAATCGATGTTGAAGGTTAAATGTCACATTCTGCCAATTGTTGGTTAACTTGTCTAAATACCAAGATAAAGAACTGGGCTGAATTAGAAGGACTTTGTCGCGATCTGAATCTAGTGCCACTTCATTCAATTTATTGTTTATTGCTTCAGGAAAATCCATAATTGAAAGATCATGAAACTTGATCCTTTCACTGTCAACAGGTATGTTGAGTAGTGTTTGGGGTGGAAGGTAAGTTCGAGAAAAAATTATGTCGAATCTTGATGATTCGTCTTGGTTTATATCACGATTTAACTTGAAAAGTGCTTGAGTTACTCCTGATTGGTGAACGAATCCATAGATGTAGGTGAAGAAAAGATTGAACAAAATCCAACAGAAGAATAGAGATTTTCTTACTCGGAATTTTTCAGCGTAAAGGTAAGAGAGGAAAAGAAGACATGGTAACAGGAATCTCGGCTCTTGGTGAGGAATAAATGAAAGAGTAATAAGTGATACCCAGAATGTGAGAAGCATAATTTTTCGAGCTGGAATCATCTTGTATCGAAATGGTCGCGTGGAAATTTTGATGATTTCGAAATAAGCTAAAAGCCCAAGTAACCCAAATGAAAGAGGGACATTGACTAGCATATGATGATAAGGATCATGAAGACCATGATTCTTAAGATTAGAAGTATCTCTGTTGTAATTCAAGAAATTCCAAGGTGTGAATATCACCGAGCTTTTATCCAGAAATTGTGATAAGTTCAAATCTCCAGAGAGAAATTCCTGTAAGATGACAGATGAAAAATGAACTGGTTATTATTGGTGACAGAAAGACACAAGAATAAGAAATACTCACAATAAAATGGTCTAGATTTTCTCGTCGATAATAACCTGAGTCAACTAGAACGTTGAACAAACTTGCTAAACTGAAACTCGGCAGGACGGTTAAACCATTTTTCAATTGTCTATTGGGAAATTTATGTTTACCGATTGATAGATAGAAAATCAATGGAATGAAAGTGAAAATCGGGAATGTTGGACGATTAAATAATCCTAAGGCTAAAATGATTCCAAGCCATCGGTTGTGTCGAGTCTTTTTAGTGACTAAACTGCTGATGACAATGTAAAGCACCAAAGAAACAAAAATAGTCTCAAGAGAATTGGTGAAAGTGTGGTTCAAATGGGTCAGCGTTAAGTATGAGGTGGAGAAAATCAAACAGGGAAATGACCATTGCCAACCAAGGGTCAGTTTTGAAATTTTATACAAACAATAATCGGCAATGAATGAAAGTCCAGTGAAAATGAGTCGAGGTAAGACCATAATGAAATAGCTGTTTAACCAACTTTGTTTGAGAAGAAAAAACGGCGAATTGAGAAGGAGAGGCAATAAAATACTTCGAATTGGCTGGTCACCTTTAAATTCCCATGTTTTCAACCATTTTGTTCCGAGAGCTTCACCAATTATCGGCTCAGTGAATTGGAAAAATTCATCCGGTTGAATGTAACCATGTTGAGGAAATAAAGTCAAAGCTAAACGTAAAATCCATGAGATACCAATTAAATTACGAATCGGTGAATTAGAAGTCATATTATTCTAATGATATGATAGATAATAGAATCTATTCAGAATCGTAGATTAGAAAGACATTCAACATTAACTCTGATTGTAAACAACAATCGAAATTCAATTGATTCAAATGAAAAAAATTCTGAAAATCTGACAGCTGATCAGCGAAAACGAACGAAACCCGATAGATGTCACTAGTCAGGTCGAAATTCAATTCGACAAAGTGACAATTTTATGCGAATTTCATTGATTGTGTTAATTGATTTCGTTTAACATCCCAACTATTTGGTGAGATTTAAGTTCATGTAATCGTAATTGTCCAAATCAAATCAAGGTGAGTTATCGTTAGTATCGATCAGTGAAGGTCCGTTGCTGTAAAGATAAAAAGTTATCATTTTTAATAGAAAATTAAAGTTCGAATTAATTTCGAGAAGTTAATTATTCTGGCATTATACAATTAATAATTCTGGAATTTAAGTTACGCTGATTTCCATCAAGTTTAAATTATTTCGTTAGATTAATCAAACAATTTAAAAGAAAGTAAAATTTTGACGATTTTGTTTTTCTCGTTCACAGTTTATCATATATTCATTATTTTTATCTACTAATTATTTACCTTATTCTAATCAAACATGTTGGCATCAATAACATTAATTGTTTTGTCAATCAATTTTCTTATTGTTTAATTAACAAGAATTCAAAATGATCCCTTGATTAGGTTATTATGATTACACAAAGAAATTGACATTTGAGTCACGTGATTCTTCAGCTGTTTAGTTAAATGTTTTTGTTGAAGAAAATTAATTTTCTTCATTAGTTTGTCTTCGTGATTATTTTTGATTATCTTTAATTCAGTTCAATTCAATTTGATTATTTTTCGTTCTCCGTTTTAATTGATTGTTTGGTAACTTTAATCTTCTTCAACAATAATTCATCTTCTTCTCGAGGTAATTAACTGTTTTGGATTTTGTGTCTTATGTTGACGTGTCTTAATTTCTATTGTTATTTCAAGTTATCTTATTGCCTATTTCTTAATTCTAATATTTTGATTAGTTGATTTTTTATCCCAATTAACCAATTTCTTTCGTAGAATTTCAATTTATCGGCTGTTATTTTCTTTTCTTACCTTTGCTTGTTTTTTTAGATTGGAATTGTAAAAGAATCGAGATGAAAATCGTGATCTCTGTTTTGATTTTCTTTTTTGTTGGAAATGTTTTTGGTAAATCAGATAGAATTAAACTGAAAGATGTCCAAGTGTTAACTCTGAGAAAAGGTAAATATACTGAAGCTCGAAGATCACATCGAGTTCCTCAATTAGCTTGTGTTGGAGGATCAGCTCGATGTTCATTCATTCCTGAAACTGTTCAATGTTACAATCGTGGTTGGGATGGAGTAACAGTTAATTGGGAATGTAAAGCTGACATGGATAAGAAATATTCATTTGGACAATTGGAGGTCACATGTGAAGGTTATGATCACCCCGATGATTCTTATATTCTTGCAGGTTCTTGTGGTCTTGAATTTTCACTCAACATCGCCAATGGAGCTTATCAGGAAAGAGTATTCAAACCTCCTCCATATCCTGGAAAATCAGCATCGGAAGCTTCAGAACTTGGGTCACAATCGATCTTTTTTATAGTCATTGTGTTTGGTGTTCTTATTTTCATCATTTATCTTTTCCGAAGTCCTCCAAATGCTCACGAACCTTCAGCACCTCCTCCACCTCCAGGCTTTAGACCAGATTATTTCACTGGAAGTGGTTACAACGATTATACGAGTGGACCATCATGTGGATCGGGAGGTTCAGCGAGATCTCAAGAAGAGGGACCAGGATTTGGAACGGGATTTTTAACTGGAGGTTTTCTTGGTTATTTATTTGGTAGGAATTCAAGTGGTCCTAATTACACTCGTGATTACTCATCATCTCATACGAGTCATAACTCAGGGTATTCAAGAACTTCATCTGAACCATTCATACCTCCTGAGACGGGAACAGAAACTAAAACTGGTTATGCAACAACAAAACGCCGTTAATTTTTCGATCAAAATCTCAAAATCATTTACAGCATTTCTCAATAACTTTCGCCAAGTTACCAAGAGGTTTAGTCGAGTTACTGAAAAATGCTGTATTTCATTTCATCTTAAATCGCCTAATGATTATTAAGTTCGAGAGAAATCACATTAATCATTTTAATCCTCCAACAATTACAATTGACAACAACAGTTAACTCGTTTGATACAACAGAAATTCTGGCTTATTGCCTCTTATTTTATTTTTAATTGTATGATATTAATTTTTAAATGAATCTCTCACTTAAAATCAATTTAATCTTTGCGATTTGTAAAATTACCCATTAAAAATAAATCATTTAGATGAGACGATACGAGTGAAAAAGTTGGACCGAAGAATATATTAATAATCTCGAGTATTACCAGTTATTATCATTTTTAAATAGAGAACAGGTCATAGAATCAAAAGTATCTAAAAATAAAGTTCTCTCAATGAATTTTGAGAAAGTCGAATAATTTTTGATGCAAAATTTTATTTTTTATTCTAAAGTTAGAAGATGAATGGAAAATTTCATTCAACAGAAAGTTGAGTTGTAATATCAACTGGCAATGGAGTAGTGGGAATTTCTGGTGGAGTAGTGATAATTTGTAATTGTCTATAAAACATTGACACTATTTCTCCGTATCTTTCAACGATCGGAGTCGCTTGTGCTTCATAAGTGACGACCTTTATATCAACAAGAACTGTGGCAAGTTGATGATCAACGGAATTCGCAAGAATTCGGATCTGTCCATTTTCGGACTTCGTGAAATTTTTTATGTCGTCTCTGAAGGTCCCAACACCGTCAGTTAATTTTGAGACAACACTAACTAGTGGGAGTTTGGAGCTTTTTATACCTTCAATGATCGCTGATGAAGTGTTGTTGGTGATGTCAGGAACTCTCAGGTAATCGTATTCATGATTGAATGTTTCGGTCAAAATGGCGAACTGGCTTATGAAACTTTTGATTGTTCTTTCATAAGTATCGTCACCACAGATAACTTGGGTTTCGTCCATCAACTCGATATCAGACTTAAGAACTTCGAAGCTTTTGGTCATCACTTTACAAAGATTCTCTTGTTTCTCATTGATTCCAACTGATTCACTTACGACTTTGATTTGTCCAATTTTGTGTTCGATTCGATTCAAGAGAAGCGATTTGACCAACTCAGGACTGTATTTACTCGCAGCTTCTTCGAGGAAAGAAGCATCTTCAACCTCATAATTTGAACTTTTGGCAGCACAATTAACTAGAGCGCTTCCTTCTCATATCAATTAAAAAAAGAAAATTAAAATTCAATAAACAGAAATAAAGTAATCGAAAACACTTACCCAGGCAAAGTAAAGTGACAATTAAAACTTTTGAGACCATTTTTGATGTTTGTCAACCAATCGAAATTCAAACTAATCACTAATGTGAATTGAAGTGATTGTATTTTACTCAATTTAATGAGTTAATTGGCAAAGTACATTTGATATTTATATCTGATTATTTAGATTATCTTTTAATTATCAATTGAATGTTTTTTTGTTTCACCTTATCAGAGAAGCATCTTCATCAAAACAATACCTATGACATAATATTACTAATTATTGTGGAAAAATAAAATTACCTGCAATCAATATAATTAACAAATAAGCTGAAAAAACACCCATTAATACATTGATTTAGCAATCAGATTACCATGTTTAGATTTTACTGCTCTTATTATGATACCCGAACAATACGATTAAAATTATTGGCAGTAACCCAGATAAAAATCTGATTATTGTTAATCATCAAAGTAACAATTTAATTAGAAGAGAATCAGTTAATAGTACTGAGTTAATTTCTATTTTTTCAGTTGAAACATTGAAACAAAACAATAAACATGATTAACAAATTGATTGTTGCCACTCTCTTAATTCTAGGTGAGTTCGATACCAAATTGTCAACAGTTGATTAATTTTCGTTGTTTCTTTTAATCTCCTAGGATTCACTTTGACTCAATGTAAAGTGGATGAAATTGATTTTATCAATGAGATGACAAGAGAATACAGTCCATCCTTGGTCGCTGAGATGCTTGTTGAGCGAATTCAACTTCGATCTTCCGAAATCAAAAGAATCAATTCTTCCAGCGAAATAAGTGATCAACATCATACTCTTTGCTCGGTTATACTTTCGACATTCGATGTTCTTCTAGAAGATATCAAACGATGGGAGAAATGTCCAGTTCTTTGTGGTAACTCTGAGTTTTCCAGGAAATCGAAATATTTTACTGGTCGATATAAACTGTTGATTGATATTTTCAATCGAGAGTCTAAATCATTGTACGTTCCTTTGATTGGACGTGCAAAGTACTTTCTCTCTTATTAAATGATTATTCATATTCGATTATTATATTGACAGATTAATAAAAATAAAATGGATTTTAAAGCAACAAAAAATTGAGCTCGAATTATTTTCTTAATGATTTCTTTTCGCATGTCGTATTTAACATAAAAAAATGAAGTTAATTTAGTGGATAAGAATGATTCAATGCTCAGAAGAAAACACGGACATGAACTCGAATCGTTCAACGCACTTCAGCATTGTTAACTCCACTTGAGATAATCTCAACTCGCAAATAAAGTTAAGGATCAAATCGATTTGTAAGAAACTTAGTTCTCTGGAATACTGATTCGAAATCAGTGTAACTTGTGTGCATCTCTCTTTTAATAGAAGAAATAATTCAAATCCATCCGAACAACTATTCCTGGAACACTCAAGATGTATCAATACCATGAATTCACAGGACGATATTGTAAACTCACACTGGTTAGTTATAAAAAAGAAATAACTTGATACAGGTAAGAGATCAAGGAAAATAAAGAATAATAATTGACAGTTGATTATGTGGTTTGCAAAAGTAAAATTTTTATTCGAAAGATTAAATTGGTTAGTTACAATTTAGCTCATCGATATTATTTAGACAATTCAATTTGTCTGTAGAAAATGTCAATTGCTTCCTCGAACCTTGCTAATAAATCTAACAAAGTTGCTTTCGGGGATGAAGGTGATTGAGTTTTCCATGAGTTAATGGTGGTAATCATATTGTTCAGCTCTTGTAAAATAGCGTGACCAAGGACCTTAATTTCAGAAGAAGTCTTTTCATTATCAACAATCTTCTTGATTTCAGTAATATAAGCATTAAGTGATGTTACAGCTTTTCCAGAAACTACAGTGGAAATATCTGTCATGGTTGAGGTCAATTCACGAATGAGATCTTCAGGAGACTTAGCACCGATGTTCGGAGTCTTCAGGGCCTCGAATTCAGTGTCTAAAATTGTGATCAATAAACTGAATTGTGAGATGAATGACTTGATATTCTTGGTGTAAGTTTCATCGCCACAGATAACTTGTTGCTCGTCCATGGAAATAACATCGGAACGAAGAGTGTCAACAGCTCGGAAAATAACTGAACAGAGGAATTGCTGTTCTTGGTTGATTCCGACTGTTGTGTTCAACTCATTAATTTCTTTTAATTTATGATCAAGTCGACTGACCAATAATTGCTTGACCAAAGTTGGACTATATTTGGTTGAGATGGTGGTCAAGAATTCAATGTCTTCAACAGCACTTGAACCAATCAAGGTACAGCCTAAAAGTAATCATATTACATTATTATTAGTATGATGGTCATTTAGTTACGAAATATAAATCAAAAACTTACCTAAAACAAAACAAAGAGCAATTAACGATTTGTTGAACATTTTTAATCAATTAGCAATTAGTAACTATTGAAACAAAGGTTGAATGTGTAATTAACTCTAATTTGGATTCTGGTTTAAATTCATTTATTCATTTGTTTTTATAACAATCAATCAATTGTTCAACAGAGTTAATTATCAGTGATGATTAAAACTTTATCACTCTAATTGTTATTGTTATAAAACCAATGACTGGAGTACATGTCACGTTTGATTTTGTGACGGTTTTAAATATGGCAAATTAAAGTTTAATGGTAATAATTTTATAAAATGTTTAGAAGGGTACACAAGTTAATAATTGATTTATAATTGAGGGTGAACAATAAAGAGATTAAGATATAATAAAGAAGAAGAAAATATAAGAATACGGATTAATAGAAAATTGATGAAAATCAATGACACAAATTAGAAAGAAAAAATTGATGAAAATCAATTGAACACAAATTAAAAGAAAAGAATTGATGAAAATCAACTGAACACAAATTAAAAAACAAATTAAAAAAAAGAATTGATGAAAATAACTGACACAAATTAAAATTTTATACTGATGTCGAATTTTCTTGATCTAATCGATGAGATTGATTCTCATGGGAACTTTATACTAATTGATTTATTTAATTACTCTGTGAATCTTAACTAACTGATTACTATTAAATTGGTTAATTGATTTGATTTCCTGTAATTTACTGAGTTAACTATTACTGATTTCCGATAATTAATGGTGTAACTTTAATTGTTGTTGTTTCCTAAATCAATTTTCTGATTAACTATTAAATTAATTACTGTCTATTCATAATTGATTTTCTAACCTGAGAATTGTAACCTTATTAATTAAGTAACCTTTTACAAAAAAAAAGAAGTTAAAGAAAACAAAAAGAAAGGGAAAGAGATTAGTCGGGCAACCCGGCTTATCTATTAGAATAATAAGATTATAGTAATGAAATTAAGGTAATAAGATTCTGGTGATATGATTCTGGTGATGAGATTCTGGTGATGATATTCTGGTGATGAGATTCTGGTGATGAGATTCTGGTGATGAGATTCTGGTGTTTAACTTTATTTTTAATGTTGAACTTTAGTTTAGTTGAAATTTAGTTTGACGGCAATTCGACTTAACTTAATTTTGACTTAACTGAGTGTTACATGATATTAATTAACCCTTATGGTTAATTAATATGGTCGATTTGATCAATATGGTTAATTGGATTTTAAGATTTTAATTAATCGTGATGATAAGATTTATCTATCAACCTTAAGGTTGATATTAATTTCAATCTTTATGTATAAAAAGAAAATTGTTCTTGATTAAAATCAATCAGTTAATCATCAAGATTATCAACAATAGTTAATTTAATTTGTTCAACAAATTTTGGTGTCTTCGCCAGGTCATAAATTAATGCAGTTAATTTATTGATAACAATTAAAAAATAAGTTAATTAGTTAATTGTGATTAGTTAATTGTGATTAGTTAATTGTGATCAGTTAAATTGATCTAAATGATAATTTTTATTATTTCATTGATTATTTTTCTGTTAATTGTGATTTATTTTTCAACTTTTCGATTATCATTCAACATTTACAATTGACTTTATTATTATTATCATCACTGATTCTGATTCTGGTTCCAAATTTATTTCTGGTTCAATTCTGATTCTGATTCTGATTTTATATCTTGATTTTGATTTCGATTTCTTTTTGGCTTAAACTTTGGTCTCATCTTTTCTGTCATAATGGAATACAATCCAGGTAAAGATTTTTTCGCATTAGTTAGTCGCTTTGATTGCTTATTCCGCTCTTAATAAAGTTTTAAAACACCATGAGCGATAATGCTGACGCTTCTGAATCCTCCAATCCAATTTCCATTTCAACCAATGTTAGAACTTCCGAAAAATTTTTGTTCCCACTTCAACCTTTGACTTGTGATGATGATGAAGATCTTTTAGATTGGTTAGATTGTTATGAGACTATTTCCGAAGCTCACGGTTGGGATGATGTGATGAAGATGAATAAATTGCCAGCCTTTCTGAAAGGAACAGCTAGAAGATGGTTTACTAATTGTGCAAAAAGTAGTTTACCTGATGCTCCCAAAACTTACAAAGAGTTAAAAGCAGCTCTTATTGAAGGCCTTTGTCCCACTAATTATCGTAGTTATTTAACACACAAACTTGCAAATTACAAACAGAAAGAAAACCAAAGTGTAGTTTATATCTATGAAATGATAGATATTTGTCGAAGAATCGATCCAAATATGACAGATTTGATAACCAGGTTATATTCATGCTGGTTTATTACCTAGAATAGCTGAAGCTTTAGATCTTTGACTCCAGTGAATATGAAAGATTTCCTAAAAAAAGCAACAATTGCTGAGAAATCGGTCAATCGCAATAAAAATTTAAAACCAAATGAAGAAATGAGAACTGTTGAGAGTTTGTTAAGTTCATTACATGAGAAGATTGAAAGGGTAACTTCTAGAGGTAATGAAAGTCAACAAAACGATCAAAAAAGAAAATTCAATGGTAATTGTAATTATTGCAATAAAAAAGGCCATAAAGCTGTTGATTGTTGGAAAAAAGCGAATGACGAAAAAAATGGTAAAGCAGCTACATCTGGTAGTAAAGGCTGGAATAAACCAAAAGTCGTAAATTCGAATATAATTGATGATCAAGAAGGTGAGAATAAAACCATTTCTTCAACTCTGATTTGCAATCACTCGAACTCTGGCAATGAAAAGGACCTGATCTTCACGGATATATTGACCAACGGACAGAGGTTCAGAGGGTTAATTGATACTGGTTCAGAGATATCGATAATCACGATCGATGCCGTCAGAAGGTTAAATTTACATTATACTGAGTATTATGGTCCAAAAACGTATACTGCTGGTAATTCACCTTTAAATCCAATTGGTCAAATTTGTTTGAAATTAACGTTTAAAGATGGATTTTCTCAAGTGACGATTGAGTCGTTATTAATGGTGGTGAAAGAGTTACCGATTAAAATTGAACTTCTCATTGGACAAGATATTCTATGTGAAGGTAAGTTTTCAATTAACTGTGCAACTAAACAATTAGAAATCAGTCACCTTTTAAATGGAGATCCATCAAGTTCTGATGATTTCTCAGACATTGAAAGAGAATCAAATGGTGATCAGAGTGATGATGAAAAATTTATACACAGACGATAAAAATTGATAATCCTCAACCACCCAAATGGAATATCAATGAAGAGATAAGTGAAGATAAAAAAATGCGATTAATATCAATTCTTGAAAAGAATAGAAAAGCTTTTGCTTTTGATGATTCTGAATTAGGTCAAACAAATTTGTTTGTTCACAAAATTGACACTGGAGACTCTCTCCCCATTTCACAAACACCTTATCGACAATCAGCTTGGAAAAGAGAATTAGCCGCTAAGATGGTTGATGGTTTATTAGCTCAAGGTGTTATCGAAGAATCTCGTTCTCCATGGTCATCTCCAATTGTTATTGTACCCAAGAGGTTCAGAGGGTTAATTGATACTGGTTCAGAGATATCGATAATCACGATCGATGCCGTCAGAAGGTTAAATTTACATTATACTGAGTATTATGGTCCAAAAACGTATACTGCTGGTAATTCACCTTTAAATCCAATTGGTCAAATTTGTTTGAAATTAACGTTTAAAGATGGATTTTCTCAAGTGACGATTGAGTCGTTATTAATGGTGGTGAAAGAGTTACCGATTAAAATTGAACTTCTCATTGGACAAGATATTCTATGTGAAGGTAAGTTTTCAATTAACTGTGCAACTAAACAATTAGAAATCAGTCACCTTTTAAATGGAGATCCATCAAGTTCTGATGATTTCAGACATTGAAGAGAATCAAATGGTGATCAGAGTGATGATGAAAATTTATACACAGACGATAAAAAGATAATCCTCAACCACCCAAATGGAATATCAATGAAGAGATAAGTGAAGATAAAAATGCGATTAATATCAATTCTTGAAAAGAATAGAAAAGCTTTGCTTTTGATGATTCTGAATTAGGTCAAACAAATTTGTTTGTTCACAAAATTGACACTGGAGACTCTCATTTCACAAACACCTTATCGACAATCAGCTTGGAAGAGAATTAGCGCTAAGATGGTTGATGGTTTATTAGCTCAAGGTGTTATCGAAGAATCTCGTTCTCCATGGTCATCTCCAATTGTTATTGTACCCAAGAAAACTGGTGAAAAAAGATTTTGTGTCAATTATCGTAAATTAAATTCAATAACTAAACGAGATGTTTATCCAATGCCTAATATTCAATGTTCATTGGATGCTCTGAGTGGATCACAATTCTTCTCTCTTCTTGATTTACGTAGCGGTTACTATCAGATCGCTCTTGATCCAATTGATGCTGAGAAATCCGCCTTCATAACTATGGATGGTCTTTGGCAATTCAAGGTAATGCCCTTTGGACTCTGTAATGCTCCAGCAACTTTCAGTCGAATGATGACCATAGTATTAGCTGGACTCTTGTTTAACACTTGTCTAGTTTATATTGACGATGTTATCATATTCTCCAAAACAAGAAGAACATTGTGATAAAATTGAACGTGTTCTCACTCATTCAAGCTGGATTGACTTTGAAACCAAGTAAGTGTGAATGGCTGAAAACTCGAATTTTGTATCTTGGTCACATAATAACACCAAAAGGCCAAGAACCTGATCCAAACAAAATAGTTGCGATAAAAAATTTTGCGATTCCTCAGAATGTTAGAGATGTTAAATCTTTTGTCGCTTTGTGTTCTTATTATCGTAAATTTATCCAAAACTTTTCGAATATAGCGAAACCTTTGACCGAATTAACAAAAAAAGATGTGATATTTGTTTGGGATAAAATGCAAGAGGAAGCATTTGAAACTTTGAAATCAAAAATGATTCAATTCCCTGTCCTCATGCATTATGATCCAACTTTACCCATTCAATTACGAACTGATGCATCTGATCAAGGGTTAGGAGCAATAATTCTACAAAAAAGAGATGAGAAATGGCATCCAGTTGCTTATGCTAGTCGTGCTTTGAGAGGAGCAGAAAAATCTTACTCAATCTCAGACAAAGAATGTTTAGCAATTGTTTTCGCTGTTGAAAAATTT